TCCACAGAAACAAACAAAAGGAACACTCACGCTGAAAGTGTTGCAGCCCACATTGTCAGGGCAGATAGACAAATCGCAAACCTTAAGCCCCTTGACACCATGAACATTGAGACGCTCATCAACAACACCTCCATGAGGTGCGATGGAGTTGCCCTCTCGTGGAGCCATGCTGCATGTGCCAAGGCAGTGCCAGGTTGTCTCAACGTGACGGGAAACTGCAGCAAAGGCATTAGACCCAATGATCCGAGATATTACTAGCCATGTTTGAAACTTACTCCACTTCTCAATGTGCTTAATATCGTCATCGCTGTACTCCAAAGACGGACGAGCTTCATGTCTATTGGAGTTGAGAGTTGAGGCCGAAGGCTGTTTTCCGGGTTCCAACGGAGTGGTCCAAGAGCCTACATTGATTTGATTAGCTGGTCGGGATAACTCGGCAATGAAAGGCGAGCACATACCGTGTTGGATACCAGCAGAAATATGGTTCGAGCCGGCGTATGCCTTGGTAGTCGCCAAATCCATATCTTGCGCCCGGGCCGATGAGTTGAAGGCGAACTGAGGATGCATGGCGGTGACCTCTCCAGCGTACGAGCTCATGCGCCGGGCGGTTTCACGGGATTTAATATATCCCCATACCAGAGGGGCCATGTCACGTTTATCATTCATGAAACCCGCATCAAAGTCTGGGACTTCGTAAGGGTCAGCCGACTGGATGTGGGTGTGCCCACGGGAGAAGGGGTATTCCTAACATCTTGTCAGCAGTGCTTCATGTGATTCGGTGGGTTTGTACCATACCAGGAAATGGAACATTGTGAAGAACTTGCCCGGGGGCATGTGCATGTGGTCTCCGAACCAGCTATCTGTGGGTTAGCCTCGTGGCATGCAAAACGAAGCGGATGAAATGCTTACCCAGAAATAATGGAGTAGTGCATGACGGGCTTATCAGGCTTGTTCCTGAAATACGACTCATACCCCTCTGTAAAGTCTGGGGTAGGCCACTTCTTCATCTCCCCTAGCTCTTGCTCGGTAGGTCGAATCTTGACCCCGGCATCGATGCCGTTAGTGGCCAATGGACCGGTGCCCTTCTTGTCCCACTCTTCAAAGACCTTCTTCTGAACTTTGGGATCTCCACGAATGAAGTCATCAAAGGACTCGACGTCTGGCTTCGCGCGGTAAACGGAGAAAGTAAGGTAGTGGTCCTGGAAGTTTCGGCCCACACCTGGTAAATTGACCAGGGGCTTGACGCCAGCCCGGCGCAGCTTCTCAGGGTCACCAAAGCCGGACCGCTGGAGAATAAGGGGGGAACTCATTGTGCCCGAACTGATAATGATTTGCTTCCGGGCCCTGAAGATCCTACGAACGGGCTCTCCACCGTTCAGAGGCTTGGTTGGGACTGTCACAACTCCCACAGCACGACCATTCTCAACAATCACTTTCTCAACTTTGGTGTTGCATTGGAGGTGGAGATTGGTATGTTTGGATCGGGTGCTGTGGACATACGCGTGGGCTGCATCACTTCGACGTCCTAATACTGAGTGTTAGAGAGGTAATGGTACTGATGCAAAACTGGACATTTGTTCTGACCTGTGTCACGATTGATCCATTTCAACCAGTGTTCTGCGCCGTGGCTGTAATATTATGACTCCCCGTTAGCAAGACACAATGAAAAATATGTCGTGGACTTCATACGCAGTCTTCAAATCTTGCAAGTCATCAGTGAATGGAATCCCTTGTGTTTCAACAGCACGAAGGAAGTCATTCTTAATCGGGTACGTATAGTTTCCAAATGAAACCTTGATAGGTCCGTCAGTACCATGCAGTTCCGGGTTATTGCTTGCACGCTGATATGTTTCGTGCTTCCTCATCAATGGAAGAAGTTCCTTGGTTGTCCAGCCCTTTGCTTGAAAGTCGTCGTAGTCGGAAGCAGACGCTCTAGTATACATCTTGAGTTCATTCAGCATGGGACCACTGGATCAAACTGTCAAGCAGGTATCACTTACCATAAAATTGATAGAACTGCCACCTCCAAGGATGTTGGCACATGGGACAATGGCCTGACGACCATCTAAATGCTCGGACGGCCTCGATTGATAAAAGGATGCCGTTTTAGAATCGAGCTTCATGTTGTTCGGGTATATACCCGGACGGTACACCCTAGGTTAAGATCAGAACATATTTCTAAAAGCGGTAGCCTCGTCGTCCTCACCATTGATTGTTCAAATTATCCTCGCCGGCCTCAATCAACAACACAGACAGGTTGTGATCAAGATTCGCGAGGCGGCCCGCAGGGACACATCCCGAACTGCCGCCACCGCATATTATGATATCAACCTCCTCAGGGATAGTCATGACTCTGAATATGCTGAAGAGATAGTAAATTGAGAAGATTTTCGAGAAAGTGCTCCAGGGAATAAACCAAATCTTTGATAGGGCTTCCAGGGGGGCCTTATATAGCTGTGGTCTTGTATCCATCGAAGTGTCTATAGAGGCAGTTCCCCAAATCAAGTCACATATGCAGCCAATAGCCCTGTACATTGACCCCGCGCGCGGAGACAGAGTTTCAAGTGCTCTGGTGTGGATTTGGGGCGACGAAGTGTGCTAGGTGGGACTTTGATCGTATTGGTCAATATTATGCATGTGCAGATGTACAAATGTAGATATATGACATATCATCTCTTCTTTTTTCTTTTTTAAAGGTATTATACGATGGTAGAGCATGAATAATATCTAGTATTTCATCAATAAAGCTTTCTGTTGGTATTTATCGAGTAAACGGAAATCATTTTATACGACAAGCTCGATAAATGAGGCTTATTTATAACGTCCACAGGTAATCAGTATATAACTACATATATTTATACATTAGTAGTACCTCTATAGCTAAATAAGTAAGTAGAGTTGATCCGGGGCCCTGGCACCCCGGTATAGGAGTCCTCAGCTATAAAATGGGGGTAAAGAGTATCTAAGTAATCCTTTGCCGGCGGTAATAGCCAATAGGCTAAAGTCCCTGGTAGCACACTCTGTCGATCGTAGTGGCTAATATCTGACTTCATCCTTTTCAAAAAAATTGTGTTCGTCCTTGATGCACCAAGGAATATGTTCCAACTCCCCCTGATCACACAAATTATATCGGTATGGTAAAAATGAGAAAAGCATGGCTTTTGCCACACATTAGAAGGAAAACTCCTAATTATATTGTTGTGTTGTTTTTCCAAGTTGACTATTCTTATGATATCTCAAGTAGTACGAAGCCAAAGTAGTACGAAGCCAAAGTAGTACGAAGCCAAGACCTCTTTAATGGTGATTTCTAGGAAGTTCCCCGCATTTCATGTATGGCTGTCGTCAGCTCAATTGATTGCCTAGACCACGCGCTTACGGGGTATATGCAGGTAAAATGCCGCCAAGGATCATTCCTATTGCTGTATTCCTCTAGACGGTGTATGTATAATGGAATTATGCATGGGGATGGAAAACAGTTTGTTGAACGTGCCCGGTGAAAGGTAATCAGGTTGGTTGATTCTTGATGTTATGCCTTTCAAGCTATTGCCACACACAGGAAAACATCTCCGACCTACACAATTAATGCACTTAAGAAATAATTAAAGGATGAGTCAAGTGAGGTCTATTCTAATTCAGTCGGGTTTGGATTATCCGGAAAGCATAATTCACCCCATAATGTGGCGCTCTCTGCACGTGCTAGTCTCCGCAGATTCTCACTCTCCCCGCATTTCCTATTCTCTAAATAGTAATTTTGCGGGGTAGAATTATTGGCGTGGGGCACAGTTCCTCTTTTACGCAAGAGGCGGCAAGCATACATTGCTGATACAGATTCCTATTGGAGGAAATTTGACACATCACCAAAAATTGAACCTGCATGGTACTTTCACACATCACTGGTAAACTATGCTTTCTTTTAAATGGGAACTCTCACTCGCGGCATGGTATAGCCGAAAACTCAGATAACTTCTTTCTCCGCATCACCTAAGCAGGTAGTATTTAACCACGAATTATATTCAATGTTTCAAAGAGATGGACGGTGTCAAGTGCAGCAACAAAGACATCTCCCACAAATCAAATTGGAGTCCAAATCACAGAGTAGATATATTGGAAACGAACGTGATGTAAATAAATGGGGATTAGATTGTACTTGTGTTCGAATAATTTACAAAGCTCATATAGTCATGCAAATATTACACAAAAACAAAGTTCCTCGTGGTGAGTGGGGTTCTTATTATATTATCGAGATTCAATTCACTCTAAAACACACAAACGAAACAGTCCAGAAATATATTACGGCAAATTTTCATACCAACACAGCAAATAGTCATCGCGCAATGTATCTTCTAGAAAATAAAGGGATAGAAAGCTATGGATGTTTTCCTCGGAGAAGTGGAAAAGGATATGAAGAGGAACACAGCCCTACTCGCTGTTAGTTGCGCTGATTAGCGGAGGAAGAGGGAAAAGAAGGAGAGAAAGTAGCTATCTACTCTGCAATCCTGCAAAACAAGACTAGGTAGCCACTTACCATAACAAGCGGGCCTATCTAGATTGTAGGGGAGATAGAAAAAGAGACAAAAAGAAGTAGAGAGGGAGGGAAGAATAGAGATCTGTATGGGAATAAAAACAGCAGTGTAAACAAGACACAGTTTATACTCAACTGTGGTTAAGATCATGAAGAAGTGCCACGGAAAAGCATTCTTGAATATTGTAGCACAGTCTAAATGGAAGTAGTGTATGAGGTTGTGGAGGGTTGTGGGTTCTCTTGTCGGCGACAAATGTTCGATAAATTTGAATGACGCTTCAGAATGGGTTAACTTCTACATGGGCAGATAGGTATCTAGGTCATTCGCAAATGTGAGAATTGAAATCCGATTTCCGAAGGAAAAAGGAAGAAGAAGCAATGAAATCTAAAGATGCCGTATAATCAACTCGCACAAAAAAGGTTAACAGGGAAAACAAAAGGACGAAGAACCAAAATTTGAGGAAGGAAAACGTGATAGTCAAGAAGCAGGAACTGAAAGGTTTTTCTCCACGCCCTCAGGCTCGAGCACCTGGTGGGAGGCTGCCATTCTAGCAAGATTTCTCCAGTCTTCATGGTCTGATGGATGTAGGTTGTCTTCGATCCACCCTTTTACTACACCATTCATCGAGTATGTATCGTTCGATGGGTGATATATGACAAGAGACATGTTGACGAGCTCTGTAAGTGCCCAGTAAGCTCGTGAGGGGTCAAGAAACGCCGGGCTCTGAAAATCAGAAGCGAATTGGGGAGTATTGAGAGCTTTGCCTTTCTTTCCGATGCAGTTTGAGTTGAAGGATTTGACTTCTCTGCGACTTCGATCCCATATGTTGTCATGTCTCCAGCTTCTGACCCATATGTCAGAATGGCCGGGATCCTTGTAGTAGCTCCTTCGTCCCTCCCCAGTGAAGGTTTTGCGTATAACGATCGCTTTCGTTAAGGTGTCCAAAGCGATATATTCGGAATTGAAAAAGGGGAAAAGCTTGAGTAACTTCAATGCGTCCTTGGAAGACCGAGTCTTTTGTTGTCGAATTTGTGCAACAGCTACCTCAAAAGCTAGCATCGAGAGATCTGGTTTCAATGCCATTTTCTGTTGTTTTTCGAGGAGCGCCGGGTACTCTTCTGCGACACAAAAGCCATTTCGGATTGTGGCACCCACATGGGACAGGGTAAGAAGCCCAATATTGCTGCCGAGTTTGAAAATGACATCTTTTGACCATGCAATATCCGAGGCACACCAAGGCTCCACAAACCCTGCCTCCCACAAAAGAAACCCACGGTTATGCTCATGATTCATCTCTGAAATGTGAATAGACTCAACTGTCTGATCGGGTGATGGAGCCGTGAACAGAATGTGTCCTTTGTCCCCGGAAGGGAAATACTCTTTTGCCTTCGTCAAATCGCCGGCGTTCTCGATGATCAAGGTCCATGGTTCTTCAACGTTTGAAAGGCACTTGGCAAAATCTTGAGCGTTTCCAATGTTCAAGAACTCAGTCTCTTGTGCCTCTGATAGCCAGTCAGCCCCATCTGTCACAAACAAGGTGGGATCTGGACTCTCAACTCTGTCGTTATCGATATACACTTTTGTGATCTGATTAGAGTTGGCATCAATCCGAAAGACGGCCCAATACTTTCCTCTTGCTCGTTGGAAATTGAAGAGTTAGCAAATATCAAGATCAATCATGGATTAGAGCAAATGCCATACCTGGTTTTCTGTACAAATTTAGAACATAAATGCGTCTTTCCTACCCCTGGGTTGCCATGAATACAAACAACTTGACGCTGGTGTACCAAACCTTGGGCTGAGGGAGGGTTTAAAATTTTCAACAAGTCTTCTAAATGGTCATTATGCCCTCGGTGGAAGTCACTCGCAAGTCGAGGAATGGTGAATGGCTTGTTTTTGGCGAAGGGAATAGCCGTCGCTCCAACCCCATGGGGTAGCTGAGATAAGGTCCTAATTATATGATCAAGCTTGCTGTGGGCATTTTCTTGGTTGTATCTAAGGATGAAGTATTAGCAAGAGATTGGGATATTGATCATGGAAACCTCACGTATTCAAAGCAAGTAACAAAGTTTCGACGGAGGATGTATGAAAGGACAACCGATCCTGCAGCAGCCGAAACAATTTACTGTTGAACAGCAGCCACAGAACTCGCACCAGATGACGACCCTTCGATGTCTTGGGGCCTTTTTGGCCACAAACACTCTGAATCTCGTTGTTGATTGTCTTTGCTGTCTGTCTGAATTCAACGAACCTTCTTTGAAGTTGCTCACAGAGAGCTTTGTATCCACCCTCATGTTGGGGTGAGAAGGCGACGTGTCTCAAGACGTTTTCGAAGGCATTAGAAGTAGAAGTAAGTAGTGTCTGTAGTCCTTGCGCCTGGCTGAGGAGATAAGCAAGCTCTTTGGTGACAATCAACAGCCGGTAATCATTGGCAAACATCATCAGCTCTCCCAATAGGCTGATGAGGCGAAGGGCCGCACTGACAATGGAAACGATATCCATATTTGATGAGGTGGAAAAATGGGAGAGGGTAAGTGGTAGAAATGCGAGTTGAGTGACGAAACTTGCAAATTATATAGGAAGGTTTTTGCACTCTAAAGCTATCTCTCTGCTATGTCTGGTTTCGTGTATGAATCAGAGCCAGATTCAATGTCCTGCGGAGACTCAGTATGTACTTCATCATAACCAAGTATGTCTTCTTCTCCGAGACTTTAGAGTTTCATGTTCCAGGATCAAACCCCGGCTTCGAATGAAGAGCCTGTCATATGTACTCTCTTACGATATCCCACAATTTCAGCAACTCAGTTTATTGTTTTCTTTGTTTGGAGACGCTCTATACCGTTTGTTTAGATGTCGCAATAAACAAAGGATAACTGGCTATTATCTCAAAGAGCCTGTTTTTAGTTGAGAGTAGAGTAAGTCATTATCACTAGGTCTTACCTTCAATTTGTGCGAAAATCCTTCTCGTGATCGCGTAGATAGCGATCATACTCGTGTCAATTGTGTAACTTCCCCAGCCCTATTTACCTGATTGTAGGAGCCACTCATTCATTAAAAATAGTAGGCTATCTCTGAATGTATATTGGTTTTTGATGTGAGATAAATAAGAGACAATCTTCAGGGCCGTTGGGAGACAAAGCAATGCACTCTAAAACATGAATTGTTGCAACATATTCAGCAATTTATCCTAGCAACGTCTATAACTCGAGTAGTTGAATGGTTTGTTTTTTAATAATTATTACTAGCTCAGGTTGAAGGAGAATATACGTCAGCCCTGGATACGTAGAATATGAAATCCTGATTTATCACGTGCTTTTCCTGCTGATATAGTGTGCTCCCGAAAGGTTTGCAGGGTTTGCATACTCTTAGTGCCTGAGGCAAATATGCTTGTTGTACTGATGCCTTAGGCCACAAAACCGAGTACTCGGCCAAGTGCTTACTATATTATAGGTACCTAGGTACTGTCCAGGGCTTAGTGAGCACTTAAAAGGATTATTTGGGCCAAGCGAGGCTTGATACTGATGTATTACATTCTGCATTTAGCTAGTAATTAGTACTACCCAATAGAAACCATACGATCCTTATAGAATCTCAATAGAGTGGCTGTAGAAATTGTGACAGAATTGTATGTGGCAAGTGACGCGATATCGAGATACCTATGAAGTAATATTTGTGCAAAAGAGCAAGTGAAAGATCCAAAAAGCGGTCAAAATCAACAGGGAGCGATAAAACAAGAAAATTGTCCTAGATGATCATCTGAATGGAATGGAAATAAAGCACGCGATATCGTACTAAGCATGCGCACAACCATGTGTATGCTTTTCGCTTTCCTTTCCCTTCGCCGTCATTTTATATTTCTCCTTAAAAAGTTCGGGAAATATCATGTACCTTTCAGCCGGGCGGCGACAGTTTGGAGTAAAGTCCCAGCATGCGACGATTTCAGGATTTGCTTCAGATGGTGCACATGTTCGTTCGTTGCGCTTCTCATCCACAAGCCGCAAATCTGCTCGCTCATGAAGCTTCTTAAGGAGGCGTATATGCCTCTTTGCGGCCAAGATAGCCCATTTTCTTTCCTCTGGCTTATACCAATTCCCGAAATATCCATACATTGCCATCCATACTGCACGGTTAGGCATATGTCGCCCTTCTAGAGCTGTAGTATCTTGCACGATCACTTTCTCGGACAAAAGCGCCATATCGAGCGCCTGGAAGAATCTCGCTGGGGTTTTGATAGGTCCAAATCTATCCAAGTCAAAGCCGATCCAAATCGTGTAGCGACGTTCCTCGTGCACCGGGTCATGTTTTATCATATAAATGTTTTCCAATTCCTCGTGCACGCGCCTTGGGATGACAACTTTATAGAATGGATCGGTCGGACCGTCCGGAGTGAGAACTGGCAGTTCAATGGCATCCTTTGCCTTTGAGCTTAGGAGGTCATGGGCATCATCAAAGTAGGAGCTTAGAAGATGAACCTTGGGGGTGCGTATTGGGAGCGGGATAATACCGTGAGAACCGACGTGAAGTGGGCCAACATTAAACCACTGCGGCTCAGACATTTTGAAGAAAGTAAACAAAAATAGTGTATAGTATAATTTCTGGAGGAAGGCAGTAGTTAAGAAGGTGGATTGATAGACACGAGGTCGAGAGGAGATGTTATAACCGCTAGATGTGAAGAACATCCTCTCATTTATAGTTGGAAAAAAGAAATCTTTCATATTACGCCATTGGAAGAGGTATCAAGGTAAACCCGGTCTTGTATCTAAAAGAACGGGGATTTAACGTCAAGGATTTTATTCTATTTTCAGTATTAGAAAACCTAAGCGACTTCGAGGATGTAAGAACTAACGGAGGATAATGAAAGGGCCGATGTCCGATGTGGAGGTAAAATACAATCATGTTGATTTTTGACCCGATATTTTGGGATATTTCTTTGATGAGATACCAAAGAGGATAAAATGAGATGTCTTCGTGTCCAATTATTATTTGAATTTAACTCGCCGGCATATCCATGGCTGTTACTCCAATATCTTTGAATTAAAAAAATGCACAAGCCACCATTTCTATAAATGGAGGCATCTCTACCTTGAGCCCCATGCAGATCAAAGAATTCCCAGTCGATCCATATTTTATCGAAGAGTTGTTGAAAGCGAAGGTGGTTAGAAGATGTGACCAATACACTCTTTGAGGAAGAATTTGAGTTCCTTGGGGATGTTTGATGTGAACCGTTGCTTTCATTGTGACCTTATTTGCATATATTTCGGGGGCATGGAAAGCTCTTGATAATTGAAGGTTTTATGAGAATATTCGGTCAATCAAGAATATTCTCGAATTTAGTTTTGATTTGTTAGATAAAAATAGTCCCTCGATATATATTTGGTCAAGACGATGAAAGAGAGTGGCAAAGAAATAAAATAGCATTTGCAAAAACTTAAAGTCCTCCAAGGAATTCAGGCTCGATCGCGACTCATTTCTTCCATTTCTGAGACGGAGCAATCTATCTAAATTATGATGATTAATTTTACAAAAACACCTGCCCTTGCTCCAAAACCGGCAAATAGAGCCAGCCATAATTTAGCTCGGAGATCTACATGTAAGTCATGATCCTTGCTACGCCTCCATCGACGTACTGCTCCCTTGGGGTATATGGAATTATGCAAACAGGAAACAAATATCTAGATCACATAAAGAAAGTACCTGATTTCTAAAATTGCTCTTTACATAGTCAAATACTCACCTATACATAACTATCCTGAGAAAGCGAATGACGTATGTGATCCACGAAGCGAGAAAAGAAGAACCAGGTGCGACAGAGACAACAAAGGTTTACTTGACATTTTTATCAAAGGGAAATAGCAATGCAGGAAGCGAGGTAGTACTAAGCAATTACACAGTCATGTTTATTCTGCTTCCTAGGGTTATATTTATCCAGCCGAATTTCAGGAAAAACAAACCGGGAGTCCGACGCCAGGTAAGTTTCAAGTTGGGAATGTATCCGAATTTCAGAATAGCGTTCCGCCACGTTTGGGTAAAAATTGTAGTCATAGGGGTTATAGACAAATTGTATCTTTTCTGTCGCTCCCATCCAAGTAGGCGAAACTTGGACTCAGCGGGCTCTTCATTGACAATTTGTATATCCCCTCGCTCCCAAAGCTTCTTAAGGAGGCGCACACGCCTCTTTGCGGCCAGGACTGCCCATTTCTTGCCTTCCGGCTCATACCAATTCCCGAAATACCCATACATTGAAAACCATAGTCCACGCGGAGGTGTGAGTTGCTCCATAGGCGGTCGAATATCCTGTATAATCATACATTAGCACATGAGTGACTTCTCTAGCACTTGGAAAAATCCGGCAGGGGTGCTGATCGGTCCAAATTTGTCCAAGTCAATGCCAACCCAAACGACATAGCGACACTTGTAATGGTCAGGGTCGTCTTTTATTAGATAGCTTGTTTGGAATTCTTCGTGCACGTATGTCGAGAGGACAACTTTATAACTTGCGTTGACCGGACCTTGTGGGCTGAGAACTGGAAGTATGATGGGTTCCTCGCATTTTGAGCTTGTGAGTTCATCGATGTCGTCTGAATAGGAACTCAGTAGGTGGATCTTGTTCACCCTCGGCATCTCTGGCACGTTTTCAATTCTGTATGTATTTCGCACCCAACCCGGGGGATGAGCCCCTAAAGGTGGGTGGGCGTTGGATCACACGGGCTCAGGCATTTTGAGGGAAGCAAAGATGGAGAAATAGTAATTTTGGATGAATGCGGTGAGAGACGAGGAAGTAGATTGACCGGTTCGAGATTAAGAATATCGGTTGTTCACGAAGAACACCATCTTCCTTATGACTAGATTGGAAGACAGCTTCAGTATAAGCCCCCTAAAAATGTATCAAGATAAAGTCGGTATCGAGTCTCCAACGCCAAGGTCTAATGTCAAAGAATTGATTATATTTTTAGCATTGGAAAAGGCACTCGAATGTAATAACATAACCTAATGAGACTAATTAAAGGGTCAAACGATCATGTGGGTTTGAAAAGAAACATTATATTGCCCCCCACCCCCTTTGCCCCAATCATTTCGGGTCGTTTCTTTGATGGCCTCACAGGTTTGAAAAAAGAAAAGTAACCGAAAGCCGAAAGCCGAAAGCACATCAGGGCTACCTAGGTAACATGATGAGATTGCTAGCAAGGATTGCCTCATAAAAAAGAGATCCAAGAGGGTAAAATGAGATGTCTTTGTCTCTAGTCTTAGAAAACATGGTCGTATCCATTACTCTCCAATCCCGCCAAATAAACTGAGGTTATTTACGGCCGAAGCACAAGCTTTGAATAGAAACTATACCGATAAAAGCCAGCTATCCCCAGCCCCTCGCAGATCAAATAGGCTCAAACTAAACCACACGGCCTTATCAAAGACTTGATGTGGGTTTCTTTCAAGATGTGATTGACAACTATTAGCCAAGAACATAAAATTAGAACTCAGACCGGCAATGAAAGCCGGAGAAGATTTAATTTGATTTGTGACTCTTTTTCTTTTGTATGCGTATTTAGCTTGCGAAGAAACGCCGTAAAAGGTAGTCCATGGCCTTTCTTCGCGTGGTGATCTTCTTGCCTTTCAAGTCATACCCAATCCTTGACTCTGTGTTTTTTGAGTTGTCGACTAATTTCAAAAATACTTTCCGGCCACCAATCTTCATGTGTCTTCCATAGAGACATACGCCATCGTGTATCTCGCTTAAGGGAGATAAGTTGCCCAAGTTCCCAGGCTCCAATACCACCAATCCACCATACCTTGTCTAATAACATGACCAGAACAAGCCAATGGGCAAATATATCCACAGCTAGCTGGTGTGCTAGGCTAGGCTCCGAATTCATGGGGTTCAGGGGACACGCCGTTACTCCGTGACTCCCTGGTGCTCCGATTTGCATGAGACCCATCATGTCTTCAACCAAGTTTAGATATTTCGTAGGAGCTTTATGAACGAATGCCATAATGAACCTTCGCGGAAGCTTCGAAGAGATCATCGAAGTTATTCTAGCTGTGTATCTCCGTATCCAGGGCGAAACTTTCGAGGCTTGTCCCACAGGATTAACATCAACTTCAGAAGCGAGAGGTGAAAGGCCTGGCGTGTTTGGCACCAAATTAATATCGGGAAAAGTCTCGATTGCAATGTTTTCAAACAGGTCCAACGCAGCAAAACATGCTTGGACGTAGGAGTCGTTATGGATAGCTGGTGTATCCTGGTCTTCATAGTCACCCATCCCATTTTTGGCGATTTCTTGGGCCCTTTTTCTTAGCCTTCTCAGTGCGGATCCCACCGTAGCAGCCAGAATAGGATACAAAGCGTGATCTTGGGGACCCTTTTGCTGCTCACAACGAGATGATACTGTGCATTCGCAATGCATCTGAAAATCGCAACTTGCCACGGGATCAATGAATGAGATAGGCGAGGCAAGTTGAACCACATCCTCTGTTTTGAACCTATCGTTGAGCAGTCCGGTGTAGGCCACACGTACAGCGCGAAAGAGACTAATCCATTGACAGCTTTTTGGAATAAACCGGCCTCGTTCTAGGTCGTTGTCGGATGCTGTTTCCGCTAACCAGATTCGGACACAGTGGCTGCTTGATCCATACATCCCCATCATAGCCGCATTGGCAAGAATATGGTCGTATTGATCAGTTTCGGAGAGTTTCGCTTGGACCTCCCGCAGTGATTCCATGTGGTATTGATCAGCGATAGAGAGAAGTACCAGGACTTTTTCACGGTCTTCATGGGATATTGACGGCTGATTGATGACATCACAGCATTTACATACTGCGGAGAATGCGAGGACAGACTTCATGAGGAGCTTGTTCTGGAAAGCTAGGTTCGGAATTCCAACTTGCAAAGCGTATTGGTCTTCATCATCAACAGTCATATCTTTGCTAGTGTGCTCGAGATAGTGATTGAGCAGTGTTGATTCTGTGGGGGTAAGGATCTGCGGTGTCTGTGACTGCAAGAGCGAGCTGGGGTGTCTATCGTCTTTTGGCAGGTTGCGTGGTGATTGCGAGGAAGGAACCCCTGATGGTAATGACTGTGGGCTTCCAACAACCGCCGACGAGCAATGTGAACTTTCAGGGCTATTCACTTCATAGCTGATGTGTAAAATTTCATATTCCATCAAGCGCTCTGCTTGTTCAAATTTGCTCTCAGGGGATAAGATATCGGATCTTCTCGGGTATTGACAAGTCAAATTCATCTTCTTGCATCTTGAGCATTTTGGCTCAAGCTCGTCACACTATATACCAATATTAGATAAGTATTACCATAGCCCGCGGGCTTTTCGTAATATGCCATGCGTACTTTGATTCTGCGTGCCTTGCATTTTTCACAACCATGTCGCGACTTTTTGTGTGACCTGCGCGTCTTCATATTGATACAACTACCGTGTTGATCCGATTTATCTATGTGTGCAAATCAAAAAGTGAGTGAGAGAAATTGAGAGAATGAATATTCAACAGCGTTATAAGAATGAGAGCGTTGTTTCCAGAATTGTTAATTCTCTCACCAACCTCACTTCTGTCTTGGAAGTCTAGCTATGGCACTCCTTGATAATTCCAAATAGTCCCTTACTCAGCCTTGGATTTTGCTAGACACAGAAGCTTTGGGCGATCACTAACTACATAGCAGTTCTGTAGCAGCGAATAAATTCCATGGTCCACTACTATAGGGATCTATTTTACTTGGGAGCGTCCACTGTCAGCAATAGAAATCAAGAATATGAATGGTTGGAAGTTCTGGAATTGAGGCTGAGAACCACAGCCTTTTGCCCCGGTGGAAATTGAGTTGTACAATATACTACCTAAAAAGTGCTGCGCCCCCCTCATGTGTCGATGCTTGGCATTAAAATCGGCCGTGAGAGTCGAAATGTTGCCTACTTTATCATGGGGACACTACGCTTCAAATGTCTCACGTGTAGAACATTCCAAATATCTTCGAATACCCTAGCTCAATTTACCATTACTCCATGCTACCTACTCCGTACAACTGTTTAATATAATAAACTCTTTGTTCAAGGATTATTTAATTTCTCGTATTCAATGCCAAGAGAATAAGCGTGGCGACTTCATGCAAGTGCGTATTCGCTTAAAATCGACAGCATGACAAATACTATTCACAGCCCTGGAGAGTACCAGAGTCCATATCAATGGAGACAAGATTTATCCCGATTGTTCAGTCTTTGGATAATTCATGGTACAATTTTAAACCAAGTCCCAAAAGCATCTACCCTTTATTTGGCAGTGAACGTATTCCGCAAAACTGAGCCGCCGCCTTATCAAGACGATCCTCAAAGCGAGGATCGCCCGGATAAATTCATTATGTGCTCAATGGCGCGGGTCAGCTACGAATGAATAGGGGTCACCGATGATCCACTTTCATGGAATTCCTTCTCTTCCGGAGTACTCCGACCAGTTCTTTTACGGACATCTAAGTGGCTTAGCAATGTGAAAATATACATTTTGCGATAATGAATTTGACAGGGCTACGGATTAAATCACGTAGATCATCTGTCTATTTTAAAGTATGTGAACTAACAATTATTAATACAATAATTCTTCATTGAGCATACATATGACAAGCCTCGTGAGCTTGAGCTGTTCCACAGCCTTAGTTGCCGCCTGGAGAGGAATGGTCTAAACCCCAGAGAATGCCCTAGAGCATGACTGCACGCTAACCCTTTAGAAAGCCTGATGTGGATGTTCATACTCGATATTTCTCACACATCGCGTATAGAATACGCTCTGTGTGATTGCTTCTAGTGCTGGATACGCTCCTTAACCATAGACTAGTCTACAGTACTACAATGGTCAGATATATAAGAACCGCAGACATGTCAAACTAGAGAGACCAGCACATCAGTTTCACAAACTTATTTAAGAATCTACCAAACCACTTTCAATCCGAAAAGTTATGAAGTTCAGCTTGCTCAAGACAGTTCTTTTCAGCCTTGCAGCCAGCTCGTACGGCTGGGAACATAAAGGCCACGAGTTCCGTCCACCGCTGCCAGGCGACAGTCGATCTCCATGCCCTGGTCTCAATGCCTTGGCCAACCACGGCTGGCTTCATCGCTCAGGGAAAGAAATCGACCTCCCCGCATTCCAATCCGCTATTGCTGGCGCCTATAACTACGAACCCACAGCCATGGACGGGATTTTCCAGCTAGCGCTGAACTTCAACCTCTCGACCACGGGGAACCAATCGACCTTCAACCTCTTTGATTTGGCAAGGCATGACGAGATCGAGTTCGACGGGTCGCTGTCACGCAATGACATCTACTTTGGCGACAATGTGCACTTCGATCATAACATCTGGGCGACTGTCGCTAAGAACCTCAATCTTTATGACACTCTAGGCTCTGAGATGAACCAATATGTCACCGTCGAGACAGCAGGTAAGGCTTGTGCGGCTCGCGCGGCCGATGCCAAGAGGGTCAATCCCAGCTTCAATGCTTCCGCCATGCAAATGATGGGCAACCCTGGGACAACGGGTCTTTATTTGGTGACCTTGTGGGATGAGGATGCAGGTGCCGCACCAAAGTCTTGGGTTAAGGCTCTATTTGGTATGTTCCCAAATATTTGCTTCCTATATTAGCACCACTGTGATACATCGATGCTTACTATTGGATAGAAGAAGATCGTATCCCTTACCTTGAGGGATATAAGGTGCCTAAAGTCCCGAGGACCTTAGAGGATGTCAATGAAATGACAAAGAGAGTGTCGGCAGTAAAGGTTTAGGTGTAGTTTAGAAGCCCGATGTCTGTTCAAGCTTAGGGCACCAGCCCTGCACGTGTTTGCTAAATGAAGTCTTCTGAATGGTAAACACTGATAAAGCACATGCACATTTATCAAATTCTTCAATCCCGTATACCTCGCGACCTAAATGTGACATTAGCTTCATTTGATTTCAAACTTAGATAGATACGCCTATCTTCCTGGGTTCTAGCCACCGCGAGCCCCTGTTGGAAAACCCACATACCTAATGACGTAGTACCCAACAAATTTGGTACGAAATTTGTGATAGAAATCAAGGGTTTGGCTCTCAAGAGCACGTGGAGAAAGCCCACATGATTGTATCGCAGAGGACCTTGAGGCGGTGGGAAACTTGAGGATTCCAAGGTTGTTATAGGGGGTTGATACGCATGGATGAACCTTGGAATATACCCCTTGGATAATTGGACCCCTCGGGGTCCCCGACCGGGAGGTCCAGGCCTGCGAGTGCCCTGAAAATCAGGGACTACTGATTCTGCCACGTACTCGGTCTTGGCACGAATCGGCTTTGTATGTTTCTCCTGCCCTATATCCTGTCCCCTCTTATTAATTGTGGTTTATGTAATAGAAAAAACCCAAAAGAAAACGCTATTATACTACAACATATAGATGTAGATGCTGTATACTAGGTTTCATGCCAACGTCCTCGGTCAGGGCGGCCGATTTCGGGGCTTATCTCGGGACTCGTCTTGGCCTGTCTCGCTTACAACAACAAGGGGTGGGGAGTGGGGGGGAGGGTGGAGGGTGGAGGGTGGAGGGTGGATTCAGCGACGATCTTAGTCTTGGAGTTTGAGAGTAGGTATACTAGTCGTACAGAACCAATTTTGGTTAAGCAGGGGTTAATAATAAAAAGGTCGATGAAAAAGTCAATGCGCCAGTTGATAAATTGGTCAGTAAAAAGGTAAAAACATACATATGTACGGAGTAGTGGGAGCAATAAAATGTGATCGGAGTGACTTCTTTTGTTAGTAGTTTACATACAAAGTGCAGGTACCTATCTTGCTATATCTTAGGACGGTATAGAAGTATGAAGTTGAGGCATGAAGGCAGGAGCAATACAGCACACCTAATTATAAAGGTGCAGCTCAAAGCTTGGGCAGTACTACGCGGGTCTTGATCTTCTTTATAACAATATAAAAATAATTCAAATTTGAGAGGTCCAATCTGTAAATGCTAGTATATCTGCTTTCCAAGGAAAATATAAACAAGAAAATCCAAAAAAAGGAAAACAATCTGAAGCTTCTAAACACGTTTTCCTTCAAATCCTTCGGCAGGCCATCCCTGAAGCGTATCTCCATTCTCAACATGGTCACCCGACAGGACCAGAGTATGCTCCAAAAGACAAGCATCCTGGCCCATTGAAGCACCGGACATCAAGCGCGATCCAGCGCGCAGGATACTCCGGTCCCCAACGTTCAAGGTGTGCAGCTCGAATCCACCACGCGAGTTCAAGTGGCAGACCAAACTGGCATCATCAACAGCAACACGGTCACCAAGGGTGAGGAGGTCGGGCTCGGTGAAGAAGATGCTGGGAGCACCGTTGGCGTGGATGGCACAGTCCTTTCCAATCTTCGCGCCCAGGAGCTGGTAGTACCAGGAGATGTAGGCAGAGCCAGAGATCATGGACGGGAGACCGACTCCGTCATAACAGTCTTTGATCAATGTCTCGCAGGAAAGGAGGAATTGCCAGCGCTGGTTGTAGCTGCTCTTGTCCCAGTGGTATTCACCTTCCTTGCGGCGGCCCACGACCATCCATTTGATGCAGATAATTAAGCCGAAGGCAAGGAAAACTTGGGCAGAGGTGATGATGGATAGGATCGAGGCGAGAGTGCCGTACAGAACGAATGGGCGCCAGGCTCCTTGCTTGAAACCAGCGGCATCACTGTAGTTGAGGACAGTGCGGAGAGTGAAAAGAGAGAACAAGACGGTGAGAAGCCAATAGACAGTAGTGACGATAACTGCGAAAGTGGAATAGATGACAATTTGCCACATGCGGAGGACATAGTAGCTGGACTCGTGGCGGTAGAAAGCGCGACCGAAAGGCTTGCAGGTATCCACCTCCTGCTCAGCGACCTCGGTGACGGTCTTTTCCTTACTGTCATAGTATGGCTGCTTCTCGATGGGTGTTTTCTCGTCATCGCTGCTGCTAGTACTGCTGGGGCTGCTGGGGCTGCTGCTACCATCCCCGACGATGGTTGGAGCGGTCGAAGTAGTAGTTGAGGTGGAACTTGGGAACTGTATAGCCTCACCACCCTTGCTACCAGTCCAGACAGTGTTGGCAGGATATTCACCATTCCGACGAAGCAAAGCACCGGAGCCAATCATGGCTTGACGGCCGATGGTAGCACCGGGCAAAGCAACAACACGATCACCAACCATAGTACCATCGCCGATCACGATACGGTCACGGCCGTAGCCGTCGGATGTAACCAGAGTCGAGCGAGAACCGAAGACAACATCGTTACCAACCTCAATGAGATCAAAGTCGACAGTGACGGGACCAACACTGGGCCAGTAAACATGTCTGCCAACCTTGCCACCAAGAGCACGGACAGCCATCGAGACAAATTCGTAGTGACGACCAGTAAGGCGGGTCAGTTGGTGGATGTCGCCTGCGGGTAGAATCTGTGCAAGCACAGCACTACGAATCTTTTGGCGAGTAGTCTGCTTTGAGGCAGGACCAGGCTTGGGCTTGCCACAAATGAGATCAAGGAAGAACTTGATGACCAAGACCGCAATGAAGACAAGAATGGGGCCACCAACAGCACGACAGATTCTCGCGGTAATATGGTACGCAATCCGCTTATCACTGGTGTACCACTCAAGGGTAGAGCGGAACATGTCGGCCGCGGGGATAGGGAACTCGAGGACCATAGGGATGAGAGCACCCATCCAGGTAATACGAGCAGCCGTCCAGGTAATCAACTTGATTGGCTCAACAATAAAGAGAATCCAGAGCCAGTGAGGCTTAGGGATTTGAGAGGTAAGCAATTGGCGGTTAGACTCATCAGCGTCCCGGAGCTCCCAGCTCGACGAGTTAGGACCAATGCAGGTATTCTCTGGGATATCGGCACCAGGAGCGACGACAGACTTGATTCCGACAGACGAGTCTTTGCCAATGCGAATGCGCTTCAAAAGCATAGAGGTGTTGCGTTCCACGGCGAAGGGGCGACACACGCAGGTGTCCAAAACCACATTGTCACCAATCTCAATCAGATCATACTCACCAAGCTTAGCGGATGCAGACATGGTAACGTTCTTTCCAATTTTTGCACCTAGCAAACGGTAGAAGAGAATGCGGGACCAATTGTAGTTGTTGAAGAGACCCTTTCCACACACCTGCAATGCCTTCTGGGTCAACCACCAGCGCGTATGGTACGGTCCCCACATAGGGGACATGCCTTCCTTGTATCGACCGATGACAAGCCACTTGAAGGTGATAGCACAGATGGGTGACACAATTTGTGAACATAAACGAGCAGACATCACAGCGAAAACAACCAGCATCAAACGAGCGATGAGGTTCTCGCGAATGGGGAATCGATTTGAGCACTCGGCCACAACGTATGCGAACATTATCCACTGGAAGGCGCGCTTCATGGGGAAAAAGAAGACAGTTGGGAACAGATGCAGGACCAAAATTATTGGGTTCGTGCTGCTGTATGTCTTCTCACAACCCGGCAATTCAACTTCCCCCTCGTCACCCTTGGCAGCTTTAACTTCAATGGCTTCAAGTATCTTGTGCTCTATCTCTCCAACAGTGCTGTAGTGGAAGAGAATGTCACCAGCCAGGAAAATACCGAATTCGCGACGAAGTTGCGAAACCAAACGACCAGCACTAAGACTATCACCTCCAGCAGCGAAAAAGTCCGTAGCGGCAGATACTTCCTCTGGTGCACAAGACAAGGCACCAGCGAAGATCTCACGGACGCGGCGCTGAGGTGGAGATATGTCACCATCCGAGTTGCGAGCGTGGATGGCCTCGTTGATAGCGGCCTGGTCGGGGTTTCCGTAGAAATCGAGAGGCATAGGGCCTTTGAGGGGAATGATACGGCTAGGTACCAAGTAGCCATCGAGGTGGTCGTGGAGCTCGCCAGGTGTCACATGGTCATCATCTGGGTTCTGGACAAACAAAACAACCTGCGCGAGCCCGTCGCGCGGATTGATTTGCACGTGCACATCAGAAGTATTTGCTTTCTTGGCCAGAACTGAGCGAATGATTTTATCATCGATGACACACGGCTTTTTCTCGATCAACGCACTGAGCGGAGCACCAGTGGGCGGGCAGACAGCGTGGTAGTGACGGTTTGCCAGGGGTGTGGTCGTGGTCAAGGTCTCCAAGGACAATCTTTCTGCGAGCTTGATACGCTGGATCTTGTTGTTTGCCTTCGGAACACCGTCCATGTATACCACCAGAGCGGGCCACTTGGGCTGATGGATAATAGGCTGCAGCGCTTCGTGTATCTGGCGAAGATCTGGCCTAGTGACGCCCGGAGGTGTGACAATAACCACGCCGACGACTTCCTGTAGCACCTCGTCTGGGACAGAGAATGCCAATGTTTCAGTGACACGGCCATACAGCGGGGACTCGGGATCCTTGGCCGTGGTCAGCACGGCGTTCTCCACTTCGACGGGAGAAATAATTTCGCCGCCACGATTGATGACCTCCTTGCTGCGGCCAGTGATGTACAGGTAGTTGTCCTCATCGAGGTGTCCAAGGTCACCAGTGTCAAACCAGCCAGATTTGTTGAATGCGTTGGTATCGATTTTGCCCTCAGGGGTCAGATATCCCTCGAAAGCGGGTGATCCACGAATGCAGATGTGTCCAAGCATCCCATTTTGTGAGACAGGCTCGCCACTCTCGGTGAGAATTGCAACCTCAGGACCAACGATCTTTCCCGATGTTCCAGGGCGATCAAGCTTATAGTCCCTCGGCGGCGCAGCAATAGGCATACATTCAGTCATGCCGTAACTGGGGAGGACGACACAGTGGAACATATCATGAAGCTGCACGGCAAGTGTTGGAGGAAGACCACCACCAGCGTTGCAAATAAACTGGATGGCGCTTTGCTTAACAGCATCGGGGCGGTGCTCGGCTTCGGCAAGAATCATTTGGTGCATCGTGGGTGTGGCGTAGTACCAAGTCGGTGTCATATGAGGGGCTTGCACGGTATCCCAGAACATGCTGGGATCAAATGATGGACAACATATTGTAGCACCGCCGGCGAGGATGGGTGAGAAGATGCTGCGCATGATGCCACCACTGATGCTGTTAGTTGTTTTTCTATGACATAATTTGGCAGGGGACATACACATGGTTCAGCGGCATCATATTAAGACATGTATCCGTCTCAGACAGTTCCACTGACTCTATGGTAGCAATGGTACCCGCGATCAAGTTATAAGTTGTGATGGGAACCAGCTTCTTAGTACCACTGGTACCGCTGGTGAACAGGATAATGGCAACATCGTCCGCAGAATTGGCGGGGTGGTCGTATGCACTAGAAGCATTGTGTGTAGAGACCACCCGGAAAGTCATGTCTTCAAGCTGCTCAATACCAAACACTGGTCGACTACCATTGTCTAGCTGCAACTTGCCAATGTCAGCGTCCAGCGCGACAACAGCATCAGCTTGCGAGTTTTCTATATCTGTCTGCAGCTGCTCTGGTACTGTGTTCGTTGTCATAGGCACAATGGTGTACCTGTTGACAAAAGCAAGGACAGCAACTGCCATAAGAGGGCCATTAGGTAAGATGACAGCGATGCGAGGCTTTCCATGGCTGGAGGGTCCCACGGGAATATGAAAACTCTCCAAGAACTTCCGGATGGCAATATGTGTCAGATGCCGTCCGGTGTTAGCATCGATGAGACCGGCACGGGAGTCTGTCCCTATCAATTCTGCAACATTGGGGGTAGCTGCTTTGACTTGTGCACGAAGGCGGGCAATTGATTCATTGTTATTGGTCTTGAGGGATTCCGGAATGGACTTGTAGATGTCCTGATATGTTGGGATTAGGTGACGGATGGGCCAAGGGCCAATCTGTGAGGATAATAGAGTAGAGAGGCGGTGGGAGGAGTCTGGGTGAGAAGCCTCACAGCGGAGGTGTAGAAGCTGTTCTATAAGTCTGTTCGACAGTCAGAATGAGAAGATACTTCAATTAGACAACCCAAAAAGGAGAAAAAGGAATGAAAGGATAAATAGGATAAAACATACGAAGATCTTGATAAGTCTGCCATAGTATCTCTAGTTCAAATGAATTCTCAACTCAATCTGTGATATACAACCCAAAAAGGAGAACTTCTTTACAACTTATATGCTGCCCCGTACCCTAGTAACATCCACTACCAGCCTGATATACAACCCAAAAGGAGAAGTCCTTCACAACCCATACACTAGCAATATCCACCCGGTCCACCCACATCGTGCAAATTACATCACAGACCTCATTGTGATCCGGAAATCCTTCATACACAGTACGGAGGCAAACTCGCTCGGGCCCGAGAAGAGAAAGATCCGCAGGACATCCCGATACCCATATGCTTGACCCACGGAATTCCGTTCAGGTGAGAGAGATCGGCTCAGCCATCGGATTGTACATCATGGTGTTGGGTGGGATGGTATTGGCCAAAGATAGAGACATTATGTCGTCGACTATCGTGTCGGCGCCGTGAGTCGTCTTAGGCCCGTGAGGTGATCGGTACCCTCGGTTTTGATGGACATTGTAGCTTCACGGAGGCCGAATGTCACAATGGGACACCTGTTTCAATTGAGCTTTTCCTTATTAAACTTTCTGTTTGATATTTTTCGAATTTCCTGTTACCGGATGTAGTAATACCACCGGCCTTGATCAAGATAAGCCCACCCTAACATTGCCATTCCGAATTGTCTAGCGTGATTCTCTGCATAATCAGAGTATATCCGCAGATCTACATACAAATTTCACATGCTATCTCCGATTCTTCCTCAATGAACCAGTTTTCAATCAATGACATTGTTCCCGAACCACGTAAGAATTGGGTGGATGTAGGGTCGGCAGGACCGCAGGGTTGCAGGATCAACTTAGTCGTCAATCTAGACCCCTGCCAACACCGCAGATCACATGGCTCTAAAAACGGGAAATGCTGATGTCGTGCGCTTCCACGAGATTCGGAACGTTTATAGATTTAGAATAACTACTGGGGTCGATCAAATGAAATCTTGGAAGTGACCTTTGTGCCTATCACGTAAATGGTCCACATAGCGACGGTGGGAAGATTACTTCCTACAAATGAAGTTGAATTTGCCCATTACCCACATTTGGTTTCATGGAAACAATATCCAACATGTAAGATGATCTACACCTGTTTTAGCCCGCTTATAGGGCAAACTATTGAGCACACCTTTTTGCTAACGAATAACCCCACCTACCAAGCTTACAAGGGTATTCCAAGGTTACATACGGAGTGCCTCGTACTCCGTACGGAGTACGGAATAGATAGCCACGAGGACCCACTTCCCGTACGAAGACCGGTCGTTGCCAAGCCACTTGGCGTAGGATTAGGTTTCTTGGCAATGACTGGGCAGGTACCACCCATGGAATTTCATTTCTTCACCCACACGTATAACCCAGATTTTCCATTCTACTCCAGTTTTGTCCATAGTATTCTTACCCTAATAACGGGCCCTTCCAGAATGTATGACAAGAAAATTCTACAGGCTCTAGTGGACCATAAAGTTTGATTTGATCAGAAGAATTGATCTCGACGTTGAGACCGCCGATCACAATCAGCCGATCTCAGATGTACCCAACCCTGTCGAATATGACCCCTGTCGAATATGACCAACTGGCCTCGACTAGGAATTTCCCATCACGATCAAAACCCGGGTGAATATTTAAGTCTGCTGTAACAAATTGAATATATTACCCTGATATACATTGCACTACCGATGCATAACGTGCATAACACGCCATGCATGCTGGCAAGTGCCGTAATCGTATTGGTCGCAGACTACATGCTACTTTTAAAGCCACGCTTAGAGTACAAGAAGTAAGTGGTTCTCTTGAGTATATAAGTACTCAATTCAATTCAATTCAGAAGTACGGAGTACGGAGAACTCCATATGGAAAGTGACATCGCTCTCGAACCTCCAGTGTACCTAGGGCAGTGCGACTAAAGTTACATGTGGCTGAATGGATTTAACTAGGCCATAAATTCTGATAGATAATCCATCTTCCCTAACTGCACCCCTTTGACCCTCAAAATTTCATACGCCGTCACCACATGAAAGTAGAAATTTGGGATCGCAAATCGCACCGAATAATCCTCTAGCGTATAATCAAATACGTTGCTTCCAATCGGAGCCTTGAAGGTTTGTCCATCCTTGATAGCGAATCTAGCTGGATCGACCTTTTCGAGCTCCGCGAGTGTCCTCTCAAGGCGCTTGTAAAGGTCTTCGTACGTCCCATCGGGCTCCTGCTGTGGTTGGGGTTCCACTGAAGCTGCGCGGGCGAGGGCTTTGGAGACGGTATTTGTTGCCGTCACAACTTGGAAAGAGAGAGGCTTCATATCCTCAACAAGGCGGGCATTGAGAAGCTCATCGAGCGGGATGTTTTTTTCTCTGGCGTATTCTTCAGCCTTTTTGAGGATGGAAGATAGGGTATTGAGACCCCTGGTGAAAGTGGCGATGGTGTAGTTGTAGAATGGGGAGGCCATTTCGATTTTTGCACTTCAAGTTGTGTACTTCGACTTTAATAAACGATAGAACTCGAGTGAACACCAGTGAATGTCTTGATTTTGAACTTATAACATCTCCAGAAGAAAGTAGAATGAGGCCTTATATACTATATCCTGTGTTGCCCCCCCAACAAAAGAAAACCTCATATTCGCATCCACTGGAATCCCTGATTGGAAATCAGGGATTGGCCTTTTGCCTTATCCGGCGATGGGCTGCATGGATTGAGGACGGATTTGGCAAAGATCTACCATGATTAGTAAGCCATATCCCCGGTTTCGGGGTAGGGCACCTCAGCCCGGAGTTCCGGTTCAGTTGGTATATTCTACTCATTCAAGTGCAACAACTGTGCGTGATATTCGGGGGTCGAAGGGGGATTTACTAGTGTTCTATCTTATTGCGCGCATTTATAATCAATTGATCGGATGCAAAGGCTGTATACTAGGTCTGACGAATTAGACTCGTAACTCGCAACGTTGGAAGTATAAGAGGCAAATGATTTTCTGATTTTGATTTTACATCCAACTTTCTTTCAGAATCACTAGCATCCCCGTCTGTGTTCTTTCCATCTGCGAAGGCCCAACCCGTGCGACAATCCCAGAACAGCCCAGTCAAACTCTGTCAAAAGCCTCACCCCAAGTAACCGCCAAAACGATGTCGAACACTACATCCGATCACGAGCTCATCAGAAATTCAATTGCAAACATTGCAGTTTCATTTGATACGAACACCTTCTCAGGGCTTCGAAATTCGTTTACAGAAGATTGCGTGGCGGACTATACCGGGTCCCTTGGCCTCATGAATGGCATCGATACTGTTATTGAGAAGCTGCAGGGTACCATCGGGCATGTTACTACCTTCCACGGACTGAGCACGCAAGTCATACGACTCACGGGCAAGGACACGGCTGAGGCTACAACCTATTGCTCCGCGAGCCATTACGTAGGCGACAAGTCGTTCTTTGCCGAAGCTAAGTATTTCGATAAGCTCGTCAAAGTTACGGAGGGAAGCACCACAAATTGGTTGATCAACTATCGCTTGACCACGATGATGGGTGTTCCACGTGGCGATGTCTCCATTTTCAACATGGACTTGGAAGGATGGGTTGACACCTTGAAGGCGTGAGAAAATTATGCCTTTCACGAGCGAACCAAGCATATATCTCAAGTAAGATTCTCTTTCAAAGCCCGTGACTGACCTTGGTTAACATCACACGTCAATAGGGACACCATTGGTCTTTCTCAACTTCTGTCTACCAAGTCATAGGAGGGGATTGTAGGAAAAGAAGGGATGAATGGAGTCCTGTTACATTGAATTGAGAGAAATATATGCGCGCCGATTATCTGATGTACATTTGCTATTACTTTGAACGCTATTTTAATTGTAAAGTGTATAATTCATCAATTGATTAATACAAATCTTTTAGAGTGGACCAGGTTAAACCCCCATTTCATACAATAAAGTCGATAAGTGGAGTCGATTCATAACGTAGGCCATACAGTTATATAACCGTAGGTAGGTAGGGTTTACCCCCGGGGCCCCGGCACACGAGTCCTCGGCTACAAAATGGCGGGGGTGAACATTACTTAGGTAATCTACCGCTGGTCACATTTGCGATCTGCAGATCTAAATATATTCTATCCCATAAAGATCAAAGGAACTAGATCTAAGTTCAATTTTACCAATACTATTCTATCAACTAAGCTTGAACTCTCCTAAAGGCCGTATGAAACGGGGTCGCAATATGCAACAATACCAGCGCCATGATGCACACCCCAACCAACTACTGGTAGAGGTAGAACTCTCCACCGTTGATAGTCTTGCACTCGGTATCGACATTGCCAACAGAGCCTGTGTAGGGGCCACACTGATACTTGTAACCGGACTCAATGGAGGTTACAGCTGTTCCAGCAGGGCCCTCAGCGGCGATTTCATACTTCTCGACATTGAAAGCACCAGTGGGGAAAAAGAAGGAGTAGGCAGTGTCAGCGCAAGGCTCAGGGCTCTTGGCGCCGACAGGGAGTGTGCCGTTGGTCCTAATTGATTGGATTAGTCTCTTGCTATTGTGGTCTTGTGGGGGTTCGGCGGTATGGTAATAACTCACCAAGCAGTGTGACAGGTGGTGGTCTCAAGGGCCTCACCCGCGAGGCTCCTAGAAGTAAGGTAGAATGTCAAATCCCAGGTGTTTCCCTCAATGGTGTGCTTGAGGGAAAGTTCCCCGATGTTGTAAGGGTAGGCTCGGGACTCAGTGGCAGGAGCGGCGAAGGCGGCACCAACGAGAGAGACAGCAATAGTAACAAAAGAAGTCTTCATGCTGATGGATGAGTATGATATATTGTGTCAAAAAAGGACAAAGTTGGGTTGTTGTGTTGCTAATCGTTGATTCTTAAGTTAAAGTAAATGGTGATGTTGTGATAATAAAAGACAGATAGAAGAAGGTCCCAAATCGTTTCTGTCTACCCTTGGATATCCAAAATAACTCATGTTGCTGTGAAGAGAAAAGCACGATTGTCTCAGTATGGTTCAGCTCACTCGGTCAGTTTTCGCCAATTGATAGTCAGGTAGGGTGTGATATTTTGATACAGGGTGCACCGTTTCTCGCCGTTCTTGCTGGCAGTGTCTTAGTAACTCCTTGCATGACGACTAAATATAGCTTAAACATACATAGCGGGGAACTCCGAAATAGCACGTAATACATAATATTAACTCATCATAAAACTATCCATGAATGGATGTAATATCCCGGAGGTTAAATACTCGGAACTCCGGGGTAGTAATCTACAAGAGCTTATGAAATGTATCAAATCAGCCGCTTAAGCCTAGAGCTTACAAAATACTTGGCGCGCATATCCGCCACTCTAGGACGCCTAATTCTACAAATGGAATCGCCCAGTGCCCCTGGGACTGATAGTAGTATACGATTTAAAAATGGGCTGCGGAGAAGTCCGTATCATGGGGTAGTTGGTGGGATGTCGAGCATACAAATACATGAAATAGGATGCGAGTACAAAAATGATACAACTCAACTACTCCGTCAAATCCTTCATTAGCATCTAGAAGTCTAGAAATCGCTACTTGAGCGCGATTCCATAATTACAAGATGCAAACCCGGTAATTTAACCTACTTGTGGTAGCCTTCTTGGTCGTTCTCCCCCCTTCGTAGATAATGATGCCTGCTCTTCTTACCCCTATGAAGCGCCCACTTGGTCGAATAGTGGAGTAGACGACTGGCAGAAAATTGGTTGAAAGAACATTACTATAAGAAACGTTGTAAACTATTCCTTGATTCTATTATCGGTTTGTTTATTCTAGCTGATCGACAATTTCTCTTATTCAGGTGATTGGCTGTATAAGATGAATGCTGAAACTGCAGGGAATTGGTGATCAAAACTCCGTCATCGACTGCAAGATCCTCTATTATGCGCGCACCTGTAGGGAGCCAGAGGTGCAGTGCACATATGTTGTACTCCACCCCAGAGCAGTGTGGGTTTTCTCCCGTCTTCCAAATTCAAGATAGAGATCATGGTTACTGATGAAATGATGGCCTCTGGACTTCTGCACCCGTCAAATGGCTGCCCAATTTAACTAGCGCATCACCTGGGCCATGCAGCCTGGCAAGGAGAGAACCGTCCCAACGAAAAATTCAGCAGCACATACACGCGAGAGAGGGTGGGGAGCTCCGTAATGTGGATGAAGGCCCAGGTGGCAAAGATGGATCATTAAAAAAGGTATCCATGGGCTATATTTTCTTTCTCCATATATTAATCCACTCAAGTCTAATCCACCCACGCCCAAGTTCTAATTGTTGAAATCTTAATACTCGAATTTTTCAATGCGTATTCGATTCTCGATTGTCCTCTATTTAATTCGTACGATTTATCATGTGAATTCATACATTTGTAGTCGGTGTTCAGATACCATCATTCTCTAGGAATGTACAGCATAGTAAAAACTGGTGTAATTATCAGATCTTTCGGATCTAATCTACAGTGGGACCTCGGCTCCAAAGTGTTGGACTAAACTTCGAACCCGACCGAAATATTGGGCGGGTACGAAGTTTGGCCCTACAGTACTAGTAGTTACTTATTTCCGAGGTCCCACTGTACATTGTAAAGATCTTGTACTCCGTACAACATACATACACGCCATGAAAAACCACCGGTGTGCTTGGCAGTCCAAATTTGAGACTGCCGTTGTGGACCCCATTACTTCCTATAACGGCCTAGTGTTTAAATAGTACCGACATGCTAAGCAACGCAATTACGGCATAACTAACCTTAGAAGTCTCGACACCCATTCTAAGTCTCCACTGATCAATTAGCTTTTGCGATATTTCTTGTTGAACGTTTACACTTTGTACTTTGTATCATTACAACATACTTCGTATATCATACTTCGTAATCGCACTTCGTAATCGCACTTCGTATATAGCGGCACTTCGTATATGGTACTTCGGTACTTCGTATATGGCGGTACTTCGTATACCGTACTTCGTACACCGTCCTACATACGTAAATATTATTCCCATTCCTAGTGGTATTTTTCCAGCGCTAAGACCCAGAAGAAAAAAAATCCCAGAAAGAAAATGGAGTGAATCTTGCTTGAAATGGAAATCTAGACGATACTCACTCGGGATTCTACTACTAATATATATTCTAGTGCGGAGTAGAGTGAAAGAGGATACGTGTACCATGGCGCTCAGACGCAAGTAAGATCATCCCGATAGCTTGTACTCCATAAGGTTCCGCAGTATGCCGGCGGTTTGAACTTTCCTTTAAGAGAACATTCGGAAGTTGGGCGGATCGGAGTTGAACATCCCGGCCCGTGAGATGCCGATGGGCTCTACGGAGTATCAGGTCAAGGTGGTGGATAGGGATGGGCTAGCTAATGCACGAGGAGGTAGGTAAGATTTGGGCAAATGGATGTCCTTTTAGTTGGACTTGCCGCTCATACCGCAATAAAATGCCACTTTCTCGGTGAGAATCGAAAGTGTTAAAGTACTATACATCATTTACTTGCTCTCCTTATCTGGAGTATAACCCCTCCCCTCCTAATGTGATAAGAAGTATGAATGTATTCCAATCACAATAAGTGGGCACTGAGATTGATTCGATAGAGCCATAGAGTAGATCAGCAATATATTTCGAATAACTTTTTGGTCTCGGAAATTCTTCAATTCTTCAAAAAAGAATTGGTAATGGCTAATTCCGCAAAGATTATATTTTCCCCCCGCCATATCAATAGCTATGTAAAGGAGCTGGAACATGCCTCCTCCCTTTCATGCCTTCTGTCGCCATAAAAATGGTATTACCAGAAACCACACTAAGGGGGGTTCATCGTCTCATCTAGGACCCGAGGACTTGGGTTTTACATGAAGTAGCTATGGGCTATAGAGAGCTTTCTTCTTCCATGTTAATCTACGGCCGCAAAAAGTAAAGTGCCCCTCCGACTAAATGCAAGCTTCCCGTCACAAAGACTTCCATTCCACCTCGCTCGGCACCTAATCGCTTTGCAGACCTAATTGCCGCCTCAATAGTTGACTCGGTTGAAACTGCAGCGCTAGGGTCAAACTTTGCCCAGAGTGAAGAGTAGATTGCACAAAAGTCAGGAAATTCAGTTTCAGGCATTTTGAGAGTTTTGTCTGGGAGAGAAATAATTAGGCCAAGCACATCCTTTATAGTAACCATCTTTATTACTCACCGATACGCGTAGTCCCATCCTCTCTTTCGTGATATGTAGTGAAGATGACGTAGTCCGGTCTTGCATCATGTTCTGATAAGGACTGAGCCAAACATTGCACTAGGGCCACTCCGTCGCGCTCCTCTGAAAAGTGACTGAAGATAAGGACACGACATCTGGTAATGTAATGTCATATTAGCTGGCTGGTTCTATATTCAAGATAATATGACATACTTTGATATATCCGAGGAGTTTGAGTTCTTTGCAAACCACTCCGCCGCTTGCGTGATGCTCAATGTGTTATGAGCTCCATCCAAGAACCACTTGGACGTTCCATCTTCGATGACTTCAAATCTCCCAATCGATGAGAAATTTTCAATGCCATTCGAGATGTCATCGGAGTCCAGGACTTGATCAGGTGCCTTAATTTGTATAAAGGACCTAGCTAGCTCAAGTGCCAGTGAGCAGTTTAACCGCTGAACCGGGACACTCAGGACCCTATTATTGATAGGGAGGGAGCTGTTGATCGGAACGAACGTTAAATTCGTCTTTCTTTCTGCGGCACGGTCGTATAAGATCTGAATAGTATCAAGTTCCTGTGGTACAGAGAATGCAGGTGCCGCGGGTTTGAAGATTCCAGCTTTATGCCAGGCAATATCTTTAATCGTGGGCCCGAGCTGGTTAATATGGTCTATCCCGAGAGATGTGATCCCCGTTGCGATAGGCTTCTGGATCACGTTCGTAGCGTCGTATTCTCCGCCATGGTGTGTTTCGAAAATTGCCGCGTCGACACCCTCCTTAATAAAGGTATGAAAAGCTAATAAAGCTAGAAGCTGGAGGTAACGGGGCCGTCTTTCGAGTTCTGCGCGGGAAAGTCTTTCCCAAACCTCGAAGAAGTATTGCGTGAAGAGTTCTTCAGTTATTGGTTGGTTGTTGATCTGTATTCTCTCCCTAATACATTGTAAATCGGGGGAGGTATATAATCCGATCTGCTTCGGGAACCCCGTCCGTAAACCATGCGACCGAAGAAAGCTGCTAGTGAAAGCGCAGGTACTGCCTTTGCCTTTTGTCCCAGCGATATGGACTATGTTCAGCCCGTTGACGTCAACTTCCTAGTTTCAGTAAGAACAAACAGGCCATGGCGGCTGAGGGCATAGGTCATTCATACTGAGTGTCCTAAAGCGCACAACCACTCATCCATACCGACCAAACTAGGGATGCCTCTCGTGGTTTGTTTGCCGCTAGGGGTCGATGCACCCTGTGATGTTGGGATCTGCGCAGGAGCGTTTGGTCGAGCTGTGCGGAGCTGCGCCGTAAGTAGTTGGAGGGCATTCTATGTTGTTAGATCAGGTGTATAAATAACATGGTTTGGAAAAATTACCTGATAGCTATGCTTCATGTTGTAAGCCATCTGAAGACACGCCGGTATGCGATAAACTTCGCGAGAAAGTCGATTGGGTCAATTTTCAAGGCCAGTTGTCAGATTGTACTGTGTGGTCCCGAGCAGAAGCTAGGGCCTAGCATATATACCGCTGCAGCGACAGAGGTTCCGATTGTTGCTATAATTTTTTGGCCTAGCGGTTAAATACTCTTATGTAATCCAACCAGGAGCCCACTGCGTGATTACAATCATGTGATATAGTTATCCCCTCAACAGAGTCAAAACGTAAATATGGAGAAATGAGTTCAATTTCTAATTCCTAGCATTGCATGGAGTTTGAATCTAGCAAGGCGTTTTGCTCGCCAGGTCACCTCCCTATCCAATCTAGCAAACCCCCATTGACATAGCATGTCCAAGCAAAAGCTTTGTTACCACATGCTTATCAGCGGCTACTTGTGCCGCATCTCGTCGTCTGCCCCATCTCTTATTTGTTATCAGATCAAAATCGTGATAGTCCTCGCAAGGCTCGGCTTGGGCTGCTTCGAGGGCATTACTGAACCCGGAATGGTCCTTCTGGAGGTTCACAATGGCCCCAGCACCGAGCAATATCTTCACACATTCTGTCTGCCCCCAATGTGAGGCTGCGTTCAAAGCAGTCCCATAACTTCCAGCAATCAACGGTAAATTCACATCCGCCCCCCGTGTTTCCACGAGATACTCGACAACCCCCACCCATCCTGCTGCTGCTGCCGCCGCAAGTGCACTCCCAAAGTGTCCAGCCGGAAGAACCATATCAACTGTGGCCCCATTTTGTGTCAAATATTCGGTCATTTGCAAGCTACCACTACATGCAGCAGCAGCGAGCGCGCTTCCATAGTCTCCTTGAAGCACCGCATTGACAGTGGCCCCGTTTTCTATCAGAATAACAGCCGTTGGAACCCGGCTTTTGCGTGCCGCAGTAGCAAGGGCGCTTCCGTATGATCCATGAAGTGCCATATTGACTTTGGCCCCTTTCCGAATCAAAAGGTCGATCACAGGAATATTTCCGTGGGATGCCGCAACCGCAGCGGCGAGCGCACTTCCAAACTTTCCTTCAAGCGCTAAATCAACAGTAGCCCCGTTTTCTATCAGACATTCGGCTCCAGAAAGGTTCCCGGTGAATGCCGCCAGGGCGAGCGCGCTTCCGGAAGACCCTTGAAATTCCATATCAACGGTAGCCCCTTTATTGACCAGAAACTCGATCATGGCACGTCCACCACCGCAAGCTGCAGCAGCCAAGGCGGTTCCGTATAATCCTGGAAGCTCGAGATCAATATTTGCACCTTTTTCAATGAAATATTCAGCTACCTGGAGCTGACCACGCTGTGCTGCGGCAGCGAGGGCACTTCCAAAGTTTCCTTGGAAGTCTCGTTTCATTGGCATGTCAATGGTAGCCCCTTTTTCTATCAAAAGTTTGACGATATCAAGTCTACTAGTAGATACTGCGACGGAAAGGGCGCTCCCGCAGTGTCCTTGAAGTTCCAGATCAACGTTGGCCCGGTTTTCGAGTAAAAGTTCGATCATAGGACTATCGCCAAAGGATACTGCAGTAGCAAGGGCGCTTCGGTAATCTCCTTGAAGTGGCATATCAACCGTTGCCCCGTTTTCTATCAGAAGTCTAACCATGTCAAGGTTCCCAGTAGATACTGCGGTGGCCAGAGCGCTTCCAAAATCTCCGTGAAGAGCCAAATCAACTGTAGCACCTTTTTGTATCAAAAGTCGGGCTATACCGAGTTTTCCATCAAACGCCGCAGTGGCAAGGGCACTAGAACGATCACCAGAACGGTCAACGAAAGCTTGGCGATTCAAAAGCTTTTCGCAAATTGAAATGCAACCAGCTCTGACGGCGATAATGAGAGGAGTTTCATTTTGTTTGTTGAAGTATGTAAGAAACATGTCGTCTCTATCCCACCAATCCTGGAGTATAGTATTGAAGGAAAAGCGACAGACTGCAAGGATAGGCAGAGTCGGCGGCGAAATGTCTTCGAGCGTACTGAAATCGGTGAAAATAGCCGTGTCTCGTATAAGCCGCACATCGTCTGAGACATCCTGATGCCATGCCTGATACACAGGTCCACTTCTTGATGGTGAGCTCAGGAACTCTCTAAGCAGAGCATTCAAAGGATAGTCAAATCCGTTGGACTCTAGTGCAATATACTCTTGGCGCTGAATATGGCGCATCCAATGGTGTCGGGAATAGAAGTGGAACGGATAATCTCTTGAAAAAATGACTGAATCCTCATGCAATTCGGGGTCTTTCTGGGTTGTGATCATGAGCTCCTCGTATCCAGATTTAGGGACTGTGCTAGCTGCCGGTTCCCCATATGCAAGCATTAGGAAGCGCAGGCACGATTTGGCAGTATAGCAGTGGGCTCTTTGCGAATTCCACAGTTCATTTTCGATATACTCCGAAACGGAAGCATGACAGAATCTGAATCGGTTCAAGGGCTGATCGAAAACAAGCAAGTTCTTACAGAGGCTCAACAACGTGTTTTTATCAATCACTTCTTCGAGCTCATTATGATTTTCATCGTGACGGATAGCGGCTAGGAGCTGTTCGCTTCTCATAGGTCCGTATGAACACATCACCCATAGAAAGGCACGATCCACGACTATTTTCTGATCTTCATCCGCAGATATTTGTTCATAAATCTCCTTGTAGGTTCGGGTGAGGCCTTAGGGCATTCGGCTAATGCGACGAAGAAGAGCCTTGCCTAGTTGCACATTGCGTAATTGTTCAATTTGCAGGGAAGCCCACAAAAACCTGTCAATAAATTAATATCTTTCCTTCTAGTATGATGGGTATTAAACAGAAACTCACATCCCGTCGCTCTTCTCTACCAGAGCTTCAACGGCCTCTTCTCGGAACTTCACGGTATTAGAGTTCCAACGAAGTTCGCCAATTTTCTTGTCAATAAAGCTTTTTATATCTTCCTTCACATCAGGAACCTCGGTTTTGATGATGGGTTCATCATGGAAGCGTTCCTCAATGTCAGACTCTGGGCGAGCGGAGATAAATATCCTAACTGGATACTCTGATTGGGAAACAAGGGAATCAATGAGGTCAAATAGCTCATTTCTGGGCTCGGCACATTCGTCAAGGGCGTCCAGAACAATCGTGGTTTGGCTGTATTGGCTAACCGACTTGATGATTTGCTGCTTGCAGATCGAAAGTGACGGTTGGGTCATTCTCTTCGATTGAGAATAGAGGTCTCGGACATCCTTTCGCATTTCATCCTCTTGAAACTCGTGGGCTGGGGTTGCCAGCTGACGAAAAAGGGCTCTAATCACATCACTTGGGTCTTCAAATGTTTGTCCGCTCCGTTGACAGTAGTAAAAGGCTAGCCCCTCACCTGGATGTAAATTCGCACGAAGGTCGTCGATAACCCTAGACGTCAGAAAGCTTTTTCCAGTACCAGCTATAGGAATTAGCTTAAGTGGTCCCACATGACGATATGGAGGTAAAGCACTCACGGAGACCCTGCAGCCAAATGACTGCCGGTGATGAACTTTGCTCCCACTCTTTGAAAACTGAGTTTTCTAAAAGCCACCCGCACGTTTTGGGTGTCCGAGCCTCCGCTTTCAGATGATGTCGATCGAGTTCCCTATACTGCGAAATCCAGTCAAGGATTTCTATCACCTCTTGCCTATCTAGTCGCTCAAAAAGCTCATCAAAACGTTGCTCGATGACTGAATTGAACATGGAGAACTTTTCCAAAAACTCCATGACGGTGGCATCAACATCGTCATCGATCTTGCTTCGACAATCCAGAACAACTTCACGAAGATGGGAACGACAACTCTCCAAATCTGAAACCTGATCCTGTGCTTTTGAAGGGTTCAGAAGAGCATTGACTAGCCGGCGACCTGTCCGTTTATCGCATTGTCGAAGGGCATAAACCAGGAATCTCAATGATGTAACATATAACTTCAACAAGGCTGATTGGAAGTCAGTCCAAAGATTGGTGTGCTGATTTTTGATCTTTTCACGGAAGATGGTTTCGTATGTCTTTCCACAGCGAATAGTCCGAACAAGGATATCTGCCGTCATGAGTACCGCAGCAGTCTCTTCATCTGCGTCGACTGGGACCTAGATAAATTAACACGTGTGGCCAATGTGGGGTTCAATGAGGCGTACCTGCATCAAGCCTTTTACCAACGGCCAGACAATACTCGCCGGCTGGGGCATGAGTTGAACACTGGCATCACCGACAGTGGTAAGACAAGTAATGACTCTCGCCGTGTAGTCTCTTGGAACAATTTTGCGTCCATAAAAATCGAACTTCCAAATTTTGTCTGATAATCCGTCCTGTTTTTTCCGGGTAACTACAATGAGATCTTCAAAATCCGTACATTTGAAGCTCATACTCTGGGTTTGTTCATTAGCGATCACGTGGCTGGGCGTTAAGAAGGCTTGAAGCTGTCCTTGCTCCTCTTGAGAAAGTTCATCAAAGCTCAATTGCCAGAGGTCCTCTGGGTCGTCTTTGGAAGGCATGAAAAGCGAGCTCGTGTCATTCTGCGAGGTATTGCATCTGCCTCCGTCCACCTCAGTCCCCTCCGTGGCTGGGGGCTTAACGGAGGCATCAGGGGTGGTTAGGAGGGAATGTGAGGTAGACCTTGAGATTTCGGTTGATTGACGAGTTTGAAAATTTTGTGATCGGAAATTGACACTGGACGAGATGGGGGTGGTTGTGTTGGAGACTGCGGGTGTTTTGGCTGGGTCTGTCGATTTGACGTTCACCCCCACGTTCCCCTGGTGTGGAGACTTTCCATCTTTCCATATCTTGTAACGGCTGCGAATGCCCATTACTGAAGACCAAAGGAATGAAATGATTCAAAGGATGGAGGTCTTATATTCTAATTCAACTGGCAATGGTCACAATACCATGGGGTTCTGGGGTTTTGGAGTCAGGGAAGATGAAAAGGCCAGATTGAAGACCAAGGGAAAAGGATGCCTTTCGTGCAAAATACTTCAAGCCGGTCGCAGAGCGTTAATCCGTGTGCTTCAACAGCCAATCACATTGACGAAGTCCCATGCAATTAAGGGGCTCAACCCCCGGGTTTCAAACGTGACGCTGCACGTCTCCGGCCCCCACGCGACTGCACGTGTACTTCTCCTATACATAGTGTTCCAGAATTGTAGGCTCATGCAAATTTACTTGTCAACATACACAATCTGAATGCGGTTTTCCAACAATTAAGGTATGCTTCGAGATGTCAGCGCTTGCAAACAATACCAGCATAGTATGATCATAGAGCTAGAGGGCCAATAAGGCGCTGGAGGCAGGCCGGCAAACCTTGTACACGTTGTAGAACCATCATGGATGCACAGGTACATAAAGTCATAGTAGAGACTATATATTTACCTGTGAAGAGTGGCTGGTCAATATACCGAATGATGACACCAGCACTGCCCCTTCTGTAATCGGAGCTAAGTAAAAGTTTTTCTCGCTTTGTAATTCTTCCAATCCATCTTCTTTGAACATTTACGACCCGAGTCAATTTTCCGAACGTCTTGAAGCTCGCTTTAATATATCTGAACCCGAATGTACTAAATTTTATTACGGCATCATGCATTTATTATTCCGATCTAGGTCAACCGAACCTGAGCATCATCCAAGCAGTCTTCCTGAAAGTCCAAGGCCTCGGAGCGTAACAAGGTGAAGGGGAGAATCACTTGCCTCGATGATGAATTGTATGCAATATACTCTGAGGGGTAAAGGGGGCCTATTTGATTGCAAAGGTCAGCCGAAGCTGAGACCTCGGGAATCATCCAAGCAAGCAGTCTTCTTCGCGGCCCAAGGCCTCGAAGTGTAACAAGGAGAAGAAGAGAATCACTTACCTCGATTATGAACTGCAAAATACTCTTTTCAACTAGCAGTTGAACCCAAAAGGCGACGGAGCAAGATGATCGGGATAAATGAAGAATATAGTAAGCTATTTGAACAGGGCAACGATAATCACACTGTCTGATCTAGGACAATTCAGGAAGTTACTATGGAATAATTACGCCATTTGTCCCACCTGCTCTTACTTAACTACACTCTATATATCTATCCACGGAACAATATTCAAAATTGGAAGGAAAGCTCTAACATGCTTAGAACTAGCCCTTGCCCTGGAAAGTTCTTAAGTCTCGTCATAGCGATCACGAATTTGGCGAACGGCACATATAGATGGGGTAGCGCTGTTACCACATCGTAGCCCTGGCTATCGAAAACTAGATAACTCTCGAGCGTAATGGAAGAAGCTAAGAGCGAATGAGGTGAAAGCAGCGAATGTTACACTTAATGGGGCCGTAGATGAGCTGACAAGCCACGCTGAGAACGACATGGTGTCTGAGCTCGGTGATCTGAATCAATAGCAAAAATGTCTCACTGGAAGACATACATGCATAGAGACAGGAAGAATGTAGAAGTGAAAGTGAAATTAACTAGAGGGCAATATCACACTAGCTGGCCAGTTCATAATGCCACGTCCTTACTCTAATTACAACAATAATCCGATATTGTGTAAACGGAGGTAGCGATGGAACAACCACAGTTTGGCGGAGTGTTAATTCACAAAATCGTGGTCTTTCCACCTAGTGTTTCTGGTCAACTACATGTGGCCAGACCATCTCCAAGTAAAATGCACCACATACGTAGAGCGAAAGTGGGGGCCAATGATGACCGTTGTAAAATGCAATGCTGAAAATTGACGCTGGTAGATGCTCAACGAAGCAAGCTACCCAAGTCATTTTGCCGCTTTTTCCACTAAATATACCATCCATGAACCTCTGTCACATTCGCCTGCAACAAAGTAACTAGTCTCAAATTGATTGTAAAGTTATCACACGGTGTCGGCGGCTAGCGATAGGACCCTAGATCTCAGTTCAAGAGGCCTCAGTTCTACTTAACGCCTCGTTTCATGTTAAAAATAGAAAAGTTTATCAGTTCAGAGATCGGCACCTAAATGGGACCTATCTGACAGGATTAAAAAACACAGAAACATAGATTCAGTGCTCACTGTTCGACTAAGTGTTTCCAAATGCCTAGGAGGTTCCAAGCTCGGGGTATTCTAACTTCCTCTGCAAAGCATCTGACTACCGACTATCCCCTTCTTCCATACTACGTTCTATCACGCGACTCCCTCTTCTGTATCGTCGTTTTTTCCCGCTTAATATTTTGATTCATCTCGCGACAACCTCCTCCACAACCATGGCTTCTGATCTTCTCAAACCTCTAGCGGTATTTTGCAGTCAATCTCAGTCTCAGCGATACATAAAAGCTGTCAGTAACCTTGGCGATGCATCGCGCAGCCTTGCTGAAAAGCCTCTGTCCAAGTCTGAGGAAGACTCTATTCTGGTGGAAACCAACTTTGACTTTGTTTTGAAAATCACGAATACACTGGAAGAACAATGCCAGTCAACGTCAACTATTGTCGAAATGTCAGCTCACGAGCCATCTACATCGCTCTTAAACGCTTCATCTGAATCATCTCTATCAACCAAGTCATCTGCAACCTCTCTGTCGACCAGGCCATCTACAGCAACAGAACCTCCGCGACACTATCGTATCTTTGCCGATTATGGCACGGATTTTATCTGGCGAGATCCCGATGACCTTATGCCTGAGGAAGGGGACTGTATGTTAGAGGCTGAAGAGGTACTCTCTACATTCCCTTCATCAGTCTTGGAATCATACAATGCGTGGGTAGACACGTACACCGATAACTTCAGCGAAAGACGCGATAAAACTCAAAATTACTATGCTGATGTTTTTCTAACTGCGTCCGAGGAGGTGGCTTGGAACGTGGCAGGGTTTTTGTTGGCTTGGCGTATCACATTAGCGCCTCAGGTTGGGAGAATTGAATTTAGCGCCGGTTGTTCAAAGTACCTTCTAGAGAAAGGGAAGGAAACCAGCGCGACTTTGCAATTTTTACAGAACCAGGTGGATATTTTAGCCGAAGGAAAGGGGCCAAGAATGCAATAACGATAAAGGCATGAGTACTTTGGCCAGAAGATTGAAATCTTCGCGTACGTCGCTAACGATATCTGATTTTCTGCGACTTAAGTTATTTCCAATTGATTCATCTATTGATTCTACTAGAGTTTACTTTTCAGCTCTGGTTTATGCCTACAAAAAGATTACGTGTGCTATATAATAGGCTGCTGCACGAAATATTCAAGGCTGCCGAAACGATAACATAGTAAGACAGCCTCTTTCTATTCCTGCTCTTAAAAGGAGAAGTATTGTAGGTGACTAAATATGGATGGTCGGATATAGATGATTGATTGAAGTGGCCAATTGAAGTAGTTGAGTGGAGGCGAGTAAGCGCTAACCTTAAAGAACAAACTTTTTACCACAAAATCACACAGTGCTAAGAGTCCCCTTCATTTAAATACATGATATAACCTCTTCCTGATAAGCACTCTCCTTTAGAGACAATCCTGCAGAGCTCTTGTCGTTCAAGGTCGCCTCTTTTCATTCCTTCTCCCAAAGGTCGAGGCATTCTGGGTGGTCAAATATGGATGATTGATTGAAGTGGTTGATTGTTTGAACTGGGTAATTGATTGGGGTGGATAGTTGAGGTGATGGTCAACCAGCCTGCCGATTGTCCTGAAGCCGAAGCCCGCCACAGTCAGACTGGTTATGTTTGATTGAAGTGGATGATTGATTGAAGTTGGATGATTGATTGAAGTTGGATGTATGATTGATTGAAGTTGGATGATTGGATTGGATGATTGGATTGGATGATTGAATTGGATGATTGAATTGGATGATTGATTGAAGTTGAATGATTGGATTGGATGATTGAATTGGATGATTGAAGTGGATGATTGATTGAAGTTGGATGATTGATTGAAGTTGGATGATTGAATTGGATGATTGATTGAGTTGGATGGTTAATGTATTCATTGCAATATTTTGTTTTGTTTTCTTTTTTCTTTTTCTTTTTCTTTTTTTTTCATTGCTGTGGACATTTTCCTTAGGCCAGAGCCCGCCACGGCAAGACTGGATGTGATTGAGGACACATATCTGATATAGTCAGCCCCGTGTCCTGTTGGTCAAGTCAAAGAATTGAAGTCTTGATACATACAATAGCAGATCAGTGACAACACCAATAAGAAGTAATGGCCCCATCAAGTGGAAGATGGAAGATGGATGGAGCACGTGGCTGAGTTTTCTGAACAATGAATATAAGTAGATGGAAGAAGAAGAAAAAAAATATAGGCAGAACATACAACTCATGTTATGGATGATGAATATGACAGGTGCCACCTAGGCAGTCACGTTGAAAGGAGATGTTGTTATGTGGCTGAGTTATCTGAAGGATGAATGTAAGTAAGGAATAGAACAAGTAAGTCAACTGGATTGGATCACTGACCACACATGTGATAAATATGGACGACATGAAAGACAATGCGTGAAGGGCATGGTGATCATAAGCTTCGTCTCATTCGATGTGGATGTAGAAAGATAGAAGAAGTGATGAGGCTTAAGCTGATTGATGATGGAAGACATCAGTTGATGATCGAAGACCTGATAGAAGTTTCAAGGTGGATAAAATATTTGATCAAACGTTTTTGTGGGTAGATGAGGATGTGGGGAGATGAAAAGGGAAGAAAGAAAAATGAGAGAAAGAGGGGAGGAGAGGGTATTTATACCCCATGGGTCCAGAGGTAGTTACCTAGATAGGCAACGGGTGTTCTTCAGTTACGTGTGTGATCATTTACGTTTCTGTTCAGTTTGGACGTGTGTGTTCAGTTACGTCTGTAGGTAATGGGGGTGTCCTTCAGGTGAACCCCCATTTCACATCTTTCCCTCTTCAACTATTTGCTCTATAAGTCTACCAGTCACATTCATGGTCTCTCTGTATCTTAGCTTCTATAACCCATCACTCAATGCATTTTACATTCCACTATGCACTTCAACATAGTCCTCCCTTCACAGGTTGTGAGCCCGGAAGCTCTATTCATTCAACCTTCCTCTCTATGCTATCTCCCAATAGCTTCTCTATCGAAGCTATCACTATCCACGGCTTCGACGCCATCCTCACCTTCGTCACTAGCGCTACACGACGCGCCAACCGGCCAAGCCATACATATCTATCTAGTTCCAACACTAGCAACCGCGCCCAACGAGCTTACGCCTCTCTCTCTCTCGACGGTCACTTCAAACGCGCAAAGGGTCTCGGCCCTAATCAAGCGCATTCATCCCACGGTGCCTCTCACTATTCGGCGCATCGTACTTTTCTTTCGACGTACACCTTCGACCATGCCTCTCTTCCTTCGACACACCACCCATATCTCGTCGGCCAGCTTCGCAAAGCCTAAGCTCTTAGAGCTCGTCCCCGTTCTCGCTAGCCAGCCTAGCTTCCATTCAGATCCCATCTTCTACAAAGCAAATGCAATCAACAGAGGCAATCCTACCACTAAGCCAAAACAATACTGTACCTACTACCAGTGTAAGACAGTACACACTATAGAGCAATGCCATCTCAACCCCGCTGACGCCAACGCCAATGCTAACACTACCAGATCGGCTGATACGCTAACCACCACCGCCGCTTCCTCTGCTACTACAGCCAATTCCGTCACCGGAAGCCCTATGTTACGCTCCAACAACCCATTTACAAGCTAGCATTTGCTATCTCGTGGGGGGACTCAGCTCAATAGTTTCATGTTCCTTCGGGGTGTCACATTCATAGTCTCCCTGTAGCTTAGCGCCTACAGCTCATCACTCAATGCATCTCGCAATCCACCATGTACTTTGATGCAGTCCTCCCTTAACATTATTCTACTTCTTATAATCATTCAGGTAGTAGCGTAGTCGCGAATAATCTCTAGAGATGTAAAGAGAAGGTGAGACGGTGTACATATTCTACAGGCTTACACCACCAGAGAATATCATTGTCAGTCTCACACATCGACCTAGATACTTCAATTGTATTGTATTCTACTTCTGATAATATCTGGCTACATCTTATAGAAACGCACCATGTTGTCGATTAAAAATATAGGTTATTGAGATGCGGTAAGATCTATAGCTCATTAAGGTTACACGCTAAACTTTATTTGGTATAGCGTCCAGCATGGATAAGGACCTGCATAAAGTTGAATGTCGCGAAACCGAGCAGTCAAAATCGAGAAGTAATGGACGAAAAGGAATGAAAGCTGGCTATGCCTAAGAATGTGCCCAATGCTACTCACGTGGTATGACAGTTGGCATATCACTAATGCTCACCAATATCTACGGATATAGTAGATTCTGCGATCACTCACGTTTTTTTTTGGGGGGTGTACCTGGAAACGCGCTAATCTTTATTAGGTTACCTTCAAGAGCGACCTGTGGATGATTTATACCGCATTAGACTTCATCGCCCAATGACTCATTGTAAAATACTACCTAGGTATAAATTGGGGTAGATATGACGAGCTTGATCTACACTCATTCCTTTTCCTTTCTTTATTATCCTCCGCAGCCTTTACCTTGTCGACCTTTACGAGACGAAGACTGTGTGCTATTACGGCAGAGGACTGACACTGGTATGCCAACATGATTCTTCTTGTTTTCCTATGGCCCTTGCTCTCTCCTGTCGCTTCTACTACCTTGTAGTGTCTCGCCTTAAATTTTACCGCCCACTGAAGCTAACGCCGATCTCTAGGATTTTAAACTCTATCCTCCGTTGCCGCTCTTACCCGCATTTGCCGTGTATACTCATACATACTTGGGTTTACCCCAATCTTGCTTTCTGATATTCAACCATACAAATGATCGAGCTACGAAATATTGGCCCCGACGAGTGGGAGGTGTGGAAATATCAAAGACTGGCTGCACTTACGAAAGCACCCGATGCATTCTCATCAAAACTCGCAGACTGGAAAAATGCGTCTGAGCAACAGTGGCGCAATCGGCTTAGCAGATGCGGCAGCTACCAAGTGGTTGCTTCTCTCCAAGGCACGATAGTGGGCATGGCCGGTGGGGTTACACTTGCCGAGCCTGGGGTTGCAGAGCTTATATCTATGTGGGTAGCTCCCGCTGGACGAGGTTGTGGTGTCGGGGATGCACTAGTGGCTGCTGTTCAGGGATGGGCATATGGCACTGGTGCCACCATTCTTAAACTATCTGTGGTAGAGAATAATCACCCAGCTCGTAAGCTATATCTCCGGAATGGGTTTGTCGACGCTGAGCTTGAAAGCAGTGATATGGAGATCAAGGATGTGTACCGTGAGCGGGTTATGGTGAAAAAAAGCAACAGGTTTAGCCCGGATTCTGTCTGACATCATATGAGAACGGGATCAAGAGGATAGAGGTTAAAGATATATAGCAATGAGGTTCAAAACAACATTTATTATATATCACAATCATCGCCTGAGACGTCGTAGCTTAAGCGACCTTGCACTTTGTTGGTTTTTTTTTTTTTNGGGGGGGGGGGGGGGGGGGGGGGGGGGGGGGGGGGGCCTTGTCTGTTCGCTGCATTCCATTCCGTCAGCCATTAGGGAAGTGGTCAAGCAAGCAAGATAACTTTCTATCCAGCTGCTTCTAGAAATCGATGCAATAGTTTCTAACATTGCAAATATCGATAGGGACCCCTCTACTTATGATAGCCTTCTAAGAAGGATATTCGTGGGAACTCAGATCAATATAAAAAATGCCTCATTGGAAAGATGCATGCATGGACGCAGTAACCAAGTAGAAGTGTGAAAATTCACTAGATAAGCTGGGGTCGGAGAGTTATACAATGCTAATTTGGTTTATGTAGCCATTAATGGTTCATCCCTGCATCCAATTATCCGATATGGTGTAGTGGCTAACATCGCCGTCTCTCACACGGCAGCCGGGGGTTCGATTCCCCCTATCGGAGTCTTCTTTTTTGTGTCCAAAATTCATTGTCAAATGGATATGCGGTTTTTTTTTCAGTTGAGGGTAAATTTCGGAACCTAGCAAAGCAAGCGTAATTGCTAAGGTTGGGCACTTGAGAGGGCGGGGGGACCTTGGAAATAGTGGCCAACCTTGAGAGAACCTTGGAGTCATCACCTGACCTTATCGTATCTAATCGGGCCTTTTTTTTAAAAAAAAAATTCAAGGTACATAACATAGTATTAAGAAGACATTTCAATTGCAATTCAGTATACCGATTGTGGAGAAGCAAAGGAAGAAAAATTGACCGTTTTCATTATTACTATTCAAATCAAACTTGCCCACTCCATCAGCAAGTGCCTTTCCCACCACGAAGACCGCGGGGTACTATCAAGTCTTCCCCAAAAAAAGAATCGCAACCCACCTCAGGACCAACAACCATATAAACTTAGTCCTCCAAAATGGCGACAATTTCAACAGCCCAACCGGCCACAGATGCCACCTCTTACCTCGATCTCGCCATCACCCTCACAATCAACAATTGGCCGGCCCTCTCACTAGCCGTGCAGTCAAACTGGGGCGGCCCCAACTCAAGCGACAAGCGGGACTGGCTTTGCGGCGCAATCTCCGAGATGCTGACTGATCGACCCGAGACCGACGCTGAGGACCTGGAGGAAGTGCTCGTTCAAGTTATGAATGACGAGTTCGACGTGGCGGTGGACGACGAGAGCGCTGCGGACGTTGCGGATATGATTATGGAGCTGAAGACGCAGACGGATCGTGGCGAGTTCGGCACTGTCCAGCAGATGTTGGAGAATTTCCAGAAGAAGAGCCAAAATCGCTCTGCTGCGGCTCAGTTCCAGAGGGTTGAGGCTGCGGATGAGGATCAGGAGACGGACGATGAGAGTGACGAAGGGGATGTTGAGATGGGTGAGGCGCCTAACTTGGTGCGGGCTCCCAGGGAGCGAGCTGAGCCTGAGATTGATGATGATGGATTTACGAAGGTTGTTGGAAAGAAGAGGTAGATATGGACTTTTGTTGAATATGTTTGTTTTATTTCCGTTTTGCCTTGATGACAATAGGAGACCCCTAGGATAGATATCCTTTTCTAGTTACATAGATGCATTGTTACCAACGATTGATCATTCATCAGATCTGNCCCCCCCCCCCCCTATGTGGCTGAAGATAACCGAAGAACCCATAGACGGTTCAACCGCTTGGATTCATAGATGGAGCAATGTCTATGGAAGAAAGAATGTGGAAAAAGAAACGTTCATCATCGTCAGTTGTGGACTGTCTGTGGTATCATTACGCGACCTCTGCCCACCCGTACCGCCCTGTTCAGAGTTCTTCCCAAGCACATCTCTGACGCTGACATCAGTTTTATTTTGTGGTTGTTTGCGCTTTTGAGAACATGAACATTTAGGTAGCCTTGGTGGCAAAAGCACTTCACTGGGCCTCGGTCTCGGGAGTGATGAGCTTGGTGATCATACCAATAGCAATGGTTTGACCCTACAATCAGTATGTTAGCAGAGACAAAGGAAATTAGAGGGTGTGAAAAGACATACCTGGTCACGCAGGGTGAAACGACCTAATTGGTTGTATTCGTCGTAAGTCTCGACACAAACGGCGCCAGCGGTGCTGGTAACCTCGAGACGGGCAATAATGGTCTGGCCCTTGCTGGCGAACTGGGGAGGGCGCTTGCTCTTGCGGCCGGTGCCGGGCTCGAGCTTGTGAAGAAGAGCGGCGAAAGTGACCTCCTCAACAGCGGAGTGGACGTGCAGGACACAGTTGAAACCGGCTGTCAGAATGTTCTTCAGATCCAAGATACGAATCTTAGCCTCAAAAGCAGACACACAGTGAACGGGGCGCTTAGGTGAGCAGAGCACGAAACCAGGGAAGAAATCTTCTTCTTCAATACCACGAAGGCGTAGGCGAATCTGGTCACCAACCTTGGCGGTCGCAATCTCGTCTTCTGTTTCACCGTACATGGCAGAGATTTGGACCTCCTCGCGGTTAGGCATCATGAGATAGGTACCGCTCTTCTTAATGATACCGGACTCAATGCGACCCTCTGCCATGGTACCCATGTCACGGTACTTGGCGCTGATCGGCATCATGAACGGCGCGTTGACCTTGCGCTCAGGGAGCTCAAACGCAGTCAGGAACTCGAGCAGCGACGGACCGTCGTACCAATCGCACACATCTTTGGGAACTCGGTCTTTGATACCGATAGTACGCTGGGCAGAGATAGGCATGCAGAAGATGTCTGACTTCTTGTAGCCCAGGGCTTCGAGGAACTTGATGACCTTGACGGTGCATTCGTCGAACCGGGCCTTGCTCCACTCGACGGTAGGGTCATCCATCTTATTTACTGCCAAAATGAGCTTAGAAACACCGGTATTACGTGCAAGCAAAGCGTGTTCGCGGGTCTGACCACCCTTCTCGAATCCAGTCTCGTACTCGCCCTTACGGGCAGAGATAACCAAACAACCGAGATCGGCCTGAGAGGCACCACCAATCATATGAGGAACATAGGACTTGTGACCAGGGGCATCCAAGATGGAGAATTGACGCTCGATATCACCCTCCGGGTGCGGGATGGTGACTTTGAAGAAGGCACGGCCAACCTCGACTGTCTTACCCTTGGAACGTTCCTCCTGGGTCAGATCAAGAGCCCACGAGAGGTACCAGGTCTCTCGACCGGCTTCCTTGGCCTCCTTCTTGTATTTGTCCAGTGTACGCTCGTCGACCATGCCGGTGGCATGCAGGAGGGAACCTCCCAGGGTGGACTTGCCAGCGTCGACGTGACCGATGAACACGACGTTGACGTGCTCTCTGCGCTCACCGTAAATTTCCTTTAGGGTTGCGTCATCAACGTCAGCTAGCTGTGCCTTTGCGACGGCACTGGCCTCGCGAGCTTGCTTGGCTGTCTCGCCGCGGGCTGGGCTAGAGCGGCCAGAAGATGGCGTGGGAGAAGCCTTGCCAGCGACAGCGGCCTTATCTGTCTTGTCAAGGCCCTTGGTGGCCGCAACCTTTGAGCCTGCCTCAGCAGCCGCGGCACCCTTGGTATCACCATTGGCCTCCTTGGGAGTAGTGTCAGCAGGCTTGGCTGCCGGGGTAGGAGTGCCGATCGAAAGGACCTTGGTCTTGGGGGCAGCGCTGGAGGAGGTAGCACCGATAGACAGAACCTTGGCCTTGGGTGCGGCGGCGTTCGATGCGGGCTTGGGAGCGGACTGGGCCGGTGCTGCAGCCTGGGGTTGCTGCTGTACAGGCGCATTCTGGCGAGGCTGCTGGTTGTAGCCACCGTATTGCTGCTGTTGCTGTCCATTGTTGTACTGGTTGAAGCCACCGGGCTGCTGGGCATAGGCGTTGTACTGGCCATAGGCTTGCTGCTGCTGCTGGTAGCCACCATAGGCCTGCTGTTGGCCGTACTGAGGGTATCCCTGCTGGGGGTAGCCAGCATACTGTTGGTACTGCTGTCCGGGAACGAAGGAAGAGGCTCCAGGTGTGAAAGAGGCGGCGCCAGGTTGGAATGAGGGCGCCTGGGCCTGAGGGCGAGATTGTGCGTTCAGGTTAACGCCCTCGGCCTGGCGGGAAAGCTCATCCTCCCAGGATTCAGGTGTTTGGTTTGACATCGTGAAATAAGATCCAAGGTCGAATTAACACGAAAATACGAAACCAAGACGGATTTGGACAAATACAGGTTGGGTCAATAAGAGGGGCCCCAGTGCCTTTTGATTTTGCACAGGTGAATGACTAAGACCCCGCGATATTTTTTTCACGTGATATTATATTGAATAGATTTCTTCCGTGGGATGTGACAAGTTGAGTGAATGTTTGTTAGGAAACCGATCTATTTGCTTCTGTTTATGGCTTTTTCTATTATATGGCCTCACCAGATCATCTCTTTCCAAGGTAAAAGGCACAAGTGTCGGGGAGTTGGACTCATCTTCTTTGAGCTTTCATTCTCTTATCGATAAGCACCCCTCCATGCCGGTGCTTTATTGCTCAGGGGACCTTTTATATCGCCGGTCAATACAATCTACACTACATTTTTTGAAGGCCGTTGGCCTTTAAATTATTCCAAAATGGATACTTTTCTAACTGGGGTTTGTCTCATATATCATTGGCCAGGGGGCGACCAGCTAATTCGTGGATTGCATACAGCTCACCCGACAGGCCATGAATTATGCCATTCGGTAGGCTTCATAATCACTGAGGAACGACACCATTCAGTACTAACTATTTCCCAGTTCTGGAATTGCGATAACTGCCAGTTATGCCATGCGCCAGTCATCGCGCTTGCTCAGAGTAAGTGTTCTTTTCGGCTGCGGGAAGAAGTCAGTGCTCATCAATTCCCCCAGAATGTCAAGAGCGAGGACCGAGATGAGCTTATCTCCTTACAACAACGTCTGGAAAGCAAGATACAAGTTATTGCCCCAGCTATTGACATGATCGAGTTGATGTAAGGCACCTGATAGTGGGTTGGATTGTCAGAAAGCTAATAATTGGGTTAGTGCTGCTCGAGGAAATACGTCATTGGAATCTGCTGTCGCCCTTACAAAGTCTCTGAGATGGGACATTCAAGCCCTGGGACAGCGGCTGGGAAGAGCCGCGGCCTCTGAGGAATTAAGACGCAAAGGAGCAAGATCGTCCAAAGATCAGACGAACAGCGAGAAAGAAATTAAGCTTATTATCAAAGATATCAAGAAGCTCTTGGCTCGGATCGAAGATGCAGTGCCACTGATGAACCTGGCCATCACTACCTCTGGGGCCAAATTATCCACTAACTTGCCCGCAACGGTGTCGCCATCCCGGCTCCTCCAAGCAAGCACGTTTCTCACAGCGGGGGATACACAATATTCAATGTCCCCATCTCAAGCAGTCCAAGTAGGACCGACTTTTACCTTATCAATGTATATGCTGTTTGCCAGCCACTTGAGACCCCATGATGAAGAATCTGTTCGCGAAGCCACGTGGAAGGAAGTCATGCACAAGGCACGTTTGAAGCTGCGCCGGGTTCCAATAGCCTCATTGCAGTCTCCAGACGAACTCCCACGAACGAAACTTCCGGGACCAGCTGGGTCTGATGAATACGCTTATCAAGTCCTGATCATCGAAGACCTAGATGATGGCCGAGTCCACACAATCGACGAGAATGATCCGCAGCCCCAAAGCTATGAAGGCGTTTCCACAGCAGGAATCCGGGAGATTCTTCCTATTCATCAAATTTCCAAAATCTTCTACGCAGATACCGGGAGGATCCTTAACATCAGCACAGAGGGCGAAACAAATAACCCGGTGCTGCTGTTGAAACGGGACTTGAATGCTCTCCCGCCGCGGCGAATGATGGAACGTGACGAGGTGGAGGAGGACTTTCCTCAACCAGAATCCGAGGAGGAACCAGAGGACGAGGAGCAAGCTCAACTCGATGCACAACTGAACGGAGGCGAAAACACAGATACTAGCATCTTCAATTACCTGCATGAAGACTCCATACCCGAAGAATGGCGTCTGCCTCCCGGACTAGACCCAGAATGGATCGCATTCGAAGTCTACAACGAAGATGAAACTTCCGATACCGAGTCCGAAGCCGAAAATCCCGAATCATCCACAGATGAACCCTCAATCGACCCAAATATGATGGCCAAGCTGTCTCTTAATGAGAAGGGGCATTCATCACACTCCCCGTCACCCCTCAACCAGTCATTCTCATCCGCCGCTCCCACAACAACAGTCTCCAACCCTCACTTCGAGAACATCCGCACCTCCCTCTCCCTCCTCGAAACCCTCCTCCGCCTAACATCCCTCCAGCAATTCCAGCAACAATCCCACCTCTCTATCAGCGACGAGCTCCTCAACTTCTTCCTGGAAGAATCCTCCACCACCGGCGCCGGCGGGGACGAACAGCACCGCCAGCGGCTCCGCTCCGAGGCCCGTCGTCGCGTTGGCTGGGACCCATACAATGAAAGCCCCGTCAAACACCGCGGCGAGGATTACCAGTACGGCTGGGAGCCCGGTAGTGGTCCTCACCAATATGGCGGCGATCCTTACTCGCCTAATGGCCGGTCGCAGGGCTTCCATCTTCGTTCCAGGGAAAGCACACCAGAGACCCCGGTGCGCAAAGGCTCGTCAAATGTCCGTCCAGGTGGTCAGCGTGGTATGAGGCCTGCGTATGCTGAGTCACCCCTCTCGAAAAAGATGGGCAGGTCTCTGCCTGATGGAGATCTAGGGTCTGGCACTACAGATTGAATGGGAAATGAATGGACTATGATGCCTTGTACATGTATTATGATCATGATTATGGGATAGCGAGTGCATTACAATCTTTTTTTCCCTACCCCTCGGACAAATCCTCTACTGGATGTTAAATTGTTCTGGCGTATGCCATCATCCATGGCGGCCGCTGGATGTCGGCTAATAGTCTACGTAGGGGGTTAGATAGTCAGGACCCCATAATAAGATACTATGTAGATAGAAGGAATGACTATTCAGATATCAACCGCATAGACAGATAACATCGCTCGCTGAAAGCAAGTTGCAGAAAACAGAGCTGGGAATAAAAGGAGAAAAAAAGCCCGAAACGCCAAAAAGAAAAGACCCGATATTCCTAAACTCCAACCAAAGCAGATTTCTTCGGGGGGCAATTGACCGCGCTTAAGCTGGCGCACGCAGTATCAAGGCCGTGCTCTCGGGGGGTATATGGTATAGACAAGCGCCCTCGGGGCCAACTTAGATGGATCCTCTTGCTAGTGTGTCCTTGAAAAGAGATAGAGAATTACTCCCAATCCTCGTCGCTCTCATCCGCCTTTGCAGCGGAGGGGATCTTTTCCTTGGGACTACCGGGTGTGCGGCTAGCGGCGCCGCTCACAACATCGTAGCTAGATTCACTGTCGGCCTGGGAGTGCTGGTCGTGTGAACGGCGAGGCTCAGCTTTCTCTGTTTCTTTGATGGGAGCAAGGGTCTGGGCACCGGAGCGGACCTGTGGAGTAGAGGGAGACTGAGACTCAGAGTCGGAGTCATCGTCCCAGCCGACTTCTTCTTCGTCCTCGGCAGTGGCACCTGTATAGTAGAAGTGGTTAGAAATGAAAACAAAAATCACCGAAGTGGTGGACTCAACATACCCTTCAAAAGTTCCTTGCGCTTCTTCTCCTCGGTCTCCACGACGAGACGCAAGAAGTAGTAACGAGTCCAGAAGTCCACGTATTCCACCTGCTCCGGCACGAGCTTCTCCATGGCAGAACGGAGCTCGGGGTATTTCTCTAAATCGGCGGCGATCTCATCCGTCTTAATTTCGACATTGAACTCCTTCTTGAACGAAGGCCACTCGTCGCTGACCGGGTCCTTGCTGAAGCTTTCCAGGTTTGAATGGATAACGTGAAGTTGTGCCTCGAACCGCGTAGCATGAATGACCCGCTTTCCCTCAGCATCCTTGCTCTCGAAAAGAAGCTTGCCGGACTCATCGGTATCGGGGGGCAAAATGCTAACGGCCTCACGCAGCTTCTGGCTGATGTTCATTCCGAATCGCAGGATCGCTTCATCAGCTGCTTCCTCTGCCTTCTCAATCTCCTTCAGCCGCCGAGCGGCTTCCGCCTTCAACCGCGTAATAAAGCTCTCTCCACTGGCGCCAGCGCCTTCGCCTTCTCCCTTGTCACCGGATTCTCCTCCTTCTGCAGCAGCCTTAGGTGTGGCAGTCTCGTCACTTTGTCCCTCGCCACTCCCCGTCAAAGCAGCTGTGCTGAGAGACAGCCCCTTTGTCCGGTCGGCGAGTGTTTCCCTAAGATCTGAAAATCCTTTCACAGCTTCCTCACTGGCAGCTGCATACTCCTGACGAGCACCCTCATAGTATGTTTCTCCCTGCTTGCGCACATTGTCCCATAGTCCTCCAATTCGGGAGCCCCACGGACTGGCTGAGAATGCACGGAAGGTCTCTTGTAGCTCATCGTTGAGGTTGGCGTTGGACTCCTGGGGCTTGGAGTCGGAGGGGGCACCCTCCTTGTTGGAAAATGCCTCCTCCTGGATGTGATCGTAAGCGATATCCATGACTGGAAAGTTGCAAGAGGGAAAAGAGGGTCGAAGATTTGGAAACACAAGGTTGCAGTATCTCCGCGTTCGTCCATGGGCCGACCGCCCCGCTTGCCGACGATCCTCAAAACCACCTACATCATAACCACATTGGTCAATAAATTCAAGGTAAATGCTATATCCATACTAATCACATTTAATAATATTTTACATATTCATAAATCATAAAATCCATTCAATAATGACATCGAAAACAATGTCATCCTTCAGGTAAGCTATAAGGCTCTCCTACACTATCCTGACTCCCCATCCAAAAGTTTGGGAGTGGAATGCTCTCCATGACGCTCGATGTAAGAAGCTGGCTCCGAGAGAGGACCTGGCCTTTCCATTGAGGATCTCGATCTACCACCTGCGAGGACTCAACTTGGACCACTGAGCCAGGAACACGGGGTCGTTGGAACGAACTGTCGCCCGACTCGATTCCACGTTCTCGTTCCCGGATGGGCGACGACTCCGGAACCATTTCAGTAGACTCTTTGCCGCCTTCCTGGCTCTGTGTCTGTGTCTGCAAGAATGGCCCCGGTGCCTGTTTTCGAATAGGAGGCCTCCATGTCTCCAAGGTTGTGTTCTGGCTACTACCTGCGTGAGGGAAAAGCTCAGACATCTTCTGCGTATTCAGCGTTGGAATTGGCTCGTGCGGGAATTGTGTGGCTGCGTGCATTCTTTGATAGCAAATTGAGGCATCAGACATTGGACCTTCGAATGGAGGGTCATCATCCAATCCGGGGCTCGATTGCATAGCTAGCAGAGGAAGTTCTTGGGAATCATCCTTGGGTGACTCCGGGCTGTGTTGGGTCGCCTGTGAGCCGTCCTGCGGACCAAGTGCTCGGTGCGCTTTCTTTGGGGTTGGTGTCACGGAACGTCCAATGGGGTTGTCCTCAAAGTCTCCGTATTCTGAGTCCGCATCCGTTTCGTAGACGACTGTCCTCTCCCTCCTGGTGGGTTCATTTCTCGGGTTCCCATTTGCTTCGATTGGGGATTCCTGCAAACTTGACTCCGTCGGAGGTGCAGATGAGGGAAATTCCTCGATGGTAGTTAGATCAGGATGGTTCAAATTGATATGGATGTTTGGAGAATCGAATGTTGTTGGTCGAGGTAAAGATTCCCCTCCAGGGTCTTGTGAATCCTCGACTACTCGCCGAACCTCCGGGTGTTCTTCTTTGATGGGTTCCATGGAATTATCCGTGGGGTTTAACGGTTTCCGCTTTGAAGGAGAACGAGTAGCGCTGCGAAATTGAGACGAGGTTATAATAGCGAGACCAGGGCTTTCAGGTGTCTGTGAAGAAGGAATCTCGCGCGTCCGAAGCTTCCGCGGTGTAACAGGAGCTGCAGATTCCCGCTCGCCCTCACCTCCGCTTCCAGGATTTGACTCTTGTGCTTCTTTTTGCTGTGATATAGGCTCCCCGGTTGAGAGGTCCAGCTCTTGTTCAAAAGCTCTGCGCTTTCGTTTAGCGGGGGTCGGACGCTTCATAGGCTGTGATTGGTTCGGTTTGGGCGTATGTTCTGTCTGTTCATATTTTATGTCCTTCTTCTGCGGTGCCGGCTGGATATAACTCATGTTCACATCGTCGTCATCATCATCATCGATGGTAATGTAACGTCGCACAAAGTCCATCTGAGTTAAGGTCTTATCCCGCTTTCCCACTGACTTCTCCAAAGATTTTCGACCGCCCCTAGTACGAGCGCTCGCCCTCGGTGTCTCACTCTTTCGAGGTACATAACTTCGGCTTGCATCTCGATTGACAACTCCAGAGCTTCTCCGCTTCTGCGAGCGTTGATCCGAATCGCGCTCTCGTTCACTCATTTTGAATTTCGAGATACGAGCTGAGCAAACTGGCTGGGCAGGGAGATAGTCTGAATCCTTGTCGGACCCATCATCTACATTTAGCCGCCGGATTGTGTCTTGGGTATCGTCGCGACGCTTGTACTCCTCGATGTATCCAAGCTGGTCATCATTCGAAGGTGTGGGCTGTGTCACGAAATCGATTTGCGTGAGAGTAGATTGAACTCGTTGCAACGATGTTCGCTTACGAGTGCTTGCCGATGTCGATGACTGTGGTGACCGGTTCCGTGCGGTGATGGTTTTCGTGGCAGTTGTTGGAAGATCTGGTGGACTGGGCCTTCTCGGGTTGCGGGACTGGTTTCGAGGAGTCTCTGGCAGGTTTCGAGACTCATGCGGTTGTTTCATCGCAACAACGATGGTTCCAGGCTTAAAACATCGGACTGGGGCCTACAGGTAAAAGATATGACGTTAGGGGATAGATGCCTGAGGCGGTTCGCGTCAACGCGTCCCTAACTAATATCGACTTGGTCCGTGCGTTATAGTTCCGAGCTCTATGCATTCACAATGCAAACAAAAAGCACAATGCTATTGCATTATTCTAATCTGGACTGGTCAGGAAAAAGAGCAAAAAAATGAATTGGCAAAAAAGAAATCTCAGGTTTGGTTTTTAGGAATAGCCGAACGCGGGGGTCGAACCCGCAGCCTTAAGATTAAGAGTCTTACGCTCTACCGATTGAGCTAGCCCGGCTGGGCTGTTGAAAGAGGCTTCAATATAATGCTACATAGCCCAAGCAGAGCAGTGAGATGTACAGCAAACGAGTTTTCCATCCCAAAACACTTAGTAAATGTGATACAACATGGATTGTAACTTAATATCTCAAAGCGATAGTCTATATGATGCTTTCATAATGGCTCAATGCTTTGGGTGATATATCGCCTGTCTATGTGTTTATATGATATTTACGACTTTGTGGTTGCTATATATATATATATGGCGGTTGATATTTTTGGCTTTAGACAAAGTACTTGTCAACACTTGCTTCTGGAACACGATTTCGTTTCTTTTATTTGATTCTTTTATGTTTGATATAGTTACATAGGTAAAATACAACGGTTTGATTGTCGATAACTAGTCCTCATCAGACATTAGCCATTCGGGAATTGCATCCTCATCGTCAGGGTCTTCAGAAAGCAAAGAACCCTTCTCAATCTCGCTGTCAGAATCATAAATGGGCACGGGTGACGGTGGCCGGGAGACAGTGACCACACTTGCAGATTTTGAGCCACCATATGTCGACGAGTCTATCGCGATAGGAGCTTTGTCAGACGATCCTGCGATGACTTGGGGTACGGATGTTGGGTTTGAGCCGTGGTTTGGGACAACCACCAGTGAGTAGCGAGGCGTTTTTGATGCTTGGTTCCTCGCAATACTCTCGGGAATCGATCTCCGGGTTATGGTCAAGGGCTGAGGCTTTGGAGGTTCCACCGGGCCCGGAGCTGGATCATGATCATCTGGCAGAAACCCCCCTCCAAGAGCATAATCCTCCTCGTCTGATGGCGGTTCCACTTCTCTTCCTGCGTAGTCTTCGGGAAAATGCTGATCATGCACCATCCCCCCCCTTCCCTGAGCTTTCAGAGGTGGGCTGTTGAGTGGTTGGTCTGGTTCAGGGAAGAATCCACCACCAGCATCTTCAACATCTATTTCGTCTTCGATGTCTTCGAGCTCTTGTTCTTCGTCATCGCCAGCATATTCCTTAACCCTTTCTGCAATCCTAAGCTTCACCAAAAAGAGTCGCCAGAACCGCAGAGCCTCCGCAGTTCTTGCCTCCAGTGCAGCATGCCGTCTCTCATCTTCGAGGCCCCTCATAACTTCCTCAAGCGCCTCCTGGTACTCGATGGCAACAACAATTCCCCCGAGTACAGCGGTACCACGACGGCCCCTGAAATCAAATCCAGTGACTGCGTCGGCATAATCAATTCCAAGGATCCGAGCTGCTCGAACGGCCTCCAGCCGCTTGATGTGAACTCCGCCAGGCGGAACCATACTGGGGACATAGACATCGAGGTTTCCATATGTGTTCTTCGGGATTCTCCCCTGAACCACCGGTGGCGGAACGTATATTTCTGTCTGGAACTCGGCATATAGTGTAGTCTCTTGGGGCTCATTTTCATCTTCATCGTCACTGAAGCCTCCGCCCCTGTTTCGACTTGCAGCAACACGCTTGAGAGGCTGTTCGCCAACTCTGACATCCCGCCCAAGACGATACCATTTATCGGAGCTTCGCACAATATGCAGGTCAGACCGCCGATAAACGGGTTCTGATGTCTCACTCCGTGCTGTGCTTTTTCCTAATCCCACGTGCCCAATGACTCGTTTGGGATGGATCACTTCATTGCGACGGACGTGTCGCTCAAGTGCATAGACGGGATGGTCCTTGAAGTCCTGGATATTGCGTGGCATGGGCTCAGCTGCTGATTTGGATGTTAGTTCACTAATTTCTGCCTCATCCCGATCCTCGAAGAAGGGTTTTTCATAGGCATTTAGCGCTTTATTCCACCACTCCTCGCCATTCCGTGTGGACTCCACGCGGAGTTTCCGCGTCTTTGCATTAAATGCTTTTACATAGCGACGAGTGAGGTCTCTTGCAGAGGCATCATCCTCGAAACCAACCACATAATTCATCATGTTCAACGAATCGCTCGCAGGCGGTTCAAATTTCGAAGGTTTAGCAAGGGATTTTGTTACGATGGGGTCAATTGAAACCCATTTATGTGCAGCTTCATTGAAAGCTTCGACCCAAAATACAGGAAATGATGAATCTCGCGATGTCGGAATCGGACCTATGGATGTTAGTTAAGCGTAGACTAGCCATCGCCGGAACTCACATGCCTGAATAGAATTTTGGTTGAGGAGGACGTGAGGGGGTGAATTTGGGCTGTCCAATTCGTCGAGGCCTTGAAGCAACAGGTGATTTTTCACTCTTGCTGCGTTCATCTGTCGAGGACCCAGGATCGTCAGAGGATATCACAATATACTGATGCTTTGGTTTAGACGGCGTCATGTCTTTCACAGTGCCAGAAAATGGCAACGGTTGCAATGAGCAAACAAGTCTCGCCTCTACGGCTACAGACCGCAATAGGGCACAGAATAGCTGAGCCCCGAAGTCCCGGGAACCCTGCATTGTCTTCGCTTGAGTTCTAAAGTCCCCTTTAGATAAAAAGATCTCAGCATTCGACATGATTGACTCCTATATACCTGTGTCAGTGAATAATTATTGATGGGAGAAGTTGTGAAGCATACCAATTTCTGCTTCAACTGCGTTTCATCTTCCGCCCAGTGAGACCGTTTCATTCCTGGTTTTGTAACCTGAAATCTGCGCGTGAAGGCATCTGCAGCCTGGTTGAGACCATCCATAAAGGTGGTGGATCTGCTATAATGTGGTTTATCCTCATCTGGGTGCAGAAGAGCGATTACCTTCCTAGACAGTGTCTTCTTTAGAAATTCCTGTGATATTGTTAGACCCCCAATCAATACGCCCAAGCCGACTAACGCTCACCTGTAATTCCTCGTCATTGCACCACATATTGCGCAACTGAACGTGGCCAAGAAGGCAAAGAATATGACATTTATGCACATCCAATCTGGCTTTTCTCTCGGCTCCGGTCAATGGCTTCCTTCTTTGGACTGCTTTTTTGTGCTTCTCGGGTTCTTGCTCTAGTGTGATTTGGAGCATATCGTCGTCGCCATCAGACACAAGGCGTCTATTCAACAAGGATTGAGAAGGTTGCTGTAATTCAACATCTTCCCAATCAACATCTGATTCTTCTGATGTCGATGAATCATACACAGTTTGCACTGGTTGGGTGCTATGTTTGTTTGTTTCTGCGCTCCGATCTGTTTGTTCCGGGGGCCCAAATCCCACAGGGATAGCTTTCATATCCCCGGCCTTGCGCCTCTTGATTGGTCTGTCTGAAGCAAATTGCCCAGGATCTCTGGCTTCAGCCTCCTCCAACAGATCTTGATAGACATCTGGAGCATGATCATTTGTCTGTCTTTGACGCTTAGGTTGACGGGCGGGCGTTGCCCGGTTCCTTGCGGAACGAGTTGGTGTTTGGCGCACCATCTGTTGAAAGGTAAAATCATGTAGCAAATTTCCAGGCTTTTTGTCCGATGAGTCTCTACGCGTCGCGCGTCAGCACTCAAAGTGGCGTTTAGTACCCCGCCCTCCTCAGAAATTCAACGAGACAAAACATCAAGGAAGATACAATGTAAAATGTCCAATGTTACTTCCAAATGATATTTGCAGGATAGAGACATGCCCTCGCCCAAGCTATGTTGATGCCCTGCATTTCGGGTCTTTCCAGACCAAAGGTGCGTCATGTCGGATTTTGATTTATCCGTGCCGATATCAATATAACCCGATTAGGAAGTAGGTAAGCTGTTTGCATTTTGTCCTATCTCAACACCGATTCATATAGTTTATTTGTTGATATTCTTATTGCTCCAGCTACTAGGATAAACTTTTATATTCTGTTGATCTTTTACTTAGGTTCTCATATAAACGCACGGGGAAATGAATACATATATCCACTCGACTATCTCCCCTGTTGTCCTCTCTTGACCGCAACTTAGACAAAACAGGAAATCTGCGGGCGAAACAAAATCAAGCCGTAGAACTAGATAATTAAAACGCAACCCTGTACCTAAAGAGCATGGCAATTTACATGGGACATGTGTTGAAGCCATCCATGGATGTATGCAGCTGGACAGTGAGTCCCAATCGACCAATCGGCGTAGAAGATGTAATAGAACGGTAGGGCAGCTGTACGAGTTGTCTGATAACACGTCGTCTTCTAAAAAGAGTTGTACATACCCAGCAGGTAAAATGGATACTGAAATCTGGAGCACTAATCAAAGTGATTTGCAAATCCAAGCAGCAATCTACCATGCTGCGTCTAGCGCATATCCCAGCGTTCTTTGTTTCTCCCTCGCAGATTTGCATGGGTTCTGAGGACGGATACATTTCAGCCAATAGAACTCACCGCAGTAGAGATAGCTCGCCTGCCAATTGATCAGCTAGGTTGTTCCGGAGAGTTAATAAGGGCCCTTCTAGAGCGCGATCTACAAGATAGAAGAACTTTCTTAGTGAGGCCAGGCCGTAAAAGGAAAGTTAACAATGACAACACTACCTTCGACATTTTGAGACTAACTCTTCATTGGCGGATGGAGTGGATGTTTGAGGGATGATTTTCCTCTCCAGACCAACTGTAGACGTGCATGATCTACATTTCGCTTGCATCTGACAGTTGTGTGGTGCTCATTCCTTTTTAGTCCTGAGCCGTGCCGATTGGTCGTATGTTGTACCTCCACTCAGGCCCGGTCGTATTCAGATTTTAGCAAATTATTTGCAGTTATTCCAAATATTTTTTAACTTTTGTTAAGCGATGGATCACTATGAAAAATCCTTTCCCCTTCAATGTACGGTTTACTCGATTACACTGTATTGTTATATACAGTTAAGAATGTGTTGGATTTTTCTTCGCTGAGACTGTGAATTGAACTTTGTGGATCTTTCTAGCCGATCATTTCTATGAATAATTCACCCCGCACCTACATGCACAGTAGGGTTAATAGTCGATTTATTGGACATTTGTTATTAAATCAAAGGATACGGGGGAAATTCATTTCTTCTTTTTTTGTACCTTGTTAGTTCCGTATTTGTATTGTCGTGCGTCCTTAGTGCAACCCCCAAGCTGCTTGGAAGGCCGCCCCGTGAAGTGATAATTCTTACGGATAGACAGGTTTATCTCATCCCTAATAAAATCTAGTGGTATTATTTGTGGGAATAAATATCCGTGAAAATTACTCAAGCGGTCTACCCTTTTGCCAACAGGTAGTAGTTTTATATGCATGACACGTAGTAGTATCAATACGTTTAGCGAAAGCCCTGAGACGATGGGCTGACATGCACGTTCTCAAGGATAATAGCCTGTATGTCTTACTTCACTCCAAACTAATTCCAATAGAGTTTCACTATTTTAGAAGTAGATGAGTTGTCAAGAATGGAGCCAGGCACATACTTCCAGGTGCATGTATGTTGTAGTTGGTATGCTACCGGTGGGAGCAAGGTGCAGCTCGGGGTGATTCTTGCTGCATACATTTGCTTAACACGCCTGTCACTTGCCCTTTCTGATTCCGAGAGTCCAATACAGTTTGTCCGGCTGAAGTTCCCGATGTACAGCCCTACACACTATAGATAGATGCAGAGTGGCTCAGTGAATATAGTAGTGAGCACGTGTTCTCACCTCTTGGACTCAGATCCGATAGGCCATTAGCCTTTTGTCTCAACTCAGTCTTGGGCATCTTGTCTAGCATGTGTATTCGGAGTTATTCGGTTGTGAATACCCAACAGACCCTGCAATTTCAAATGCCCTATCTATCTCCCCACATCAAAGAAACCACGGTACATCCTCCGTACAAGTTCCGCATATAGTGGGTACTCTTGGATGCTAGCGACTAAAGCAAGGCACTCAAAAGAGATAAACCACCAAGGGCTGTCTCCACTAGCGAAGTGCTCCGCTGCGGAATGACGACTTAGCACTTCATGGATTATGGTTCGACGGACACCGAACCACGCATCTACTGTTGTACTAATGTAGCATCAGAGACACACAATTCAGCACCCAAAAAAATCTCGTCAATATACCTAGGTAATTAGCGAAGAAAAATCGACTGAAAAGCCTATTATAAAGAAGGGATGTCCATAGTTCCCGTCTCAAAATTGGCTCTGGGGCTGGCGTTACCGACACGTTGGAACCCGAACAACTTTCCCAGTCACCGGGTCCGGGTGAATTTCAATTCCAACAATTTCCCGGGGTGTTCCCTTTGGATGGGAACCCGGCTCCATGGCAGCGAGATTATTATTTTTGGGACGGCTGCAGGGATCTTGTACTTGGGATTCTATCTGCAAGCTTACGCTTCTGACCCATGGACTTGTTTTGTTTTTGTTTTTGTTTTTTTCTCTTCTTTCTTTCTCTCGCATATAATAATAAATTATCCGCTTTTTAATTCGGGGTACTCCGAGTACAGAAGGTTACATTTGTATTGTAGGTTTTTGTTACTTAAAATTTACTTAGGGAAATTTGTTATTTCTGTCTAGAACATATGTCATACGTTATGATCACGCCTTTGTTTGATCGACATTTACAAGTAATGGAAGATTCCTAGATCTAGAAATTCGGGATGGAAACTTACATAGGTTAGGTACAACATACAGTGACTGGACATAAAGTTTCTACACCCCTTTAGCCCCATCCAGCTTACCGCCAGGATAAACATATACCGCCTACCTAAATCGGGTGGCACACACCGTACTAGATTTGAATCCATGGAGGTTTCTGACTGGCAGTATATTATACAATCATAGGGGTGTGGGGCGAAGGGGTGTAAAAACTTATGTCCACTGACTGTACTCTGTATGGAGTAGGTTACACTTGGTATAGTGCGGAAGGTCAGACGTCATTACAACATAGAAAATAACCAAAAAAACCCAAAAAAATAAGAAATTAATATGAAGACCCGGAATACCGGAAACTACTGTGCATGTTCCGTGATGCACTTCTAGATCCCATGTGCCCCTCCTTTTGGAGCAATTTGGGGGAAAAGAAAGCCCAGGCTTTAAGCGCCCCAAGTGACGCTATATTTCTGACGGATCACTTCCTTTTTTCCCACCGCTAGACCCAAATACAGTAGGAGTCCGAGTTGTCACAAGAAGAAAAAGAGTAACCGAGGAAACTTCCTTTCTATACGGAGTACGTAAATCTTCTAGAATTATTTTGACACTTTGATATTCGGGTCTAAACCGACCTCGGGAGTCCGTGCAATTTTAACAAGCCTTGGCGTCGGTTGAGAAAATGTACTCCGTACCCGTGATTGTTATTACAGTAAAATTCATTTAGAGGAAAATCCCAACAACTCCACGTCTCTATGGGGCCGAGAGTTCCCCAGTCTAGTACCCATTATGGAGCACTATTATCACCTTTTTTCTTTTTTCTTTTTTCTTTGTTTCTTTCTTTTTGTTTTTGATTCGAAACCTTTGTAATATGTGTCTATCTATGGAAGATTTCACCTTGGGGCATGACGGTGTTCCAATCTCACTATTTCTAGGATGACCCTGCAGGATTATGCACAGGTGTTCTTGGGTCCCAGTTCTGCTGATCGGCTGAATCTAAATGAGAAATCCCAGTAGAAAGGTTGAAGGCGGCCCGTGGCTGGGCGGGTTGCATATTCCCAGCCAGATGGAACCGAGCTCTATTGGTTCATCGAGCCCAACCAGCCAGGAGTCTTCGATCGTTAGGATCAAGATAATGTGTCCAGGTGCCCAGGGTAAATGACTGGCTAAGTCCTGAAATGGATACATAACATGTACCATCCAGGGTCCCACGTCATGGAATCGGAAGATCACCGGAAAAAGAGTCCTGGCTTTTATCAATCCAACATCCCAACTTGGAAACTAGTGAAGTTGCTGACAATGATTGGATTTTATGATGATGTTCTTCTGAAGGGAAATGGTTTACTATATTTCGTGTATATCTTCGGTCTTTGAATACATATCACCGAAAATAAAAATCAAAGAAAAAAAACAAAACGTTAGCACGAAGTAGTAATAATAATAAAAGAAATGAAGGAAGAAACTGCCAAGTACATATTAATTCCGTCCAATCATTTTCAATAAAAAACTAAACCTTTTTCCCCAGCGAAAACAGGGATGTTACATGGGTACTATTTCCGCTTTTAAATGATTTCACGCTTGAAGCGCCTGGGCGTCTTACTTTGTACTATTTCATACCCTTTTCCCCCCTGCTATACCAATTTACCCAGCTTTTTACACGAACTAGAGCTCCACTTACCGGGGTTTGCTTTTGCTTTTTCCTTTTGCGTTTCGAACATTTCAAATGACGATCCTACGCTGAATTATAGTTGTCGGGACTGTCCTCCCGCCCTGCCAGATTATACCTTAACCCAAGTTGTCGGGCTCTTCTTTCCCCCCTCCTTCTCTTTCAATAATGTCTGGATTTGTGTCAGTCTGACTCTTTTTTGTTTCGTATTCATACTGGGTCGTGGAATGGAGTATCGCGAGATAAATACCTGATTCTACTTCATGAAGGACTAGCACACTTGCCGTCCATCTCGCAGAGCGCCTTATACCTGCTACTATTGGTTTCGCTGGATAAGAGTGAGATGACCATGGGTGCTAGACGTCAGGTGAGTTTGTTTCTCTTATGAAATATGGTCCTCATGTCAATACTCTCTCATTATTGATATTCTGGTGACTATTTGACTATCGATTTTCTTGCTAACGTAAACTCATCCAGGCACTTCAAGCTGACTGGTAATACTACCTCCATTAACCCCTTCTCGCCTATTATTTCTTTGCCAAATCCAAGACTGACGTGACTGACCATATCGTAACAGTGATACACAGTCGTTGACTGCCAGTGTAATGGATTATCCTGTTGAGAACGGAAGAACCTATCACAGGTATCATGAGGGAGGTATGTTTACAATTACGGCTTTGTCAGATCTCGCACAGCATGGCTAACTCAATATTTAGCTTATGTATATCCCAATGATGAACAGGAAATAGACCGTCTAGACATGCAACATCACATGTTCAAAATGGCGATGGACGGAAAGCTATTCCAAGTTCCTCTCCAAGATCCAAAGCATATTCTTGATATTGGTACTGGCTCAGGGATATGGCCAATAGAAATGTGTATGATCACCCGTCTCAGCCCCAAAGTTCTTATCTCATTGTTGCAGCGGCCTTGTTTCCCAATACCGAAATAATAGGGACGGATCTGTCCCCGGTGCAGCCAACAGAAGTTCCGCCAAACGTGCATTTCCTGATTGATGATGCCACCGAAGAAGAGTGGCTATGGGACAAGAACTATTTTGATTTTATTCATACCGGCCACATGACTGGGGCTATGCCGTCGTTCAAAAGTGTACTACGACAGGCATTCAAACACCTCAAACCGGGAGCATACATGGAATGTCACGAGCTCGACCCCAAACCGGAATGTGATGATGGAACTATGCCTCCTGAAAACCCAGACGGAGGATACAGCGCATACGCCATGCATGATTGGGTAGACCTTAATGTACGCTCGAGTCGCGATTCCGATCCACCAAGACAATTCCGAATTGCCCACCGGATTGCACAGTGGATGAAAGAAATAGGATACGTCGACGTTGAACAACGACTCTCAAAAATCCCCACAAATACCTGGCCCGAGGATGAGAAACTCAAGACCATCGGTGCTTGGAGTGAGAACAATTGGCTTGATGCTTTGTCCGGGTGGTCATATAAACCATTTCTTGGCCTTGGGTGGTCGAAACCCGAAATCGAAGTCTTCCTTGTTGATGTGAGGAGGAGTATACAGGACCGAAGTGTCCATGCTTATATGAACTTTTACGTTGTGACAGGGCGGAAACCCCTTCCAAACGAAGGTAAACCTGCTTCCTGAGTTCCTGTCATCTCCCTGCTTTCTCGTCATGGCCGTCTTGCGTTTTATCACACCGTTCCGTTATGTCCTCTCCGAGATGATTAGCATGTGATACCATTGGTGGGAAAAATTTTGCATGCATTGCATTGGCGTTGTGTTTATGATTTTATTTTCTTTCCAAGGTTCTTTTTACCTTCTATACCAATACACTTTTATACCTACATATTTAGTCATGTGAACATCTGGTACACAATATACTGGTTTTGAGCGATGAAATGGGTTATCAAATGACATGAAACAAGGAAATAATTGCCAAATAAAAAGCTGCAAACCAAATTTCATACATGTGTACGGAGTAGACAGAAGTGATAATGGAAGCTCAAAGATTGGCCCGTTGACTCGTCCGCCGTGGGAGCAATGCGGGAGATTAGTCATCACGCCAAGAATCGGAAAGCTGCCATGCGAAAGTTGATTCCGAGTGCTTGCGACAAGCCTAAGACAGCAATCGGCCTGCACATGCCATAGCCGATCTCATGTCTTTCGGCAGACATGCCTACCGGCATGCTCTAAAGCCACCAGCTACTGCAACGCTTGACCATCCCTGGATTAGCGATGACTTACTCGCAGCCACGTTTCGTCGCTTCGCCAACGGCCAACGGCGCCATGGGAGCTGCGTTCCCGGACCATTGGAAGCACGACGACGCCTAGCAAAGCGAAGAAACACCGCTCTGGCGAGCATAGGAGGAGGCCCGGTTGAAGATATCGCGTGTCTATTTGGCCGCAATGGGAGGGAACACATGAAATGGACCGACCATCCATGGCAGAGAGCGCCTTTCGAAACCCAGAGTATGTGTGACAAGACACGCAAAATCCGTTGATTATCTGCTAATTTTTCTTTGAAGGTTTCACCGATCATTCTTTGCGTCCTCCTGAAGTACCTTTCTCTTTCTCCGACCAGAATCCGGAGGCTGGACCCGAACCCAGCGAATTTCAGACTACTCATGCTCCGTCATACCTCGCCAATGCAAACCAAGCTACGCGTGAGCAGATGCTAGAGGCATTCTTGAATGGGAACAATTGGGGCATTGAAGATGCAAGGGACTTTACTCGTCGGCTGAGAATTGACCTCCACCGGGAGCCGCGATATAGCCGGCAGATATTCGAGCGGTTACTTGCTCGTTCAGACCCAGACCTTACAGAAGCAATTGCGTTCTTGGATGATCCGTTCCTGAATACCCGGGGATCCGGAAATTACGCTGCAGCTGTTGAAATCTTTGTTCGAACAAAAACGAAACGCGGCAAACGAACCGCTGTTTTAAACACAATAAATCGGGCGTTAGAGTTGGGGTTGATTTCAACTGATGAGATCTGTCTGATCATTACCGCTTTACCAAATATCATTGTCGAACGGAACAAGACTTTGGGATTATGGGACCATAAAGCTTTGTTAAAGCACTACCGGGCGATGTGGAAAGCTATTGGGTGCTGTAACATTCTCGGGTATCACGATCTGGACAGAAGCATTGTTGATGCTTGGCTGGGAGAGCTCTTGCGTACTCGCAGCTTTCGTTTTGCTGAGGAAATCATTATCGAAACCCACGATGCAGACAGTCGCAGTCAGTGGCCTTCCACTTTAGTTCAAGCTTGGTTGGAAACTATGGAAGTCGATTCGGAGACAAACCTGCCGTTTCCCGACAAGATATTCAGCCAGCTTGATGTTAACAGTGCGGCGGACTGTGTCATTCGTGTAACAGAGGCATTGGCATCGTCTTCAGCAGACAGGGTCTCCAGAAACCAATTGCTTGAAAGATGGCGGGATTGCCTCTCAAAGGCTGAAGTCATTTCGACCGTTGCCAAGTCACAGGTCTGGTTCGATTTCCCTCTCCCGTGTGTTCAAACACAAATCAAGCATACCCCTCTGAGCCATTCAACTCAAAGTCAGATCATTTTGCGACTCTGGCTTTTACGAACGCTTGGTCGATCCACTGGGCCCATGTACAACCAGAGTGAAAGAGCAACAGATCAACCGATCTGCTCGTTGCTCAATCTCTACGAAACGGTGATACAAGATACCAGCGGAATATTCTTCCCGGACTTCTTGCGGGAAATCCATGACCTCGACCTCCCATACAACAGCCTTCTGCTCCTAGCCCTCAACAAAAAGGGCAAAACTTCCATTACCAAAACCACCCGCAGAACCCTCGAACGGCTGGAAACCACCCAGCTCTCCCTAGCAGAGGTGTGGACAAACCCATCCATATATAAAGGAATACAAAGACTCTTCCACACCACATTCGACCAAATGTTCCATCGCATGAACCTCACCGACCCGGCTACAGTTGAAGAAATCCTGAATGTTGTTCGATCAGGAGACTCAACGAACATTTGGCCCATTCTCAGACTTCTCAATAACAACACCCCGTTTAAGGTCAGCCTCCACAAAGCCTGGCAGCCCATTCCACACCCAGATGAGAAAGTCCTCGTACGATACCACCCAGGCCCGCGGACCAGCCGATGCCCCGATCCCCATGCTGCTGTCGACCTCATAAACCAGCTGGCTGTTGCTCTCTCCTGCTGCAAGCACTTGACTCCGTGCCAGTCTTTCCATATGGTCCACTGGCTTTACGGGTATCTTCGCAGACACGGCGGGCCCGTGGATCCGGAGTTCGTGCGGGCTATGTATCATGCTGGTGTTGTCCGATACCGTCGTGACGGTCGCCGTATCTCGGCTACTCAGTACGAGTACATCCTTTGGATCGTCGGAAAGTTTGAAAGCTCTGAGGTTGTTGAAGAGCTCACTGCTCTGCCTCAGATTGGTGAATCAAGGCCTGACTGGCGGTAGATGTGGTATGTGAATGGATGGTTACAGGATGTTATTATAAAATAGAGCGATACGATACCCCTGTTTCAATATTACCTTTCCCAGAGGGTGCTGATATGAGCATACAATCTACATGGGAGACATATCAAGTTTTTGAAAACTCCGATTCTTTGTCCTGGCTATACCTACTCTAAAGCCTGTAACATAACGCCACGAACAAGTACGTCCGCGGTCTTAGCCGAAGTACGATCGTACAGAAAACATAGTGAGACAGAAGAAACCCATGCGTGCATTAAATCAATCCAAGAAGACCACTGGCCAGTGCATCTCCAAGAAAATCTAAGTATCAACTTCCATGCTGTCCCCAGTAGCGAGGTTATCATCACCCGACAGAGTTTCGATCGTGACATATTTCTTCATATCTTCCTTGCTGATAACCCTCTGGTCCAAATAAGCAGTGGTACCACGGGGGAAGCGGTAGTTGCGCTCCTTCTGCGGGCGCTCGTTGGGCTTCATGTAGTTGCGGAGCAGCTGGGTGGGCTGGTCCTTCTCGATCACACACACGTCGACATTGCTACCAGAGCCCAGATCGTTGAAGATACCAGCCTTGATTGCCTCGGCGCAGATGTCGATGGCGCCCTGTCGGTCCAGGTCTGGTTGCCAGGTCGACTCAAACACCGACATCGCAGCCAGTGATCCAGATCCCATCGTCACGTACGGAAGCTTGTCTGTCGATCCGTGTGCGTGCACAGTGTACAGTCCCGTGCCGGTCGGGTCAACACCCGCAACAACAAGGTACGCTCCAATGTGGCCCTGGTACCGGAAGAGGTGCTGCTTGAGCATCGTCATGCAGGTGATCACACGGGGGTCGCGGCCCGTTGATAGCGAGTGCAGTTCGACGTTGGAGCTGATGAGTGCCGTGGTGAATTCGGTATCGGCGGCGGTACCGGCTCCAGCACACCAGATCTTCGGCGCGATGTAGTGTAGCTTCTCACAGTTCTAGAGACAAAGAATGTCAGATACCTTCTAACAGAAAAACGAACATGGTCTGATCGGTGTATTTTACCTTGTCTGCTACTATAGGACCGCTGGTAGCTCGGGTATCTGCTGCAATCTGTAATGGTGATTCGAGTCAGCTCCTGGGTTACAGCTCGTAAGTATCTCCTCGCATCACAAGGGACCGTACCACAACACCCTTATCGTAGACACAGCCCACAATTGTTGTACCGGTACTTGTGGCCTTGGGAAGGGGAACACCCCTAGCGTGAAGCGCCGCATTGCGGTTGTAGTTTGTGAAGTCGAAGCCCGGCATCGTGACAACGCTGGTGTTCGCGACCAGCTGAACTAATTATCGAGATAGAAAGCAGGTATAGGAAGAAACCAGAGCGAAATTCGAATATGGTGGGAAATCGAGAAGGATGGATGGACGAATGGGGTAGCAAGCTGGAGATGGAAGTGAAGAGGAAGTGAGCTGTTTGGAGTGACGAAGCTCCCGCAGCCTAAATTGGCGCCTTAAGTATCAGGCATAAACAAGGTGTTTTTGCCCGGACATTATTTTCGAATTCAATGCTTTCTATGTAGTCTTTCTTGGCTTCTCTCTCTTCAACCTTTTGCGCATCAGCGATACCCGTTGCGTCCCTTTTCATTCTTTGCTTGTCTTCTCATTTCTGGGAAGCCGCGCAACCTCAAGATTTTCGCGCATACTCTCAACCTATTCTCCCGGAGTCCTCAGTCACTCCATCGACGCTCGCTCTCCACACCTCCCAACTCACCTTCACCTAATGCTCTCAGACATAGCTCTCCTCTAAGCGAAAGCACACGTTCTCCTTCTGGGACATTCAATTCCGAAAAGCTTAGAATGGCTTTCAACTTCGGTGCGTCCAACCCCGCTGGGGGAAGCGCCTCTGCGGAGCTTGGATCAGAGCTTCCCGATGTCTTTACCGATGTATGTCCAACCGCCACAACTTTCACTCACCATGATCCTCTCTAACGTAGCTATAGGAAGTCGGGTTCAAAGGTGTTTCCGGGGACGCCAATATTCGCTTCCTCCCAACGGCATGGCCCGACAACGCGCTTCCTGCTCCTACTTCCTCACTTCTGGCTGTCGCACACACCAAAGGCCTCGTTGTTGGCGCTGGCCCAGATGCGCTGGTAATCAGCACCACTGATGTCGTCAGAAAGTCCATCGAGGCGCCAGCTGGAGAAGATATGGAGAAAACGAAGCCCTTCCAACCTATCGCCACAATTCCCCTTCCTTCTCGTCCCACCCATGTGGCATTCACACCGGGCGACGACGGGTTGATTCTCGCCACGGAGAATGGCCCCGCAATCTCAGTTTTCGATACAAACGCCCTCACACAAGGAAATGCGCAACCAGCCATTTCAATTCCTACGAATGGCGTGTCGCTACGAGCACTGGCACCAAACCCTGACCCTTCCTCGACACTCGTCGCGCTGGTCACTATGAACGGAGAGCTTCTTATCGCCGATCTCAAGGCTGGGAGCCTACTTCCTGGACCTAATGGCCCGGTTCTCAAGGATGGTGTCAGCTGTGCCTCATGGAGCAACAAAGGAAAGCAGCTTGTTGCTGGATTGGCCGATGGCACTGGATACCAGATGACCCCAGATGGAACGAAAAAGGCTGAAGTTCCTCGGCCATCTGATTTGGAGGGAGATTGCCACAGTAAGTTTGAAAAGAACCAAAAGATGCGCTTGTACTGACGATCATACAGTTTCATCAATCGCATGGCTCGAAAACGATGTTTTCTTTGTGACATACACACCAAATATTTCGGAGGATGATATGGGAATGAACCCAGCTTCTTCATACTACATCATAACCCGTCGCAAGCAGGCACCGTTCCTTATCCAGAAATTGCCAGAAGTCTGCTCTACTATGGGCTTCATGCTGAAGCGTGGTCCCGCATACCAATTTATCACCAGGATTAGAGAGTACAAGCCTCACTTGAGAGATGTCTTGATCGTCGCGTCAACTGCGTCGACTGACCTCGGACTCATCACGCGATCTGATCAACCTCTCGCCAATGATGACCGAACAAAATCTCATGTCGGTCAGTTCATGACTACGGAAGTAAGCGACGACACCAAACGTGCCAGTGTCCCGTTGAAGGAATCTGGAGATGAGACATCGGTCATTGGTCTGGCACAAAACCTGTCAGCCACGGAAAATGTCGTTGCGCCGCTTCCGGGTTCCGATATCTTGGAGAGCTCGACGCCTCTTCCTGGGGTTCTTCTTTTGAATAATGATGGTATCCTTTCGTCTTGGTGGTTCGTTTACGCTGATTCCATTCGCCAAAACATCCCGTATTCGGGCTTGATTTCGTCTGGTCAGGCAACCCAAGCTCCCTCTCAGCCACAGGCTGTAGCTCCAACCCCGGCCCCGGCCCCTGCACAGCAACCTGCGTTTGGCCAGTCATCGTTTGGAGCTCCATCGCCATTTGGACAACCAGCTTTCGGAAAGCCGGCGGGAGCTCCAGCCTTTGGTAGCCCATCAGCCATGGGAGCTTCAACTATGGGCGCGACTGCCTTTGGGAAACAAAGTGCTCCAGCATTTGGCAGTCCGTCCCGGCTTGGTGGAAGCCCTTCCCCGGCCTTTGGAAAGACATCGTCCCCTGCCCCTGCTCCCGCTTTTGGGACCCCCTCTCAGCCTGGCGCGTCATTCGGCACTCCCAGTACCCCTGGACAGCCACAGTTCGGGAAGTCTGGATTCGGAACTATGGGATCTGGATTTGGGCAGTCTAGCTCCCCGGCAAACCCATTCGGGGCCAAAGCTGTAGCATCCGGGGGTGGTTTCAGCTCCTTCTCTGGTGGAGGCGGCTTCAGTGGCTTTGCAACAGCGAAGCCGAGCGAGTCACCATTCGCAGCGAAGCAGTCAGGGGGGTCACCATTTGCAGCAAAGCAGCCAGGCGAGTCACCGTTCGCGGCAACACAATCAAAAGGGTCGCCATTCGGAAACGCCTCTGCTGGTGAAAGTGCTTTCGCCAAGAGCTCTGCCTCGCCCTTTGGAGCCAAGCCTCAAGCCCCAACCTCGTTCCCACCTCCAGCGTCCAGTGCGGTCAAGAATCCCTTTGGTGCCGCGCAAGGTGGCTTTGAACTCAAGTCTACCTTCAAGGGTGATGGTTCGGCTGCCAACGACTTGCCAAAAGCAGACAAACCTTCTCCCGGAGCGTTCTCATTTGGCGGGTCCTTTGACGAGATGGTTTCAACTTCCCGCAAGGGAAGCTCTTCGCCGAGTGAATCGATGGATGACACTGAAGATATCGAGCCTGTGAATAAGGAGACATTTTCAATTTTCGGCGGGGCAAGAAAGCCTGCTTCAGAGACTCCCACATCAATGTTCAGTTCAAAGACGCAGTTTTCAAAGACAACTACTCCAGCCGAGAACACCAAGTCAGCATTCTCGATGTTTGGCACTACTGCTGACCAAAACCGTGTGACCAGCCCATTGTCAGCACTGTCTGATAAGACAGAGACACCCAAGAAGAATTGGCCTAGCACATCAAGCATCGATGTGGAGGCACCATTGCCACCAGATCCTATTACCCGGGCTAGTTATGCGGCTGGAGATACTTCTGCTTCTTCCTCGAAGTGCTCCGCCGAGGATGCCCCGCTTCCTCCCGATTTCACAAAGGCAAAGAAGCCTTCACCAAAACCTGAAGATGACGCCCCTCTACCGCCTGATTTCCTTTCGAAGAAGAAGTCTGCACCCACGACGGACGACGCTCCTCTCCCTCCCGACTTCCTCACTAAAAAGCCTGCTCCGAAGACGGAAGACGCTCCTCTCCCTCCCGACTTCCTCACTAAAAAGCTTGCTCCGAAGACAGAAGACGCTCCTCTTCCCCCTGACTTCCTCACTCAGAAGAAGTCTGTACCCAAGGCTGATGACGCTCCCCTTCCTCCAGACTTCCTAACCAAGCCCAAAAAGTCCGAGGCTGCGGTTATCCCAGAGGACGCACCTCTGCCACCTGACTTTACCGCAAAGCCAAAGACCAAACCTTTCGAGGAGGCAATTCCAATCCCTGATGAATCTGATGAATCTGGTATCTCCGATGGAGACTCTGAGGCCGCAGATGAGTCAGACTTCAGTGATAGCGGCGAAGAAATAACGCACGACGAAGCATTCATCGCTAAATCTAAGCAATCGGCTCAGAGCTCGTTTGGTGCTGTTTCTGCTGTTTCCGAGCAAAGCTCCACCGGAGGTTTCTTCAGCAGCCCTGCTCGCAACGCAGATGATAAAGGCCGCCTTCCCCGGCAGCTATTTGGGGAGATCCCTAAGCAGCCACTGCTTCCTCCCCCGGGACCTGTTGCCCAAGGTAATCGTGAACCCTACCGATCACCGAGTCCCGTTCGGATCGGAGGGAAAAAGAACGTGTTATTCTCCGAGAGGCCACATACCCGTAAGGGGTCCACAGGCGCGTTGCACTCGCGTAAAGCATCTCTCACCCATATTGCCCAGCGTGATGGCCGCTTGAGAAAGGCTAGCGATGTTGCCCGCGAGGAGCAAGAGAAGCAAGCACGCGCACATGCAGCAGCTCAACTTCAGGAAGATGATGTCCTATCTTTGTCAGACGACGACGAGGATGATAGACTCCGCGATGAACTGGCTCAGCCCGTTGAGCCTGTTGATACGCTGGATCCATTCTTGCCCCACCAAAACTACATGGGCGAGACTGCGAAGCCAGGTATTGCCGGCCAGGTCGAACGACTCTGTCGTGACATCAACTCTATGGTAGATACATTGGGAATAAATGCCAGGTCAATGGCGGGATTCCTTCTGCACCAGCAACCCAAGAAACCCTCTGATATTGATGATTGGGTGATGGTCCTCAACAGCGACCAACCCGCTGAGATTCTCGACAAGAAGATGACCTTGAAGGACATTGAGAGCTTTGAAGAGCTGATTGCTTCAATTGCGCAATCATTGGAAAACCAGCGGGTGCAAGGAGTGGATGAAAAGCTCGATGCATGCCGTGACCTGCTCACAAAGCAGGTTGTCACCCTGCGAGGCCAGTTCGCAAGCATCCGCAAGACTCTTGACGCACACACCGACGTCGGTGCTATTCTCGAAGCACCCCTTTCTGCCGAGCAAGGTGCACTCCAGCATGATCTACGAACCACATTCACGAACATCCAGGTCAATATGGCCGCCCTTGAACAGGCAGTCTCCCTCCTGCGTGCCAAAATCGCCGATGTTCCGCAGGCAAATGGTACAGGCAGGAACCGACCAACCGTCGAGGCTGTCACCAAGACCATTGCTACAATGATGAGCATGGCCGAGGGAAAGAGTACAGACATTGATGTTCTCGAGGCACAGATGCGCAAGCTCGGCGTGGACATTGCTCCCACAGGACCCCCAAGCCGCGAGGCCTCCCCCTTCTCTACTCCTCGCAAGAATGTTGCTGGTCGTATTCCCATGACTCCTGGGTCGCGAGGCTCGATTGACGGTAGCGCCTATCACACTCCCGATTCCGTCTCACGCGGTCTCAACTTTCGGGCCAGCATCAATGGCTCAGTGAGACAGAGCCGTCTCCGTAGCGTGGAGGGTGCTGGCGAGCCTGCCCTCCCGCAAGAAGATGCCGTCCAATACAAGGCTAAGAAGTCGCGTCGCCAACACTTGAATGGCAACTTGAAGAAGGCCTTTGAGGACAAGCAGGTCAAGGTGCGCGGCGTTGATGACTGGTAGATTACTTTCTTCTCATTTTCCATTTCTCATTTTTCACTTCTCATTTCTTATTTGCTTCCAATTGGGTTTTCTCTGAAGAATCTGATCCGATATTTGGGGGAATTTGCTTTCAGCGTGGATTGGTATCTGGTGGTCTTAATTGGACCAGGGAGTCATGGCATGCACATATGTATCGGATAATATTAATGCCTGGCACTTGATACTTTCCCATTTCCATTTTAGTCTCCCCTCTTGCCGCTTTTGGGCTTTTTGATCGTAAAGCTGAGCACGTGACCATGTGCTCTGCTGTAACAGGCGCTAATCCAAATTAGGCCAAGCGCTTTTTAAAATGGTAGATCCACCTCCCTAGTTCAGTCCTGCGTGTCTGTGTCCGATGCCCTATGTTGTACATCCTCCAACCCGCAGAGCGAGTAGAACAACTAAATACTAAATAATCTAGCAACATTAAGTCCAGGGTAATCCCTGGATTTACTTAGAGATATCGATTCCACGAAATTATGCAACTTCCGCCTTTTTCTGCGGTCTACCTATGGAACTGAGAAGTAAGAAATAGACATTTAAAATGACTCCTAAAAAGATAGACCAGAAAGAGGTCAAAAGGCTGCATAAGTGGCCGACTATTCTTGTATCATATGAACCTATGTTTTGACTCTGTATATTTAAACACATCCCTACTAGTAGTGACAAAGAATGAAATTCGGTCAATGACATAGTCGGGACAGAAGTAACAAGGACAAAGAGAATGCACATCTTTACACAAGGAAATGAAACGAAACTGGCTCAAGGTTTGTTGATCAAGGACTACCTATAAAGGGCCATTGTAGTAATGGATAGTAAAACTTCTATGTTCCAGCCTACAACGAAAAACCTATATAAAAGGCCGATGCCCTCAAGTCTCAATGTTAAAACCACCACCACCAGAATTCCTCCAAATAGGTTCCTAAAAAAGCCTAGTTGCCTTAAACCTATTTTATACATCCCAGCAAAATGGCGGAACGCACGAGTGATATGTGTCCCTTCATGGTGGGCTCCAAGCATTTGGTGGACCCCCAGGATGTAGCTCTTTGGGTTACTATAGAATTTCCCGAAGCAATGAAGGTGAACCATAGTGACGAGCAACTGATGGAGTTTGTGGTTCAGCAGGTTCAAAACCACAATGTCAATATTTCCGCTCATGCACAACATTACCTGAGACACTGGTGTCTCTCGCTACCAGTTGTTGGAGTCCCTAGGGATGAGGAACACAATGATGCAGTCATAGCTCAGGCTAAGACTTTGGCACTCTGGTGGCTTGGAGAAATCCGCGCACACAAGGTTCATATTGACCGGAGTATGATTTTTCCTTAGTTCAATGAGGGAACCGTTTTATCAGAGCAATCATATAGGAAATATCTCATGTTGATAGATTGCGGGTATCGGATTAAGGCAAGAGGTATGAAGAGTGCAGTCGATGGGGTTATTTGGGGGTATCTGGTAAATGAATAGAACAGCTAGATTGAAAATAAGAAAAAGCGAACAAGACACTCATGAAAAGACATCAAGTTTCACAAGTAACCTAAATAAACTGTAAGTCCTGGCTTCTGAGATCCATATCAAGTGCCACAGTCTGCCTATTCAAGTGGCTGGCTCGACGAAGTTGAACCGCCGCCATAAGTCATGAAATGCCATTTGGTTGAAAGGCAACCGAATATCAGATTCAACAAGATAACTATAACAGACGAATTAGTCAAGCACACGAAATGTCAAAAAATCTAGAGTGTCAAAGAAGTAGAGATCAGAGATATAATAGACACAGTCTGCATCCTCTTACCCTAGACCATGCCGCAAGAATAACACCCCAAGCCATATTCAACTTGCGGAGTATCTTCCCCACTGTAGGTGCGCAGGCTGTTTCCAAGACGAGTGTTCGATTTCACCGAGGAGGTGGATCCACTCAGAAGACATGCTCAGGCGAGCTGGTAGCGATGTGGGAATTGTTGGATTTGGGAGTTCACCAGTGTCCGCAACCAATTGAAAGTAATATGTATGACATGATCCATAATTTCGGTTTCGGTCAAGATAGAAAGCCGTATGAGAACTATGAAATGTACCATCACGAGGATAACCATAAGTTCCCAGAATATCATCCATTTCACTAGCTCAGTTGTGAAGCTAGGGTGCGCGGTGTAGCTTGAAAAGATAGCGAAGAAGAGCAGTCGAGTTTCTTTATGTCGGAATGGAATAAATAACCAGTACATCAGTGTGTATGGTTGCATGATGCCAAAGAGGAGAGGAGACGAGAAGAAAAAAAACGTCTAGAGATAGGAGAATGGAGGAGAAGAGAGAAGATCAAGTACTTGGCCATGACTAAGGTACCAACTGCACAAAATAGGAAGGAAGGAAGGTGCCAATGGGCGTTTCCTAATTGGGATTCTATGGGCAAGTCCACGGGTGACATCATGTGCCCGTGACATCAGCCATCGGTATTTTGATACAAGGTCCCTCCCATTCACATCATACTGGGAATAAATCACCAACCATGTCGCAAACCGTTAGTCAGATCGTCTTCTTCCGCGTCAAATCTTCCGTCAAGCCTGAAGACCCGGTCAGCGAAGAAGGTGAGGCTTTACTGAAGATCTTCCGCTCAACCCAACACCAAAGCGGTCATGAGCACTCATCCTGGGGACGCACATCCGAAGACGAAGACACCATCGTGTGGGTTATAGGTGAGTCCAGCAAGCCCCTAGAATAACTCTCGAACTACTATATACCAACGATATACCCACACGCCCCTACAAGCCTACAACCTACGGGTCTAACCAAACCAACAGACTGGACCGACCCCCGTAGCACAATAAACATCCACCTCCTCGAACCATTCCTGGCCCCAGACAATCCCCAGCCACCGTCAACGCTCCACGTCACGTTCAGCCCACCACTCTCTTGCACAGAAACTCTAACCAAAAACCCCGTGACTGAGCTGTGCACGCTGTCATTCCCAAGCGACCTTGATGTGCTAGCAGTAAGGCAGATCAATGCAGACTTGATCAGCTTCCGCACCACGCTTGTTGAGCAGCTGCCACAGTCAGCGGGGCCACGGTCGTGGTCGATGGGACATGTCGACCGGCCGAGTAAGCTGCCGCATGAGAACAGTCCGAGTGGGCAGGCTTTTGCGCACCTTCTCGCTGTTGGCTGGGAAAATATAGAGGCGCATCTCAAGGTCAAAGAGACGGAGAAGTTTGTTCAGAGTATTGCGCCTCTGAGGGAGAAGATGCTGCCGCCTATTCCTGGGTTGGAGATAAAACACGTTAGTTTTCAAAAGGTTGAGGGTTAGGGATTCCAAGAGAGAAGGAATAAGGGCGGAAAGGGAAAAAGACACAGAAAGAAAGGAAGGAGAGCGTGGTGCCGTGGATTAGTGTTGGGGACTTGGATGTAATTTGAGCTGTGTTGCGTGGATCATAGGATATGTTGGTGATAATTAGAGCAGGTAGTGGAAAGGGAAAAGGGCTACTTGATTCAAGGGATAATTGCGGGAATTGTTATTAGAAAGGCAGAAAATCAAATCACACGCCCTGGAATAAGATACAACAAGAAAGTAAGAAAAGGAAAAAAAGGAATAACACCCTGAGAGAAATCGAAGGCAAAGAAAAAGAGACTTCATTAACCACCGTGGACTTTTGGGCATAACCCTGCAATAAGACTCTTGCAGCAAGCCTAGGTTGTGCTGCTGGGCTTAAATTCGGTGTTTTTCACTCTCTGTTGTATCCATTAGAACCTGGGCACAAGAAGTTTCTCCTGGGGGACCTGGGAAACCTGGGAAAGGGGGAGACCAACCGAGTCGGGAATAGAGCATGTACAGAGCCATCTGGTTGCACTCCGCAGTACCAGTGATAGTAACCAAACGCTCATTGCTGCTCTCCTGGGGTTCGTTGATCTTGATCACACTGCCGCTGAGGTGACGTATCTCGTTAATTTTAGCACCACCTTTGCCGATGATGGCGCCAACCATGTCGTTGGGGATGTAGATCTGCTGGGTCAGTGGCTGACCGGGCATGGCAGCGCCGACAGGAGCGGGGGCTGTTGGGGGTCCACGGCCAGGGGTCGGCTGCTGAGGACCGCCAACGAAGGGAGCGGGTTGGTGGGGGCCTGCACCGCCGTAAGGAGCCTGGGGAGCGGTAGGGAAATGCATTGGAGTCTGGGGAATAGGGGCAGGAGCTGGCTGGCCGTGCAAGTAGGGAACACCGTATGCACCACCACCGGCACGGTTGGGGTGAGGGTGGTGACGCTTGAAAGTCTCGGGGTGGCCGTATTGACCGCCGGCGGGCTGAGGAACGTAGGGAACAACCTGCATACCACCAGGGACAGCACCGGCAGGACCGCCGCTGCGAGTGGCATATGCCGAAGCCGCGGGACCGCCGTAACGTTCAGACAGCTGCTCGACCAAGGTGACAGCGACATAGTAGGTAGCAATGTGGACGGCATCTGCAACACCGAGGATGACAAGGGAGCGTTCCGTGGACAGGGGAAGGCAAGCATCCGAGGCGTTCAAGCGGGCGCCAGAAGCCTCCTGGATCTCACGAATGCGGCTGCCACCCTTGCCGATGATGGAGCCAATTAGAATGTGAGGAATTAGCAAACGCAGAGGGTACGTCTTGGATTGTGCGGTAGAAGCAGCCTCTAGAGGTTCGTTGTTAAGGGTACGGATGATTAAACCAAACGCCTGATATTTGTCATTAGCAATCGAGTAACAAACCTATTGAATGGAAAAGAACCTACCTTGGCAGCAGCGTCCTGGGGACCGCTGACGGTCAGGATACGCTCCACTGCACCTCGAGAATAATCACTGACAGTGCACTTGGCACCGGACAGACGACGAATCTGGGACACGTTCTCACCTCCCTTTCCAATCACGGTGGCGGCCTCCGGGCTAGAGATCACCGCACGAATATGAACCCAGCTCGACTCGTCCTGGGGGGGTTGATCAGAGCCTGCTCGGTCGGCCTGGGAAGCTGTTGATTGGATGGGTTGGGTGTCGACAGGGAGACCCTTGCCGTTGGGCGCATCGGGAACCACGGTATCACCCTGGGTATCCTTGGCAACCTCAACAGCAGGAACCTGGCTACTGGATACATCTGTTTCCGCCTCGGCATCGGCGTCGCTCTTGACTACTTTGTCCAGCGCCGGGCGCTTGGCCTCAGGCTGGTCATTGGGGCCGGACGGCGACGAAGGGTCCTCGAGAGGACGCTTGGTCGATTGAAGGTTGGATGGAGAAGCCGACATCTTGGATAGTCTGTGCTGCTGTTTGTGTTCACTTACAAGTGAAATCGGAAGGTGTCAAGAATAGAATCTGCGTTCTTCTTTTTTATGATCGTTTTATGTACACCAGAATTTCCCACGAAAGGTGCTGGTGCTGGCGATCGGAAGGGGAGATTGGTGCTTTGAGAAGATTGGAGAGGCTGTGAAGGAAAGGTGGTACTGAGGGAGTGCCGATGTAAGACGGGAGGAAGTGCAGTTTCAAGTGTGAGAGGGCTTTGCTGTCACAACCGGGGAAGCTTCACGGGGTCTGCCGAGATGCTCGAAATGAATGAGGAAGCGCAAAGGGTGGAGATGGGATCCTTAGATGAACGCGATGGGAAATATGAAATGAGGCAAGTAAGATATCAAGCGCCAGAAACCGTTGCCTGCTGTACCACACTGTAGCCTCCGATAACGTCTGAATCTGAGGTCAAGGGTGTGGGCTAAACTCGCAATCGACGAGTTAATAGCTTTTCTGACAAGAACGTGGTAAAATGCAGAAGAGAGACGGGAACAAGGGAATTGATGAAGGCGATGAAATGAAATCCCGGTGAGTAAGGAGAAGAGGTGAAGTTGACGATGAGGGAGGGAAGTCGAGGGTGAAGCTTGGTCACATGACGTCGACGCGAATGTTGCATGGGCGTGATGCATCTCGTCTCGTGTTCAAGATTTTGATTGCCTCTAAGGCTTCAATCAAAATATTTTACAGCAAGTCTAAACTGCAATCGAGTTCTAATTGAAAGTATTCTTGTTACTTCTAGAAGGAAATATTTGCATTTCGCGTCACTCCGCCAAAATAAGCATGGATGTCACCGACCAAATCGTGCAGAAGATCCAGAATTTCTCAGAAAAACGCCAAGAAGCAGAGCAAGAGTCGGCAAAAGAACCTCTCAGTGGGACCGCATTGCATGTCTATACGCGACGTTTAGACGCAACATTGCAAGGGCTTCAAGAGCAAGTCAAACGCCAGCAGGATGAATTGAACAAGGCATGTTATGAGATTCTTGTTATTGTAGAATACCTCGACTGACATGAGTTATAGCTACGGGAGCTCAATTCTCTTGATCTAACAGAAACGGGCACCGATTCCTGGGCCCGTATTTCCCAAGCCCGACGGGCCAAGAAAGCATATGACTCTCTTCTCAAGTCCGAAGATGAGCTCCTAGCAACAGACTCGGTGTTGCCATCACTTCTAGCTATAGAAGAGACCGCACGGCTTGTTCAAGAAAACAAGATCTCTGTCAAAATGACCGCGGAACAGCTGTCCTTGGACCGCGAGCGCCTACGAGTCGAAGAGGCCAATCTACGTGACTCTCAATCAATCGCAAGCGGACTGCGAGAGCGGATTCAGAAAATTCGTAATGCGAACACGAGAAAGGAAGAGCAGACCCCGTCACAAGTAGCACGCGAGCAGCTCAATCTACAGAAAAAGCAAAATAAAGAACTGGACCGCACGTCCGTAAGCCTCAAGGTCTCGTTGGATAAGTTCATCGATGAGACTCTTGCTCCAATGCTTGCGGCTGAAGATCTAGGCGGCCCGACTGTGGGCGATGCTTTCGAGGTGTCGGATGCTACGCTGAAGGCGGGTTATACGGCGCACGGCAAGCCCAAGAAGCAGAAAGAGCCGGCAGAAACGAAGGATGCATCGCAGCAGCGGATTGATAAGTTTATGAAACGCAACGCGGACGAGACTCCTACGAACAAGAGGGATGCCGCTGCGAAGGAGATGCATGGCCTTCTCGACGCTATGTTGGAGGCTGACTCCTATATTGATTTGGAGCGCGACTCGGCGTCTTCGAGGTTCCTCGTTAGAGCCAAGGTCGCGCAGTTTCACCCTCGAGATGCGCGGCGGCTTCGATTGATTGATTTTGGTCGCTCACTAGGGAATTGAATGTGGGGGGTTTCCACGATTGAGTGACAAAATGGTATTATTGATTCATGAATGTGTATCTTCTTATATCTGGTCCTTTGTAAACATGTCAAATACTACCTAACGCCGGATCTATGGACCACCTCCGAATGACTTCCTACAAACCGCGAGACAACAACACCTAGATATGCTTGGGTAAACGCCAAATCGATCATAAACATCCCGATAAAAGGGGGGAGAAAGAACAATAACAAAAACTTCAGAGGGGCATCATTCCGATCGTTGACTTAGGGGTTTTGGCCCGCGCGTTCTTCCGCGGCGCAGATGACTGACTTGTCGGACGATCGCCGGTTTTAGCTTTTGTCCGTGTGCCTTTCCCCTTCCAGCTCCCAGTGGAGCCATACTTTCGACGTGATGGTCGTTTCCCACTGGAAGGCTGCCGCTTCCGACCCTTGGAGCCTGAAGGGGCAGTGCCGGATTCCCAATCGTCACCAGAGTCATACCCCGGAGATGCTGCCGGAGGGAAGTAGCGGCTTGTGATATCTTCAGCTGCATTGCTGGGTGCAGTCGAAATAGGATTGTCCAGATTGAACGTGGAAGCCTCATCCATGAACAAGTCGTCGTCACTATACTCATCACTGCTGCTGAGATTTATGACATTATGATGGTTGGGATCCGGGACAATGCCGCTGGTCTCTGCTTCCTGCGTCATTTCGAGGTAGCGCCGCTTTGCATTATCAACCAGTCCCAGGATCTGCCGGCCGTAGCGCTTCACCTTATCCTGGTCGATGTCCGGGATAGCGGAAAGCTCAGTAAGATCTATTTGGGCTGTTAGCTTGGTGTTCCAATTCAATTGAAGAATGAGTATTTACTTGTGGGGAAGGATATGCCCATATCACGTAGCACCTGATCAGAGAACGGTTGGCACCGAAGGCCCTTCTTAACGACAAGCTGTAACATCTGTCAGTTTCTGGGTGGCGAGCCAATAGGCACGGCGATTACTCACGTCTTGAAGCATGATTTTGGCATGCTCTTGGAAGTCCTCCACAACTACACGATGCATATGATCAAGTCGATCCAACTTCTGATCGCTGGTGATTGGAGGGCCCATCTCGTGTGTGTTTATACGGCGAGACTTGCCGGTGGTTCGAATGGGCTCAAAGCCATCACTATCCTCATCGACTGAGGTACGTGCGGCTGGAGCACCGGGATATTGATAACGGTCAAGGCGGCGGTCTTGGGCAGCTTGCACTGGAGAAGAGACCATGGTGGACTGGGGATCACCGCCTGAATTGCCAGACTTTTTCTTCTGCACGGCGCCTGAGGGCTTGCTCTTGGCTTTAGCCTTGCTATTCGGCGAGGCGCGAACCTGTAGTTTCATTTGCCTCTGGCCACTCTCATATTCTGCCGCACGACGGCCGAGAATGAGGTACTGAACAGCAAAATCGCTTTTATTGATCACGTTGTCTTCGGCCAATGCGTCTTCACCCAGCAGCCGGTAGAACAGACGTTCGGCTGCTCCACGGTCGAGGTTAGATCCCTTCCCATACCCCGGCATCTTGCGATGCTCTGGAGCTTTAGGCCGTTTGCAGTCTCCACGAAGTATGTCACAGCAGTAAAGCACAGTCACTTTCTCCTTTGTGTTCTGGAATTGTCGCACAATCTTGATGGCCCAGGATGCCTCTTCAGTAAAGTCATGGAGCTCAAACACCAGTCCGGACTTGCAGTTATCACAAGTGTTGTTGCAGTCCTCTCGGCGGAAGTATTCCGCAAAATAGGCGAGTACTTGCACTCGTCTGCAATCGCTGCGGTTCTCACAAAATTGAACCACATTTCGCAACATCTGTTTTTGACGACCTTTTTGCTGACCATTGCCATCTCCTGCATCAATCATCCGCTTCAAGGTTGCTGTGTCTTTGTAGCCGAAGTAAAGATAGCAGCCAGACCGCTTGCCGTCTCGACCGGCACGACCGGTTTCTTGATAATACCCCTCGAGGCTCTTTGGGATACTATGGTGCATGACAAATCGTACATCGGCTTTGTCAATGCCCATTCCGAATGCAATAGTGGCAACAATGATATGTACTCGGCCCATCTGCCAGTTCCTCTGAGCTTCCGATTTTGCCGTTGCTGACATACCCGCATGATAAGCCTGTGCCTTGAGGCGGTACTTTGTCCGTAGATCCTCTGCAGTCTTGTCGCACGTCTTTCGCGAGAGGCAGTAGATGATTCCGCACTGATTCCGGTATGAGCTTGTAATGGTTTCCGCCATGCTGGCCAAAACTTCATCATTCTTTCCCTTCGACCGTACCTCGTAGGTGAGATTAGGACGGTTGAAACTCTGCAAGAACACTTCACAATCAGTGATTTTGAGATTGTGCATCACATCAACTTTCACATTCTCAGTGGCGGTGGCTGTCAAGGCCATGACCGGTACACCAGGGAACCTAGATCGAACCTCTCCTAACTCTTTGTAGTCAGGTCGGAAGTCGTGTCCCCATTGACTAACGCAGTGGGCCTCGTCGATGACGAGGCGTGCTAGTCTGTTTCTTCCATGAAGCTTCTCAAGGGCTCTGATCAAGGCTTGGCTTTTACTGAGCATCTCAGGAGTGATGTACAGGACCTCCATTCCCTCGCCACCTGCATTTGATAGCTGGCTCATGATCCAAGATTTTTCCTCTGGGTCGGTGTCACCATTAATCATGAAGGCCTTAACCTTCAATTTTTGCAGGTGTGATACCTGATCCTCCATTAGACTTAGCAATGGAGATATAACGATCGTCACTCCCGTGGTGCGTCCACCCGTTACCACAGAAGGTAATTGATAGCATAGCGACTTTCCTCCTCCAGTAGGCATGAGAATGAAAGTATCCTTGCCAGCAAGTGTTGCATCAATTGCCTCAAGCTGATTGGGTCGGAACCCGCGGAGGTGGAATCGATCTTTCAACACTTTCCTTACTTCTTGAGACCATGGATGGTTTGACCAGAAGGCGCTATGACCGGGTGACTTCTTCGGGACGGGGGCCTTGGGGATGTTGCCAGATGTCTCTGCGAAAACCTTGCGGTTTTGACTGGCTTGCTCGCGAGCGGGTATTTGATGGGCACCTTCGAAGCCCTCTGCCGCCTCTAATATCTCATCATCGCTGACATTCCAGTCGAACTCATCAAGATCCATCGAATCCAGCGGCGGGGAGCCCATATTCCGAGCAAAAGAGTTATCATAGCTATCCGGCCGGGGCGTCTCTTTAGTTTTTCTGGGGCTTGTAGGAGGTAAACGCTGTTGGCCACGGGATTTTGCGTTTAAGTCGGCATGCGAAGAAGAGAAGAGAGGGGACTCCCGTGTGACTGCGTGGGCTTCGAAGGTGGGCTGAGTATTTATCATGGCAGGAGGGTCGGACGGACAATCGTGTGCCAGCTCGAGGATGTTGACTTTAGATAGAAGCTGACATATCTCTGTTTCTGTTTGTTCCAACTCGGCCTCAACTGCCCGACTCTGTGCCAGCTCTTCTGGCATGGTTGTTGGGTCTAGACCTTGTGAGATCACACGTATCAGGTTTTGCTTCAGGTCTTGTTTGCGAGAAACACTGCCCCTGTGCGTGTTTCGATGTTTTTGCAACATTTCAATTGCCTCGATCTGAGCGACAAGGGTCTTGTTCTCGGCGATCAATTCTGGAACTGGCTGGCCCTCCATGGCTTGTTGATAGACAATCTCAGAATTCTTCTGCAGAGTAGACCTCAATTTTGAAATTGCATGCCCGAAGGCATTATTTCCAAGGGTCAAAAACTTCAGAAGATCGGGATCCTTTTCCTGTGAGTTGGACGGCTTCGACCAAGGGGTCGACGGGATAGGGTCTTTGGCAACTGCCCTTTTTTTTGACTGAGTCGATGGTTGCACAGTTGGAAGCGGTGCTTTGGGCGTAGATTCCAATCGCGAAGGCTTGGTCTCGATCTTTTTTTCATCCGCCGCCGGGCTCATCTCAGGGAGTATTGGGTACAAGCTCTCCTCGGCATCCAGGATCATCTTATCGGCGGGATCTTCATTGTCAGCCCAATCGTCAAAGAGATCGTCATCATCATCTGAATCCGCAATCACTCGTTTCCGATGGCTCCGTGGGGCAACAGGTGAATGATATTCAGGTCGTTTCGCGGCGCTTGGGGGATTTCTTTGAGTTGTTTGGGTTGTCTGGCGTTGGATTATGGGCTGTTCCGATGCAATGCTTCTAGGGGCGGAAGGTAGAGCCGCTTTCGAGGGAGTTCGCACTTTTGCCGCATGTTTCGATGGGGAAAGAAGGTCCGATGTATACTCGTCACTTTTGCGCTTCTTGCCGCGTTTCTCACGAGTTCCGCATGGGGTGCTTTCTTCTGCCCATGACCCGCGCGGCTCAACAGCCGGAATAGTATCCGAGGATAGTCTAGACAGATCAAGCTCGCCTGTCAAATCAATCGATTCAATGTCATAAGGTCCAGGTGAATGGAAACTGTCTGATCGCAATGGAGTCGACTTTTGCCGGGAAAGTTTGTATGACGATAATGGTGGTTCTCGGAAGGACTCTGAGTATCATGCAAGTTGCATCAGTCTAATAATTCCAGCAAGATTGGTATTATTCGGCCACATACCTCGAACTATGCTTGACTGTTTCGGCGAAGCCCGTTTCTTCGTAGTTGACAGAGTGCTGGCGGGGACCATGTCGTGTTGGCTTAGCATTCGAGGCTTGCTCGCCGATTGGGGTAACAATCTAGCCATTGATCCATCCGTCTCATTCTCCACGTCTTCAAGGATATCATCGAGGGCCGCGAATTCGTCGGTGGGGGAAATAGATAGGTGTGATGCGTGATTGTTGCGTCCAGGCAAGCTGGTTTGTGCCAGAGGAGGGTAGAGAGGTTTCCCTTGGGTTATCAACCATTTGAGATGTGTTGCTAAGTTATTCTTCGTCATGGGGGCCTGTTGCTGTCATGGCCGTCGATCTTAATGTTTGGAGTAATTCGGTACAATCGCGAAACTGATATGGACGCGTCGGCACGTGAGCGGTCAAACAAATTGATCTATAGCAGGCAACTACGCTCACCTTAGGGTTACTTGGTCAAATTGGGCTAAGAATATCAAATTTGTATAGGAATCATCATGATTATTATATGTACTTGTATTTTCCGAATTTATATATGAAAAGAAACCAGTTGTGCAAGCAACACGCCTAAAGACGTAGATCTGATCTGGAGGGGGGCAATTCAGTGTGGGGAAAGGCATAATTTCTGCCCCACGAAAAGAAGATCGCGAAAACTCACCTTCTGTATCCAACATTGAGCCAAAATGGGCAAAAAGAATAAGAAGTCCGCCGAGCACAAGGATCGTGTAGCGGCAAAGCAGACAAAGAAGTCCGCACAGAAAGAAAAGAGATCCAAAGCCAAGGGCAAGGATGCAGACAGCGATGCCGAAGATGCAGACCTAGATGCCATTCTAGCCCAGTACGCCGAAGAACAAGCCAAATTCTTGAAGGTCACCGAGGTTCCCTCAGAGCCGCCTGTACCACGTTCATCTTCAACAGTGCTAGCATCTCCATCGAACCGAAATGAGCTGTTTCTTTTCGGTGGAGAGTATTTTGATGGCACGCATGCCACTTTTTTCAATAACCTTTTCGTTTATTTGATTGATCGCTGCGAATGGAGAGAGGTGACTAGTCCCAACAGTCCCCTTCCCCGAAGTGGCCATGCATGGTGTCGGGGAGGAAACTCGGGAGGCATTTATATGTTTGGAGGTAAGATTGTCTTGCTAGACATATTGAAAATTCTTTGTGCGGAGACTAACTATCAGCAGGAGAGTTCTCGTCGCCGAAGCAAGGCACATTCTATCACTACAATGATTTTTGGCACTTAGACACAGCCACAAGAGAATGGACCCGTCTCGAGGTTAAAGGCAAAGGCCCTCCCGCTAGAAGTGGTCACCGCATGACCTATTTCAAGGTATGTGTTTCGATTTCAGCATGTCTTTTGTATCAGAGCTAATTCCGAGACAGAACTACATCATCCTATTTGGTGGATTCCAAGATACCTCCCAGCAGACTAAGTACCTGCAGGACCTGTGGATCTATGATTGCAATCAGTATACTTGGTCCAACCCCACATTGACCCTTGCTTCCCAAAAGCCCGATCCTCGCTCATCATTCTCTCTGCTACCGCACGAGACTGGAGCCGTTCTCTACGGAGGCTACTCCCGAGTGAAGGCAGCTGCGGGTGGCGGTAAGCAAGGGAAGGGTGGTGGTGGTCCCCAGAAGATGGCTCTCCGGCCCATGGTTCACCAGGATACTTGGTTCTTGAGAATCACACCCCCTGCAGCTGAGGCCCCATCATCAACGGCACCTGTGGTCCGATGGGAGCGACGAAAGAAGCCCGCTAATACGCCCAATCCGCCCCGTGTTGGTACTACCATGGCATACCACAAGGGCCGAGGAATTATGTTTGGTGGTGTCCACGATGTGGAACTAAGTGAGGAGGGTATTGACAGCGAGTTCTTCGATACTCTCTTTGCTTGGACCACTGATAGGAACCGTTTCTTCCCGTTGAGTCTGCGACGTCCCCGCGCGCCCGGCAAAAAGCAGCAGGCAAATCAAAATGCAAAGTCTAAAAACAGGGGCAAGGCAGATGAGGAAGAGCTTCTGGCAAACCTTAAAGCCCTGGAAGCTAAAGTTGGAATTCGGGACAATGAAGATGATGACGATATCGAAACAAGTATGCCCCAGCCAGAGGAGCCTGTGGAGCCCGCAAAGCCCTCGATTGTTCGCTTTGAAATGCCCCACCGACGATTCAATGCCCAGCTGGCAGTGCAGGATGATACCCTATTCATCTTTGGTGGTACGTTTGAAAAGGGTGACCGAGAGTTCACTTTCGACGATATGTATTCCATTGATCTAGTCAAACTGGACGGCGTCAAGGAGATATTCTACAGAGAGCCTGAGAATTGGAACCTCTTGAACGAAGCCGAAGACAGTGACGAAGATATGGATGACGAAGATGACGACGACGAAATGGATGAAGACGAAGAGGCTGACGCCGAATCGATGTCTCTTGATGCTCCTTCGCCTGCCCCAACTGATGTGACGGTGCCATCTGTTACGAAGGACATGGAACAACTCGAAGTTGAGGAGCCAGAAGAGCAAAATGTCAATGACAGCCGACCTTTGCCTCGGCCGTTCGAGAGCTTGCGAGAGTTCTTCAGCCGCACTTCTGAAGAATGGCAGAATATCATGATGGAAATTGTTAAGGAGAGAGAACAGTCTGGTGAGAAGTCAATCAAGGAACTGCGCAAGGCAGCGTTCTCTGTGGCTGAAGAAAAGTGGTGGGATAGCCGAGAGGAGATCATGGCTCTGGAAGATGAGCAAGAAGCCGCGGGTATTGGAGAGGTTGTTAGCATGTCTGACCGTACTGAGAATATGGGAGGAGCTGGTCGTCGCCGCTGATACCCTCCATAGATATGCCAAAAAATATTTAAGCGTTGAATGTCCAATTGTTGATATCCTAAGTCTGCTGTCCTAGTGTTCATATATTATTTTCCCCCTAGCCCTGGGCAACCTTTGCCAACACGTCTGTCACCAGCAAAAAGTCTCGCTCCAAGTCAACTCGCCAATTCGAGATTGCAATGCGGCAAGCAGGGGATCCATCCCAGCTGGTACCCGAGACGAACATTCGCGAGCTGTCGTTGATCTTGCTGCCTAGCTCACGGTTCAAGTCCTCATTATTTGCGCGAAGCAAAACAGTCATAAATGTCCGATCGAGGAGTTCAGATTTGGACAATGCTTCTGGCAAAGCTGTATACCCAGGATGGTCGAAGACCCATCCGTAGATTTTCCGGGCAAGCCTTATCTGACGCTCCAGCATTTCTTGATACCCAGACTTGCCATATGACAACAGCGATGCATACACTGGCAACGCCCTGAATCGACGAGAGTTTTCAATTCCAATGTTCAAAGGCGAGGGGATAGAAGGACCATCGGAGTTTCCAGCAGCTAAGTAGGCTGCATTTGCATTTTGGAATACTTGCGATGCCACGTTCGGGTGTCGAGTAAAGAAAAAGCCACAATCGTAAGGAACGTTGAGAAGTTTGTGACCGTCACCGGTAATTGAATCGACCAACTCTATTCCTTCGCAGCCCTTCTTGATTGTTGCAAACTCCGGGCTTTCTCCAAGAACACGAGCAAAGATTCCAAATGCTCCGTCAGCATGCATCCAGGCTCCGTACTTGTCGCAGAGCTGGCGTATCTCTCTCAAATCCGCACCGCTTGTTGCAAAACGACCAGTATTCACCTCCCCACAAGATATTGCGACAATGCTGACCTTGTCTGTTCTTGCCAGTTCTTTCTCAAGCTTATCAATATCAAAGCGGAGCGGGTCATCGGCTCGGCAGATATTGTGTACGTTGGAACGACCGATGCCTAGCACACCAGCAGCCTTCACGAGGGACGAGTGTGGCAGCGTGGATAAAACTTGCACCCCAGAAAGTCCCAGTGCATTCAATACCTCAAACAGGCCCTCTTCACCAACACTCTGGAGATGACAGCCTTTTCTCTGCGCCGCTTTTTGCAAAATAAACTCGCGCCCACACGCTAGGCCGAGGATATTACTCCCCGTGGCGCCGGTAGTGAATGTTCCATTATGCCAGGTAGAACGATCTAGTTGGAAGAGATCCAGAAGGAGACCAAGTGTGTTGTACTCCACATCAGTGACAATCGAGTGATTTGGGAGATGCACCTGGACGTTCTGGTCGTAAGTAGATACAACGTTGTCCGCGAAGAGCGCTGCCGGGGTAGTTCCGCCAGTGATAAAGCCATAGTAGTTAGCACTTAGGCTTCCTCCATTGAATGCCGGGACAATATCATCGACGATGTGTCGCTGGACAGATTCGAGACTGGATCCTGTATCCGGAAGTATCGCGGGGAGAGAAGCTCTAGCTCGGACCAAGTTCTCCGTACTAGGGAGAATTCTTGATTCCCAGGGTCCCTGCGCAGCCTTCCATATATCTTGTTGGAATTGGTTCTGCATGACTGAAATGTGTGTCTTAGGAGGAATCAGACAGCCGCGTCAATTTATGCCAATGCCGGGATCTCGGGGTTTGGAAAGTAAATGAGGCTCTCTATAAGGTTCGGCTGTACCTTCCAAAAACAGTCTTTGATTCCTTCTGATCTTACGTATAAAATAGACGGCTCTCAACATGTATCATTGGAAGACACGTACCTAGGTAACGTTGAAAGCTTAGAGGGCGGGATGAGCGGGGCAAAGTCGGAGTCCGATGTCCGAAGTTCCAACAGCTTCCAGTGATCTTACAACCTTGGAAGTCTTGGAGAAGATAGGTAATGTCGGAGATGGAGGCCTATAATCCCTAGAGATGCCCATTCATGGATAGTGAGAGGGTGACTCTTGCTTGGCTGCCTCAGGCGCCGACCAAGTCAACTTGCTTCTTCTGCCTCAGCACGGAGTACTGTCCAGGTAATCTCTAGTGCTGATTTTCCCCTATTTCTCATCTTTTATATTGCTCATGCCATCTTGTTAGATACTAACTGCGCCGACTGATGCCGTCAAGTTCGGGGAGAACCTACGGAGCAGAGATTTTATCTTGACTTCGTCTACTCCGTACTTGTCGCTAAGTCAACTACAAGCTCGGTTTACTCTCCGAATTCACCTTGGCAGTGCACAAGTCCTCCTTACTTGACCATATTGAACGACCTTATCTATGTTGTATATGATGTTCGCTTATTCCAGGGGCGCATAGTTAGCCCTGAGCAAGGAGAATCTGTCTCGGATAACCAGAATAAAACTCGTGAGACTAGTGCTTGTGATTCAGACCCTCTCTCCTTTCTAGACCATGTCGCAGTCAGAAAGACGGAGAATAATATCATCAAAAGGACTCGAAAAAGCAATTCAAATTTCCACATTCAGTCGCGCATGTCTCAAAAAGCAGATTTATGCCAAGCCACATCCAATCGAGCGAATCTAGGTTCAATGATCGACGCAGATCACCCTTCTTATGCATGTAAATATTCCACATTCTGTCATCGCGCGTCTCCTGCGTTCCACATGAAGCCCCTGGGGTGAAGATACGCGGGGCTTGGTCCTACATAGACGGTGGTCACGTTCAAAACTTTCTTGCAACAATGGCTGCCACTTCAGTCTTTCCCTACTCTCGAAGAACCCATCGTTTAGAGGCCGACAACAATGCCTAGCCACATCAAGTTCGCAGAGCCGACTTCGAACAAAGCTAGCAAAGATCGCGCTAGGGCCATCAGCCAAGAAAAGGGGTCGACACAGAGAGCGCCTTCTCCAGGAAGTGAAATTGTTTACCCGACAGGATGGAGACTGATGCTTACCACCACAGGGTATGTGCTCAGTCAAGTGCCATCGGGGTTTGAATGACGAATACTGATAATATATAGGCTCTTGATTGGATTTTTTCTCTCTAATTTGGATGTCACAATTGTAAGCTCGGCTCTCACGGGCATCACTGATGACCTGAAAGGCTTCGAGAAGAGAAGCTGGATTATTACTGGATATCTGGCCACCTACACAGGTATGATCCAAAATGCAATTCCATAGTGATTCCTCTTTCTTCTAGATTAGTTTCGTCCCTCTGGACTGGTTTTTTCCCCTAAGCATATCTATCCTGGAATAGGTTCCCACAATCTCCATATCTCTCATTACTGATGTCGCATCGCTCTCAGGGTCTATGGCAATATGGACGAAAGTCAGCGATATAGTTGGCAGAAAACAATCTACAATCGCCGCTCTTGTTATTCTCCTCGCATTTTCTATTGGGTGTGGGTTTGCTCAAACAGTTAACCAACTGTAGGTCTAACGTAATTCTGCCCCTATTTCTGTCCAAAGGCTAACTACCGAGACAGCATAATATGTCGAGCACTCCAAGGAATTGGGGGCGCCGGTACATACGCCTTGACAATACTATGCGTCTACGAGATAGCTCCTAAAACGAAGCTTCCAATCTACAGCAGTCTAATGTCATTCTGCCTTGTTTTTGCATCTTTGATAGGTCCAATCATTGGCGGTGCTCTTGCAGAGGACTCAGCCTGGCGATGGACCTTTTTCGTCAAGTATGTGAAATGTCAGCATCTGTGTTGAAAGACATGCTAATTGAATCATCAGTGCACCGTTGTGTGTTATTGCGATCGTTGTTATCATCTTTGCGATGCCCAAACACTTCGGTCTTGATCAGCACACTCCTTCATTTCGAACACGAGCCTCCTATCGCTCATTTGCTAATCTCGATATAATGGGATCGATTTTGATGATGGCTGGCTCGTTTTTAATAGTCGCCGTCTTGAACGAGACCAATCTGGCATTCTCGTGGTCCTCGAGGGACGCAATTGCACTCCTTGTGCTCACCGGAGTTTCCTGGATTGCTTTCTTTGCCTGGGAATGGTATATCTCGGGCATCCCGGGCAAAGACCCTATATTTCCCAAGCGTTGGCTGTTTGATCGTCCGTGGTTGGGAATACTCATGTGAGTTTGTTTAAAGTTATCGTGCGATTTCTTCTGACCACTTTTAGTTCTTCGTTTGTTATCGGCGCACCATACAACGTCGTACTAGTATATGTCCCACAGCAAGCCCAGCTTCTGTTAGACAAATCTCCCTTGGATGCCGGTATTTATCTGATCGGGTATTCCGCTATCGCGGCCGTTGCCGCCGCTATTGTCAACATCGCCAGCTCCAGGGGACGTATCCCGTTTGTTTATACTCTGCTCGTGGGCTGTACAGTTCATACTGTCGGTATTGGGCTTCTCTCGACCATTGCCACTTCTAGAGGCTTCCACGCAGCAGATATTGGGTATCTAGTAATTGCTGGGACGGGAATGGGCCTGACAATGGGTATCCTGGTACTATCGACTCCATACATAGTCGAGGACAGGGATTTGGGTATGTGTTCTCCCGAGAAATTCCCTGATATTGAGGTGATTGCGTTGACTAACTGGTCCATCACTTTCGTTGTAGCAATTGCCACTGGTACCGTGGTCCAGATCCGTTTCCTTGGCGGTGCTATTGGTCTTGCCATTGCATCTAATATATTAAATGGCCGTCTAGCGAAGCGTTTACGCGGTGTCATGACGTCGCACGAACTGCACCTATTCCTTGAGAATGTCAAATCGATAAAATCTCTATCTCCCAGTCTACAGGAGGAAGTGAAGAGTGTTCTAGCTAGTAGTTTCAATACGCAGCTACTTGTTATGATCGGATTTGCGGCTGCTCAGCTACCGGCGACTCTACTGTTGCTAAAGGCAGGCCGGCAGCTTGCGGCCAGCAAACACTCGGGTACAAACTCAGGGTGAAAACAGCTGGCTTAGTCTTTTCTCTTTTGGGCACGATGTTCTCTTTGAAACAGAATGCAGAATTTGTACCAAAATACTTTTATCTATATGGTTATTATGCGCTAAGTCAATTTGCTACGATTTATCCGTCCTAGGAATAGCTATATACCTAGTAGTATGGCCAGTATTGTTTTCAAGGCCTCTCTACTCATTGATATATACAATAGGTTAGTCATCTCTCTATGAATGATATAATAAAGCAGAACTACCTATTTAGACGAAAGAAAAACACTAAAATTTTGTTTTACTGGGCTGGGTGATCATAGGTGAACAGCAAACAACGCCTAGACTAAAAAAAAATGGCGTGGTTCTCCGCAAAGCGGGCTTGTCACCAACGCGCCCTCTGTTTTTGGTCCACATCAACATCGCAGTCATGGCCGCGAAACTGATTGATCGACGATTCCATAACGTTTCAGGTCCGTATCATCTTTCTGATCGTCACTAATTAGCCCACTGGGTTCGAAACTGATCAATTTGACCTTATCTAGGCAAACTTCGGGTTTCTGAGCTGTTCTTCGATGTCCCCGTGGACTACAGCAAGCCCGCTGGGGACAAGCTGAGACTCTTTGCACGAAGTATCAGTCGCTTGAACAAACCTATTGAGCCTGTCAAAGAAGAGGCCAAGGAAGCCAAGGAAGGCAAGCTTCCTTGGTTGGTCTACCTGCAAGGTGGCCCTGGCTTTGGATGTGGTGCCCCGCAGTCTTACCCCTGGGTTGAGTTCATGCTCAGCAAGGGTTATCAAGTGTGTCATGCCTTTTACATATTGTTTGTAGATTGACGCTCAACCATTCTCTAGGTGCTCTTTCTGGATCAACGAGGCACTGGCCTCAGTTCGACTCTCACAGCGGGGACCCTTGCCCGCCAGGGAGATGCAATCAAGCAGGCCGAATATCTGAAGAATTTCCGTGCAGACAACATTGTCCGTGATTGCGAAGCCATTCGTGATGTCTTGACACAGGACTACCCGCCTGACCAGCGTCGGTGGAGTATCCTTGGGCAAAGTTTCGGCGGCTTCTGTGCCGTGACTTATCTGTCAAAGTTGTATGTTCCGAAAGACGTTGATCTCCATGTTTGGATCTTGAACAAGCTGCTAATATTACTCAACTTTCAGCCCGGAGGGCCTGAGAGAAGCTTTCCTTACCGGTGGCCTTCCCCCTCTTACCGACGGGCCGGATCCTGTCTATGCGAAGACCTATGGTGCGCTCCCCTAATTTATTGAAGTGGTTTATTCGTGATATTGACACAGAAACAGAGAAGGTCAAGGAGAGAAACGAGGCTTACTACCAGAAGTTCCCCGAAGATGTGGACCGTGTTAAGAATTTCATGCAATACTTGACCCAAAACAAGGTTGCATTGCCATCCGGAGTGCTCACTCCGTCTCGCTTCCAGCAACTGGGCATTATGTTCGGCTTCCACGGTAAGAGCCTTGATTCAGACAATTAGTCTATTAAAGCTAACACGACCTAGGTGGTTTCGATAGTCTGCACGGTAAATTTTGCTTTGTCTCGTGAAGTTCGCAATAAGAATACTAACCCGAGGCTAGATATTGTTGTCAGAGTCTCCAACGATTTGGAGATGTTCGGATTCCTTACTCTGCCGACTCTTTCTGTGATTGACAATAATGGCGGTATGGACAAAAACATCATTTATGCCATTCTGCATGAATCAATCTATTGCCAAGGGTAAGGAGAAGCTTTCGGTGCCATCCACTTTCCATGACATATCCGTGTCTAACAATGAATATAGAAAGCCGTCGCTCTGGGCTGCAGACAGGCTGCGCGCTAGCAACCCGCAATTCCAGATCAATGACTCGCTGCCTGAGATCTACTTTACCGGCGAGATGGTAAATAGCCCAACTCAGTCCAGAATTATCTCCATAGAACGATCTAACACCAATTCTCACCTTCTAGGTCTTCAAGGACATGTTCGAGTCTTATTCGGAACTCTCCGAGCTCAAGGAAGCAGCTGAAATCCTAGCTACGACAGACGAATGGCCGGCTCTGTACGACGAGGCTCAACTCGCCAAGAACAAGGTTCCGGTCTATGCTGCAACCTACATCGATGATATGTATGTTCACTTTGATCTGGCCACAGCCACTGCTGCCAAGATCAAGAACTCCAAGCAGTTTATCACCAACACCATGTACCACGATGCGCTGCGCAGCAAGTCGGGTGAGGTCATGCGTCAGCTCTTTAACCTAAGAGAGGACACCTTGGATTGATCCACATGCGCGATGTTTCATTTGATACATACCTAGGTACTATGGATTTTCTAGCAGCATGATGAACTCAGAACATCTGACAACAAATTCTACGGGAGATTTTGAAACGTAGAGGTAAATTAAGATACGTTGCAACGAAAAGAATGTATATATGTAGGTTTGGCGTGGACGTAGCATTGGGTATAATAAATCACGAGATAGTATATACAGAGAACTTTCTTCGTTGTCTGAGGGCGAAAGAATCGGAAGATATCAGAAAACCTGTTTGATAAAATCAGTATTGCAGTTCTTGGCAGAATGACCATGATGATAAAGTACGTACTGCGCCGCCAATGATGAACAACCTCTCTTCTTCACGTTGCACCCACTGAGCAATCTTGCTAGCGCTTTGGGCAAGCGCATTTCGATTGGTGTTCGGCTCAGCGATACAATAGAATTCGAATACAGGGGTGACCCATCCAAACGAAGTGGCTGACCGTGAAACACAGTGATGAACTTTGACGTGGGTATTCTTGGCGTGGATACTTGCGTGCAAGTTGTTGTACATCGACATCAATCTACAGGCACAGTCAGAATAATTCAATATTACAAGCATTCACAAACAACCGAGGGGATGTTCCTCACCTTCGTCGTCGAGTCACCGACGAAAATTCAGGGGCATACGATGACATGGTGAACTGTACGTTGGCGCGCGATTTGTAGAGGAAATGATGGAGCACAGTCCCAGGAACTATATCAGTAGTTGCGGGTCGGCCATTGTCAATTGCCGTTTTGATTTCCTTTAGACTGCCATTTCTCTCCATTTGCTATTACATCATTAGTACCACATACCATGTTCGATTGAGTAGAATTGTTCAATCTCACCTCCACAAGAGCATCACGCATTCCTTGCATCTCAAAGAAAGCCTCTTTGTCGGGACTGATAAGAACAATGGCAACAGATTCATCTTTGGTGATCTCTGCACTATTTTCGATGTCGTCGCGAATGTCGAGAAAGCTCACATACATGTAGAGATAACCGCTGCTGTTGAAGCCAGGCAAACAGACGGGAATCCAACTTTCTCCACCGCCAGCTTTAACTCCGTCGGCTTCGAAAACCATGTTGAATAAGAGCTGTAGATCACCTGGATGTAAGGAGTGCTTCTTCGGCCGGACAACGCTGACGAGTCGCCCGCCGGCCACAAGCAGACCATATAGAAGAGTGCTAGCTTTAGTTTTCAGAAGTGCATTGTTGATGGCTTGCCGGTGTTGTTTGCGGATTTTCAGACACTCCAAAGCCGATAGCAACGTCGATGGAGACCCTCTCGTGAAACTATCTGCCAGAGATGAAAGGAGGGACTCAGAACCCTGCAAGGGCCGCGATAGATCAGTAGAAGGCCGCACAGAGAAGAGATGGGTTAAAGAAGGCAGTGTTAATGTAGACAAGATCTGCATATACAATGCTTCTAGTTGAAGCCGGAGCTGATTGTCGCTCTCCATCATACGGCTGATCGCAACGAGGTGTAAAGATCCCCGTGTCAATACAACAAACCTAGTGTCACCAGCGGAGAAGCCTCGCAGATGATCATTTGCTTCTTCATAAAATGAAATAATGGTCTGAATAACCCCGACATAGCCAGATATCAGGCCGCTGTCGCCGTGCCTTGTCCAGATCGGCTTACCAGCGGCAGATAGGATCACATAGTGCTTGCGCTTTGCTTTCCACCGCTGGAGTAGTAGTTCTATTATGCGTTAGCATTTTGAAACAAGGAGACCACTAATTATTGACACAAACCTTCGTTTTCACCTTCCTCGTTGAGCTCACCAACTGCTTCAAATTCGCTTAGAATTCCATCGTCATCTATATCGTCCGCCGCAAATTCAGGGAAGTCAAGTAGACCAGTAGCACCATGTCTTTGACTACCGGGCGCTGTAGCAGCAAAGTCCATGAACAGCGCTTCAACATCCCCGGAATCACCATTTGGGATTGAGCTTCCAATACTAGCGGAGTCACCAGCTTCGCTACCCCGCGGGCTCGCCAACTGACTGAGGCTCGCCCTGGCCTTTGGACCCTGGGCCAGACTGCGAACAGCCAGTGTGGAGTAAGGGCTCTCAGCAGCTTCTGGTAATTGTGTCTCGATATCGGTTCTTGAGATAGCCGTCGTTGCCTCTGCCTGCAGAGCTGCCCGAGAGCCCGTTTCATCGTTCAATAGACTCAATGTATTTGGTCGCGGAGGTAAAGGTGGCCGCTCTCCCTCTGAGCTGTCACTGCTCTCATTGTGATCTGGGATTGATGATCTGAAAAGATACGGTTGATTGGAGATCTCGACAGGCTGTTCGCCGTCGGTCTTTGGGTCTCGCTGTGTATTCATCCCCGCTGCGGGCATGCGCTTTTTGATGCGGTCGCTCGTCGCGGGTCTTCAGGGTATTAAATGCTCATTTTTAGTTCCAAATATTCGGGGTATTTGATCAGTTGTGTTTGTCGATTTGATAGTTGCTGGACGTTGACGTCGGCGAGTCGGAGCTACCCCAAGGCGGAACAAAACAATTGAACGTGGCCGCCTGCGTTGCGTGGCTTCTGGCTAATATTCAACCGCCAACTCCCTTTCCCACAGGGTCATCTTCGATGTCCTAAATATGACGGAGGGTAGTTTAAAACTTTCACACAGATTTTACGTCCGTCGTTGGCACCATGAGCCTTGATCCCAGTGCCTTTCCGAGGTCGAACTCCCCCGCAAGCTCCGAGAGCTCCTTGACGCGCTCCCGTCTACAAGGCAAAGAAGGTATGTGCCCACCACAAGAATTGCGCCAGAGGATTGTGTCTGATTGTATTGGAAAATTGTAGGGTCCCTCAAAAAAGACAAGAACTATCGCCGATATGCGTCTAGTGTTGAACGAGCGCTTTCGCTCTTCGACAACGCTCTCCAAGAATGGGCCGACTACATCTCGTTCCTCGGTCGCCTGTTAAAGGTGAGCTCGCTCGACTTAATATCGATGCTCTGCACCACCGCTGATAATCAACCATTAGGCACTCCAAACCCATCCACCCGATCAACCCGTCGTCCCTCATAAAGTGTTGGTGTCTAAGCGACTCGCCCAGTGCTTGAACCCATCGTTGCCATCAGGCGTGCACCAAAAGACCCTCGAAGTCTACACGTACATATTTGGATTGATAAAGGTATGGATGGCTACCTGAAAGGCTGGCAGTGTGTTTACTGATGCATGTGTTTACAACCAGCTCGAGGGATTATCGCACGACCTGCCTTTGTATCTCCCTGGCCTTGCGCCAACATTGACTTTCGCCTCTCTTACCGTCCGTCCATTGTTTCTGTCTTTGGTAGAGGGGTATATCGTTGATCTGGAACCATGGGCTATTCGTCCTGCGTTGAAAGCAATCATTTTAGCCCTACTTCCTGGCCTCGAAGAGGAGACAAGTGATGATTTTGAGCCCACACTACGCACAATTAATAAATTGCGAGATGCTGCTGGACAACTTGAAACACAAAGGACGTCTGAGGCCGGGGCTTCTGGGCAGTATTTCTGGCAATGCCTCTTTCTCGCATCTATCACGAACCCTAGTCGACGGCTTGGCGTCCTCGCATATTTGAACCGCTACCTCCCGAAGCTAGGTATTGCAGATCGTCGACCGAGCACGGCTGGTGGGAACGATCCGGAGAACATCCCACCTGAGATACTAGCCGCAGCAGACTCTGTCATTCTACCAGAGCCTGGCCTCTTGATTCGATGTGTTGCATCCGGCTTATCTGACGACCAGCTCCTTGTCCAACGTAACTTCCTCGATCTTCTTGTCACCCATCTTCCACTCAGCTCTCCGATTTTGCAAAATAAAATCGCGGCTAGTGATCTTCGAACGTTGGTAATTGCAGCTGTGGGGGTGGTCACTCGGCGAGACATGAGCTTGAATCGCCGACTTTGGGCTTGGTTCTTAGGACCAGACTCCCCAAATGAAAGCTCCTCGATGGAAGATCGAAAATTCTCGTCGGAAACCGCTCGATCTGCCTCTATTGATGCAAAGGAACTCACACAATCACAATACTTCAGCCGGGTAGGCTTACAGCCATTGGTCACTGGTCTACTGGATATGATCAAACAGGCGCCAAGTATCCCGTCCGATAGAACCAAGCCCTTTCGCATAACTCTGTCACTAATGGATCGCTGGGAAATTGGTGGATATATTGTCCCTGCAGTTTTCTTGCCCACTGTACGCAGTGTTCAAGCATTTGAATCCACAGCCCCCGAGAACGACTTTGAAGAGGTTTTCCGCAGTGCGAGCGCCTTTTTTGATGGCGTTGAAAGTGGCGTGATATTCTCCGAGCTTCTTGGGTTGGTCGATTACCGGTCTGCCGACGTAGACGGTGATAGTGACCAAGTGTTGCGTGACTTGGATCTTGCACAATTTATCATTGAAAATTTCAATGTGCGCGAGGAGGACATGGTTCAGATTCATGTGCCTCTGCTGACCTTGTCAATGCTCGTGAAGATGAGAGATATTTCATCTAAGGAGAGAACTGCCAACAAACAGGCCGTGACCGCTGCATTGAACAAAGTTCTCAAATCATTGACTGCTTTACTCACAGAGCGGGCGTTCTCTAGAAAGACGGGGTCTGAAAAGACTGCTGGCAACGACACCAAGGGCCGTGGTACTGATATTTTGAAAACTGTCCACGGTTTCTATGAACAAAGCAAAAATAGCCTGGAGCTTCCACCTCTTCCCTACGCTCCTAAGAATATTGGCGAAATGATTATTCGAGAGGCCCACGAACTAGCTATCGCCGCTTTAGGAAGCCGCGATGGCAACCTGTCTGTTCACGAACCACTCGATATTCTTGTGACTTTGCTCAAGAAGCTTCCAAAGTCCCGCGTCCTACGTGACCGAAAATTGTATGAAGCGCTCTCTCAGCGACTAGGCTCAGGGAAGGACAAGCCAACAACTGCCTCCTTCTGTGTCGTATCGACAATTGCTTCGACAGTGACGAGTCTTTTTTTCATACAGACTCCTG